TCTTTGCTTCCCATCAATAAACTTAACAACACTACATACTTTTGTTTTCGCCCCTCGCTCCAATGGTTGAATAACAATTTGTCTATCTGCCCGTCGAAAGACAAACAATTCTGGTCGGTGCTACACTCACTATGTTCCCCTCCAATCACGTAGCGCTACATTAATTACTGCTTCGGATCACGGCTTTTCAGGATCAGATCAGGTGCGTCCATTCTTACTTTTTTTACCACTTTATTTTGCATTGGTTGAAATACTTGGTCAGCATTGGGATCCACCATTTTTCAACAGATTGGTTCAAAAGCCCCCAGGGAAATAAAAAGCCCATTACTTCAAGACCTTTTGTCTGACATTTACGTGGATATTTTGTTTTAACATACAGCCAAATTTTTAAGAAAAATGCAATTGTTGTTTGTTTGTTGTTTTTTTTTTATTTTTTTTTTTTTATCTGAGTGACATGACCACAGTTCCTACTTCATTCTTTAACCCACAAGTGCATTCCGAGCTGACCTGACCTCACCTGTGTCATTCAACTCTTGTAAATATTGCGAAAAACGTTTCGTTTGAACATATTTTATTCGTGCAAATTTCCCGTCACCGTATGAGTGTATAAACAAAANCCCACCCACATGCAATAGCTCTCGCTATAAATCAAAGGATATCGCTAATGGAAAAAAGGGCTCAAAATATCGCAGAACCCCTCAAGTAAAAATCTAATATATCTCGTGAAGTGCTCTAAGGCCACATGCCCTTGAAATGCTCTAAGGCCACACGCCCGTCGAGTGCTATAAGACCACATGCCCTTGAAATGCTGTAAGACCACATGCCCATGAAGTGCTCTAAGGACACATGTCCTTTAAGTGCTCTAAGGCAACATGCCCTTTAAGTGCTGTAAGACCATATGCTCGCAGCTGCTCGTGTATATTTGTCCAAGCATTCTCATTTATGCTTTTTCCGAATTCTTTTCTCAATGTTCAAATTCATCGCTAGGTGTCAATTTTACTGCTTTAGAGCTGAGGTTGGTAGCCTTGCCCATGTATAAATAGGAATTAACTTCTGTTGCTTACTGTTTAACTTCCAAGATCGTAATGCAACACAGTTAGCACTATAGAATGTGATAATTTGCTGGTTTCGGGGAGGGAACGCAATATTGGGAATTCGCCCCGTCAAGGTACGCCACTGCTCATATTTATATTCACGTTCATGAAGGCAGCCTGATTGCGCAAATGAGAGTAGGTTGAGAACTAGCCACCCACATGCACTTCAGGTGCATGTGCGATCTAATCTACAGGGTGGGCCAATAAAAGTGAGAACATCTCGTAAAATGTAATTTAATCACATCAAATTTTGTTTAACTATACCCATACTAGCTTAAATAGTTGAGAAGCAAGGAGGACACATTGAACATGATTTCTGATTAGCTAAATATTTTGCAAAAAAAAATTCAATGAAGAATTATAATTACCGTAATTAAATTATATTTTGAAATAACTCAAATGCTACGAGATGTTCTCTCTTTTATTGGCCCACCCTGTATAGTGAGAATTGATTCGATAGGTTGTTTTCGTGTTTCCAATCGTTTTATCTCGTATCGTGATATTTCGTATCGGATTTCTAATGTTTTCCTTATCTCATCTCCACTATTCTAGCCAAATGCAGCGAACCCTTTCGCCAGAAGGCAGCAGTACTCCATATTCGTGCCCCACGCCTTACAGACTGAGGAGGTGGTTACGGAAATCTGGTAAAAACTCAGTGGGCTTTAAGGCAGTGGATCCGTATTCAGATATTGTAGTAACTTCAGTTGACAAGCTTTAGGGAAGTGGATCCGTATTAAGAAACTACCATCTTTCTCTTTGTGTCTCCAAACTTTGGGTTTGTAAAACTCCACGCTATTTGGTGTTCATTGTTTAAATAAATTTACTTCATTGTCTATTTTCGTAATATATATCTTAACACACGCTCATAATTTACTATTAAGTTTTAAGAAAAATATATGGTGACATCCCATGCCGAAATCAAATAATGTTTTGCCCTACCTTGTCCTGTGACCCCTTGATGGAGACATATTAAAATTTTAAGACTGAGAACAAAAATGTGTATTAAAGAAGAGAACATATTTTGAACTGGCTTATATTAGGGGTTGTAATTTCAACGTTAAAAAATAGGATTTTTTTATTGTATTGAATTGAATGCAAATGAACAATTTTAGTGCACAGAAAAAATCTATTATTGCTGGGTCTGTGAGAAGAGAATAAAATTTAAAACAGCTGTATACTAGCACACTACCTGTTACCCTATTACTAGGGAGTTTGTGCTATTCTTCAATCCGCCCTTACTGATTGAACAAATGTGTTCCAGCATGCATGTATAAGGATGTAGTTATATAAATTATAACACTACCCATAGACATCACTATGTTATAACATAGAGAGCAGCACAGTGCCACAACTAAATTTATGCATTAATCCTTTTCCAAGTCTGATTAACATTCAATCAAATATGCATGTTACAAAATATTTAATAAAGAAAACTTACTGCAAGACTTTTTTTTTTTTTCCTTTGAAATTAATTCATGGTTTCACTCTAACATCACTATGATGGCTGAAATTACACATTTGTTTGGCCAGTTGCCACTGACAGTATGATAAGCTGTTATTCAAGTTACAGCAAAAATACACAAGTTCTCTTCAAATCCGCCCCCAAACCTAAAAAATAAATTATATATTATATATATATATATATATATTATATATATATATATGTATATATTTTAGCCTAAAATACAAAAATAAAACCAGCCCTTTTAAAATTGGTATAGTTTTGATTATTGAGTTATTAAATTCATTTTAAAAATATGATTCCAAATCCTATACCATTTTCAATAAAACTCTAGAACATCACACAGCCTAATAGTGCAGAAATCACATCTATCACAAATACCAGACCGCACTAACAACCCATTTGCATTCAAAGACCAACTCATAAAGACCTTTACATTTTTCATAATGGCCTGAGGTTGGATGGCATGTGCCAACCCGCTACTGGATCAGGGTGATGATCATCAGATGTCAAGAACAGTTTTTGTTACTATCATTTATATAAGACAATCACAAAAAAAGGCTAAACAATAATCAAGGGAGACTGGAGATGAATTTAACAACTAAGATTTTAATTTATCAATGAACAACATGCAAACTCATTTATACAAAAATTAGAAATATTTTGCAAATGAAAAATACTGACGATATAACTCGACTCAATGATCTACATACATCTCAGAGTTTCCATAACTCAATGATCTACATACATCTCAGAGATTCCATGACTCAATGATCTACATACATCTCAGAGTTTCCATAACTACGGTTTATGGAATAAGAAAATCTGGGATTGGAATCCTATTGAAAAAGGTTGGAATTTTCAAATTCCTGTTTAATTAACTCGAGTGTTAGCTTACAAATTTAAAGCTTATTTGGAGGGGACCAAACTAAAGGGCTTGAGAAGCCATGAACCATCAAATGTTTGAAACTGCTGTTCAAACTCAAATATTTAAACATCCGAAAAAAATAATTTAATTATATGTTGGAAAGTTGGGTTGATGAGATGGCTTTTTAGGGTGAACATTAAATAATGAATCATGGGTTAAATGATTGGTCATTGACATAAATGAAAGCAAGAAATAATGAATGATTGACGGAATGAGGTTCATAAAGGATATACTGTTATAAAGATAAATCTGTCATAAATGTAATAACTTTATTTTTATATTTTAAAAAAAAGGGCATTGTAAAAAAAAAAAAAAAAGGTGTGTTTTGTTAAATCCAGACACTGTTGATATATGCTGTAAATATCACAGCATAAATTGTTCAGTTTTTATGTACTATACTAACAAGGCATTTTGTAATATTACAAAAATATCAATACAAGCTTCAGTTTAAATATATTCAATGATTTCACTGAAAGGCCATCACACTTCTAAGACAAGCAATCACCCATGGTTCCTTATAAAAGACAAACAAATGTTCTGATTACATACACATATCACATAATCTTCTGGTTTAAATACACATAACCCTATAATACAGAGGCTCAGAATTGCAGAATTGCAGGTCAAAGGGCATCCTTGTCACATAACTGATCTGTAGGACCTCATCTCAGTCTATCCACTAATAAAGTGTACAAGTGAACTTAGTGGTAAACATTGTGTTGTCCAGTTTATTTTTCTTTTTCAAAATTCATTTTAAATAAAACATTAGACAAGAGACTAGCATTTAAAGGTCAATATTCCTGAATTAAACAAATGAAAGGAAAAGCCATCAAGCCAACAAAAAAGCAGCTTGCACAAAAATATTCAAAGCTTTTCTGTTTTCTTTTGTAGTTCTTTAATTTTCCCAACTATTGACCAGTTAAAATGCCTAAAAAATCTTATTAGACACACGCATCAATTTTGGAACATAAAAACATTTACATTTTGAAAAATCAAAATCTCAAACAACTACGATTAAATTTTTGTTTATTAATGATTGGTGAGGTATTTTAAACTTTATAAAGTAATAGAGTCATGATCTAGTGAATAATCGAATTCTACACAACAACTCATAAAAGTTGAGAATTTTGGTTTATGTCTATCTACATTTTTTTAAAATCAGCCTACACCACCTTGGTCCACATCAGATTATCCACATTCTATTAAAGAAAAGGATATTTACCTTTTTTGGTTAACAGTACTAACCTTTTGGGGCAACTTTGTTCTATTCTAAAATTTTTTTGGTTTCAATGAGGTCTTGGAAAAAAAAAAAAAAAAAAAAAAAAAAAAAAAAAAATTCTGCCAAAAAAAAAAAAAAAAAAAAAAAAAAAAAAAAAAAGAAACTAAAAAAATTTCTCCCACAAAAAAACAAATCCCTTTTGCAGGTCCACCCTTGGATCTACAAAACCTTTCTATGAAAACACCCAAACTTAATTTCAAAAAAAAAAAAAAAAAAAAAAAAAAAAAGGGGAAAAAAAAAAAAAAAAAAAAGCAACTTCAAAAATTTCTGCCACTAGACAACTCATTCCTTTTGCAGGTGCACCCTTGGATCTACAAAACCTTTCTATGCTAACATCCAAACTTAATTTCACAAGTAAAAAAAAAAAAAAAAATCATCATGGGAAGAAAAAAAACACTCCATCACTTGCACAGTGACACACAACACCCGCTTTCAACAATTGTACCAAGATCATTCACCAGCACACAATCCCCTGGTGCTACAAAAGATCATTCACCAGCACACAATCCACTGGTGCTTCAAAAGATCATTCACCAGCACACAATCCACTGGATCTATTGTGCTTTTCTTGGCTTTGCTTTTCTCTTAACTGGTGACTCGGAGCTCAGGAACTCAGACAGTATCGGAGCATCTGATGACGCAGCTGCTGCTGACGAGGAAGATGATGAGCCTGGTGAAGTGTTTGAGGCTGGGGCTTTCATGGCTGCACTCTGCAGCTGTTGGTAGACATTGGCTGCATAAGGGATCACCTAAAATAAAAGGGGAGTAATTCAGTTTATATGATAAGTTGACAAAAAGGAATAAATAAAAATATTTAATATCACTTCACATCTTCATAGTTTCTCTGGTGCATTTTAATAACCATCTTTAAATATCTTCAAAACAACAAGAAAAAAGATAAGAATAAAATAAGATTCAGTTATTGATAAAAGAATAATATTTCAATTAGTTTTGATGACCTTTTACATGTTCCTTTTCGCATTTTGTTTTGTAATAGATAAAAATTGTATGATTTTACTGAAATTTTGAACTGGAACAAATTTGATGTTTGACAATTTTAAAGGAAAACTAAGTTTGTAATCAACGTATATAGCTTCATTTAAAGGACTAAATGAGTGGCATGTGACAACGACTCGTGAAGCCATTATAATGAAATGTATTAAGAACAACCACTTACAGTTTTGTGATTGTAGGCCAAGGCTATGATTATACCAATGATTGGAAGTACTAAGAAAGATCCTTGGTTAAGATCTTGGTCCACTGTTCTGGGCTGTCAAAGGTCAATAAGAACATTTATTATTTTTTAAAACACAAAAATCATGTCTATGAACACCTACGATGGTGTTGGTACATTTTACAACAAAGACCAACTCAATGTGGGCAGAAACTTCCATTCAGTACCTGGCAGGACAGGGAAGCAACATTTTATGAGCTAATGTGGAACAATTTAAGTTTTAATTTTGTTTAAAACTCTCATCAGTTCAAAACATAGAAGCAGGATTAGAAAATCAGGTGATGGAGTGAACAAGTTGTAAAGACTAAATTTAACTTAACATCAAAGACACAGCGCACCACCCACTGGTACTTACCTTGGGATTGAATTCAAACGTGAAATGTTTGTGTGATTTATTGGCAGCAAACTCAACGGAGGACAGCTTGTAATCATACTCAGATCTGGAGAGGCTACTCTCTAGGGACAGCAGGTAGTTCTGAGGAAAACACAGGTTAGACAGAATACACACATTAGACAGAATACAGAGGATAGACACAGATTTGATCACATATTTACAAAATTTATTAAATATTTTCAGATATTTTTAGTTTGAAATTTGAGGAGAGATAAATGAAACCATCTGTTCACATTTTCATCAAAGTATTCTTTCCTAACGTATTAGTTTACTCATTTCAGCCGGTTAGACAAATGCTTCCCGAGATACACCTTTCATTTATTTATTTTTTTGCTGTGGCCTTAAAATCATGCTTCACTGTAGCTTCCAGATATAACCTCTTGGTAGAAAAATACTAACTGATCTTGTTTTCTTAAAACTTATAGTTTTGTCACTTATTCATCCACATTTTCATTTTGTTCATAATTTAGTTATCATATGTTTAGTACTGCACAATATGACATAATCCTTTTTCAATTATTTTTTTACATCTGTTTTTTATTTTCTTGGCCTTAAATATTAAAATTTTCTCAAAATTTATCCATTTCTGGATGCATGTGTTTTCAAGAACTTTCAACAAATTAATAAAATTAACTTCTATCTACTAATTGGGAGCTACTTTCTTTTGTTTAGTGAAAGGGATTTAGTAATTATGGTTGGCATTTGGCATTAATAGATCTATGCCATTACAGTTATTTGACAACCGCAGTTAAATATATTTGAGCTTGCAAAATACCATTGACAACATTAACTATAAAGATTACTGTGAAGATTGTATGACTATTTCATTTCTATTGAGAAGTTGTTCTAATTCATAATTTGAGAAAGAAAAAGCTGGATCTTTGACTGGTTTTTATTGCTTGTAAAAAGTTCATAAGTGATGAATAGTAATTGAATAAACATAACATCTTTTTCTAAAATTTCACCTTATTATCCATCTGCAATGTGGGCAAAAAGAAAAATGTGGATTTGCCGAGAGAGACTGTGTGAATGGGAGTGTCCGGCTGAGCCTCACTAACCAGTCGCACCTAAGAAAATGGAATGAATCTTTAATTAGGAACAGATTATACTATGGCATAGCACTGAACTTGTCCTTTACACATTTGTGTTTTCTAGGCAAAAACTGTAAAAAACAAAAATTAGCATACAGACATAACAAATTATTTTTATTTAGGTTTAGGAGCTATTCTGAATTTATTAAGCCTTCTGACAATTAAACAATATATTGATTGAAACAATACAGAAGAAGTCCGATAATCCGGCACCTTCGGGACCGGCTCGGTGCCGGACTACCGAAAATTCCGGTCTATTGGGCGGTGCCCCTTCTTTTTAGTGTAGGCTTTACCGTAAAACAAATGTACTTTGTTTTTTTAACTACATACATACATACATCGTAATTATAAGAACAATTAGGTTAATAATTAAACTACAAATACCGTATGCAAATACAACAAAGTTTATTTTACATTTCATATAATGTATGTACACGTACTGTAAAACATATTTCACTTAGATTTAAAAAAGTCGCTAATGTCTTTTTGTTTTCTTGACTTTTGGCGTTTAGTATAAAATTTATTTCTAATGATATGGAAATCAATAATTTTTGAAGCACTGTAGCTAGTGCTAGCCTCAGCAAAAGAGATCAACTTATTTAGTGATTCTGCAGCTTCTGCCCAGCTGATTTTTTCCTTTTCTTCCGTTTCGGCATCTGAGTCACTTTCTTCAAGATTTTGAGTAGGCTGAGGGTTTACTACACTGTTGATAATGTCCTCATCGGTTAGTTCTTGTTCAACAGACTCAATCTCGTCGATTAGAAGCCACTCCTCTACCTCATCTTCAGGCAGGTTTTTCAAGGGATTGTCAGAATAATTACATTCATTTTCAGCAACTCCTAAATCTTGGCCGAATTTCTTTGCCTTTTCAACAATCATTGGCCCTGTTACCGGCTTTCCTTCAGAGCGTACTGCACTAAACCACTTGAACAATACACTATCTAGCTGTTCCAGTTTTGGTTTTTTTAATGTTTGTCTAGAAGCAAATTTTTCAGTTGTTACCAATTGAGAAGCAAACTTCATTAGTTCATCTTTTTGTTTTTTAATGTCATAAATAGTTGATGAGCCAATATTAAACTCATTCATTAAAACATTTCTATTCTCACCTTTTTTCTAGCCGTTTGATGATTTCTAGTTTCTGATTGAGAGTCAGTGTTACGTGTTTTCGTTTCTCTCCTTTTGAACTCGAAGGCTTAGGTTTTCAAAACATGGTCACTGTACAGTTAGAACGAAACTCATTTTGTTTATAAACAGTTTCAAAAGTTCCGTACGTCACTACAGATGTACTGTATTACAGTAGAGGGTACTGAGACACAGTTTACTGCGATGTGAAAGGACACAAAACAACAACGCACAAAAAAATGGCGAAGACGCTTCGTGATTGATTAACTGTGCTGCACTGCACCTGTATTTGTTGTGACAGCTGAGACTAGCTGGCCGCTAATTGTTTCCGAACAATACCGAGCGCTTCCGGATGATTCCGAACTACCCCGAAAACTTCCAAATAGCTCTCGAGCGTTTTTATTTGCTTTAGAGACACACTTTTGGAGAAAACCAAAATTTTTACAATTTTCCGGAGCGATGCCGGACTATCGGGCATTCCGGACTGTTGGATGCCGGACTAATGGACTTCTACTGTATTTAGTTTTTAAAAAGAAGACTTTTATCAAGATGTGTTAATATTAGTGCATTCACAAACATAAATAAAGAATACAATTATTGGTAAATAGCTTAAAGAAGCCATCTAGTTTTTTTGTGTCTTTTTTTTATCTTTATTATTTAGCAAAAAACTTAATTGCCAACCAAATGAAATCTGAATAAAAACTGCCCAAGTAGTAAATGATAAGAATTCACAAAGATCAACATGCATAGCACTCATCTCTATTCTATGTCTTCTACAATTTAATACCTTGAGTGTAGATAAAAATTTGAGGTTGGTCCTCACATTGCCACTGATGTCCATTTGGTTCATGCGACGAAATGCAATGATGTTTATGTCAGAGAGATCAGAGGCCTCCACCTATAGATTTAAATATCAATATATTTTATTGCTGTTAACCAAATAAAACATTCTTAACATATCATTTCTTCATCTATCAATATCATTCCCAATATAATGATAGACCACTGATTCTGCCATTAATTATATCCCCTTGCTTGCATTGAGTCAAGACAACTAACCGTCCAGACAGTCACAAGATAAATGTTTCTTAAGGACATTAAGATATATTCATGGCCTTAAGCTATATTTTACTCACCTTGACCTGTCTAGAGGTGGGTGCAGTTCTCTCAATATGTGTGTTCACCTCACCAGACTTTAAATGAATGTCATACAAACAGTTGGGCTGAAGATGAAGGGATTAGTTATTACTAATTTATAGAAATTTAGATATTCTTCATTTCCTTCTGTTGGTGAAAGAATTTTATAATAATATAATTTTGATTATTTTGATTTAGTAGTTTTCAGATGCATTTTTCTATACAATGAAAACTTGTTCCAGATCTACCCACTTGTAAACCCCTGAGCCTGTAAGAACCATCCATCTCTGTCTTGCTCTCCTCCTGATTTGTGGAGCAGGGACCAAGTCCCAGAGCTTCTATGATAATCCCTGGCTCAGGTTCTCCATTCAGTGATGTCACTTTACCAAAACAGCTGAAAACAAAATATCAGTAATTATCCATTAGCTTAGATTGCAGAATGGTGTCCCCCACAGAACCGGTTTTAAAAAAGACATACACGTTTCTATACATGAAAAAGTTAATAAACCCTAATAATTCAAAAAGTGTCCCTTTTAAATTAATTACCAGATTTGAGTTCAGGAAATTTTATTATTAAAAAGAAGAGGGTAGGTGAATAAATTATAGCACAAAAAATACAGAGCAAATCAGTAATGTGCTTTCACGATATAGCATCGATAATTAACAAGCTTATTTTAATAAAAAAATTGCCTTACCTGAAAGCGACCCTTGCACCTTTAATAGTGATTTTTTCCGTTGTCCCCTCTTGGACATTTATAATCTGAGAGGCAGGTTCAAATTTATATTCTTTCATCATTGGCCGAAGAAAGTACTGTCCAGGACTCTGCAAAAATAAAATAAATTAGTCAACATGGCTTTCAAATTATCAACAAGAAATGCATCTACAGAATTGGTTTTGGTGCAGAAAAAAGATTTTAAAAATTTAAATGATAAAGGATAATAAATTAAGGACTCTGTTCAAGCTGTGTGAAGGAAATAGAAGAACAAGATATGTGGAAGCTTGAAATAAAAAAAAGGAAAAGAACATTTGAGCTAAGAGCCTTCTTCAACAGACAGGACACATGAAGGAATAACAAAAAATATAAATCATTTTACAAACTTAAGTGTTCGCCACATTCATGTCATTGCAGGAAGTTGGGTTTTTAAAAAAAAAGATTACAGGAAGTAAAAGAATTTATGTATTATTACATGAATAGCAGTTCTGGATTTTGGATTTAAAAAATGTTTGATCATGAACAAGTTGCCTCACAGAGTAAGTCCATGTACACAGCTATACTATAAATAACTGTAAGCAGTCACAATATATCTTATTTTCACTCTTTGGAAAGCAAAAAGTTTATTATGTTGAGGAAAAAAAAACAATAAGTCACTTTAAAACTGTAATTTATTTTATGTAACAATAGAGCAGGGTCCTTTTTTTTAAAACTTAAAAACGTCATTCCATATTTCACACATCTAAACTGTTATTTCTTTCAACCAAGAAGTTGCTTAACCTTTTGTTTTAACAAGCACTTAATATATTTAAATGTTGTCTTACTAATCCAGTAAATATCATGTGACCATCAGCCCCTGTAACATTGTTTGACCGGTACTGATGGTCCCCACTCAATGACAGAAGAACGCTGGAAAGTGGCAGACCTTTTTCATCAAGCATCTGTTGGGGCAGAATTGATAGGTGTGAGCAAAACAAAAAACAACTTATAATAAAACTGACTGATTTGGTCCAATGTTTTGAAATGAAATAAGCACATAGTGACTTTACAAAAATTCATCAGTTTAAGTAAACCAATAGTATAAAAAGAAAGGATTCTTTCTCTTGGGTACTGGTATCAAAACAAATTTGTTCATTTTAAACAAAGCAAATAGTATAAAATGAGAGGATTATTTCACTTGGCTACCCATATCTTAACAAATTTAATCAGTTTAAGCAAAGCAAAAGTATAAAAAGAAAGGATTCTTTCTCTTGGGTACCAGTATCTCATTAAAAAATGTCTTATTGTTACACAAAGGTATCTAAAACAAGACAGTGTTATCAAAAATTAATTTTTTTAAATTGATATTACATTTTACAAAGGATTTATAAGGAAAACTTTGTTTTTATGGGTTGTTTCATTATAACCATTCAATAATTAAGGAACATAACTTTAAAAATCAGGATTTTTTGGTATTTTTTTAAAATCATATAGTCATCTTAAATTTCCCAGCTGCTGTTGCTAGTTGAGGTTACGCTAACTCTTATGCCAAGATAACAGGTGCATCTGTTGTCTGTATGCATCTCATTTCAGTTTTGGCTTTCTACATAATATAACAGGTACAATAGTTCAAAACTTCAATAAACTTGCTTGCAAGTGTCCATTATAAATTTTCAGCAAATAATTGCTTTATAATCTTCAAGACCTAATGGGATCAAACACTAGAGACAGCTGTGAACATTTATGTGAAAAGAAAATAATACAGTGATAGTGTACCTGCACAGCTATTTCCCCAAGCTTGAACGCCCTAAATGACATGGAGTTCTCACTCTCCTTTGACAGCACAAATCCTTCCTTTTCTGCAACTACTAAATATTTCTTGTCAGCATGAAGTGGACCAACTCTAAAAAAAAAGAGATATCAGAATAAGCTTATTAAAATGTGTCCAACCCTTGCAAAAACACCTCAAATAATTAGAACTTTAAAACCTCTGATAAAAATACCAGCTTTATGGTTATTTACTTGTATTTTCCATTGGTGTCTGTCGACAGCACAATAGGTGCCATAGCTCCATCTTTATCAGTAACTGTGACTGTCACACCATTCAGGGGAGGGCTGATTGTGCCCTGGATGAACACGCCCTTGCGGCCAATGAGGTCAGCAATGACTCCAGGACAGGCTTCTATAAAGACATTTTTAAAATTATATTCAATGAATGATTTCACAAATATGGCAACTTTTAAAACTATAATTAACTACAAGCTCTTATATTTTTATTTTAAAAATTAATATATAAATTAATAAACAACCATTTCTAAGATAGGCAAGTAGTATTCAAATATTTCCTTTTAAGAATTAAGAACAGCCCTTTTGCATATCCCCTTACCACCACTGATATAGGCATCAACAGAGCTAGGATAAAACAGAACATCAGATGACTTGGCAGAGACTGTTAGAGTTTCTCCAGATCTGATCAGAATGAATGATACAAAGCCAATATTTAGATTTACTTTCAACTGTTTCCTCATAGCGCAATTTTTTTCTTTTTAATTGTGATCCTCAAATAAGGAAGTCAAAATGACATTTACTCTTGTTGGCATTAGTATTTCTAGCCTGGTGTAATTCTTTCAATCCTCTTGTGGACACTTAACATGATTTGTATACATGATCATATTCATTTGAATTAAAAGCAGGAACAAGGAATAGGAGGTTGATGATGACAGATATTTATGGTTTTAATTGAGCATGGATAAAAAAAAACTAGTCTATTTCTAAATATTGTTCTTTTATTAATTTTTTTAATGCAATGATATTTATTATAGGACGGTCTGATAGATTTTTTTAAGACACAGACCTAATTTGATATAACTTTCTTAACACTTTTTAAATCTGGAAAAATACATTGCATCCGTTTCTAATTGCACCACCCATCATCAGGTAAGTTGACAAAAACTTAAATGTAAAAAATTATTTGTTTTAAAAACAGACCTGGACCAATGGGAGAAACCGTAAACTGTCACTGTTGACTTTTTGTCTTTCTCTGAAGTCTGTGCTGCAGCTTTTGCCACATTAGTAGCTGTAATATTGGGCTTAAGGGGGCCCAACACAGTGGGGATATCATCAACTGATGATCTGAAATATAGATAACATGATTAACATCCATTGATATTTACACAAAATCAAAAATTTAATGCAATAAATAACCAAAATGTTTTTTGTTTTTTTCTTTTAATAACTTGATCTGAAATTATATATTTTAAAATTTAACCAAATTACATTGACGCTTAAGGCTTATAACTTTGTGTTGAGACACAAGCAATCCTCATATGCATGACATGCATAAACCAGAAACAGAAACATTCTTTTTGATCTATGTAAACTGACACAATTTCACAAATTTAAAAAAAAAAAACTGTCTGACCTACAATAAAAACTTACTTAATAGTAACAGTGATGTCATCCACGGGAGCGTCTGTGGTTATGGAACCCAGGGCCAGGTGTTGAATGGCTGTCAATGTCAGTATCAGAGGGTTGGACCTGGAATGATAACAACTGCACATTCAAACAAAACGTCTTCTAGCTATTGTCCTCAACAGCGGCCAACATAACACTGGGTTTCAAAACAGGATCTCAAGTAGCCACTTGTCATCTCTGAATACAGTTTTAAAACCCGGGTAAGAGCATAAGGTTCCCACCCATATACAAAATACGACCCTTATTGGTCCTCATCATTGTTTAGTTTATTATCCATAATATTGTATTAACAAACTAGAACAAGACAAAGTGTATTTTTAAAAAGACATATTTTAATGCCATGAGCCTATAAAAAAAAATATAAGCAATCAGAAACTGAATCACTCCTAACATACAATTTTTTTTCATCCGATCCCAGAGATTACTGTGGCAAGAGGTTTGTACAACTTACGTGTCATAACTATAATTTTCCTGATCAAACCGATGACAAGAATCAGGTGTTAGTTGATACACACCAGGGTGTGCAAGACAGAAACGGTTGAGACCCTTGTCCAGAAGGAACGAGCCAACACTTTTTTCTTTCTTGTTGTGGGCAAAGTTCTGTGACAAGACGGAACATGGATTACCTTTTAATTTTTACATTACAGGCTCTTGGACAAAAAAACAGCTGCCATCCCATCCCCTGCTTCCATACCAATCACTTGATGTCATCCCATCCCCTGCTTCCATACAATCACTTGATGTCATCCCATCCCCTGCTTCCATACCAATCACTTGATGTCATCCCATCCCCTGCTTCCATACCAATCACTTGATGTCATCCCATCCCCTGCTTCCATACCAATCACTTGACATCATCCCATCCCCTGCTTCCATACCAATCACTTGACATCATCCCATCCCCTGCTTCCATACCAATCACTTGACATCATCCCATCCCCTGCTTCCATACAAATCACTTGACATCATCCCATCTCCTGCTTCCATACCAATCGCTTGATGTCATCCCATCCCCTGCTTCCATACCAATCACTTGACATCATCCCATCCCCTGCTTCCATACCAATCACTTGACATCATCCCATCCCCTGCTTCCATATCAATCACTTGATGTCATCCCATCCCCTGCTTCCATACCAATCACTTGATGTCATCCCATCCCCTGCTTCCATACTAATCACTTGATGTCATCCCATCCCCTGCTTCCATACCAATCACTTGACATCATCCCATCCCCTGCTTCCATACCAATCACTTGATGTCATCCCATCCCCTGCTTCCATACCAATCACTTGATGTCATCCCATCCCCTGCTTCCATACAATCAATTGATGTCATCCCATCTCCTGCTTCCATACCAATCACTTGACATCATCCCATCCCCTGCTTCCATACCAATCACTTGACATCATCCCATCCCCTGCTTCCATACCAATCACTTGACATCATCCCATTTCCTGCTTCCATACCAATCGCTTGATGTCATCCCATCCCCTGCTTCCATACCAATCACTTGACATCATCCCATCCCCTGCTTCCATACCAATCACTTGACATCATCCCATCCCCTGCTTCTATACCAATCACTTGACATCATCCCATCCCCTGCTTCCATACCAATCGCTTGATGTCATCCCATCCCCTGCTTCCATACTAATCACTTGATGTCATCCCATTCTTTGTTTCTATAACATTCGCTACAGTACTTAAATAAAGACTACATTTATAAGCTCACTTAAAAGAGCCAGTAATGTGAACCTACTATAGTAATTGGATGTGAGACACTGCATTTGAGAATGTATCCTGTGTGTACAAACTCAAGACCAGACAGATCATTGTCCAGAACATTGAGTTCTATAGATTTTTCCTTCCAGCACCAGTTGTCCAGTACAATAGAAGCTGCAATCATAAACCAAAGGTTTATATAAATTTAAAACTCAGATTTACATATTTGACATGGGTCATCATTCATCTTTTGAAATTGTAGGGACCAAAGTTCCTCTATTTGAGTACTTGAACATAGCTGGATAACATTCTCTGTCATTATTTGTAATGAATGAATAGCTACATACATGTAATGTGTTGGTTGCTTCAAGAATAATTTAATTATTTTTTTGACTGAAACAAAATACAAATGCACTTTACACAAGAATCAATCATGAAATTGTGGCCAAATTTGCATTGGAATTATCAGCTATTGGGGTTTGGAATTTTTAAAAGTAACCTTTATATTTCCCAGGCATGACATTTTCCAAAGCGAATGAAGCCTCATTGCCAGACAACTTGGCAGCAGTCCTGATCTGGGTGTCTGTCCTGCCTACAGCATCAAGGGTCACTTCCATATTTTGGCACTTCTCTGCAAGTAAAATAGCTCAGATATTAACTAATAAAACTAAAGATCTTCTGCAGTTGGTAAATGAACAGTTCAGGAGCTGATGAAAACAGATTTTCTAATAAATCAAGTCAATGCAAAGTTAACATAAATAATGAGCTTTAAAATTATTCATACTCTCCAATGAAAAAGAATATAAAGTGCACAGAAAATGAGATAACCAATTTAAAACAAGGCCTTACAATATTATAATCAAGTCTCATCTTTAATTTGGTAAAATTCATTCTTCAACATAATTTTTATAGAAATGATTTAATTTATCTTTACTAAGGCATATTTTTTTTAATTTAATTTTTTAAAGAGAGGACATAATGAATTTTGCACTGCCCAGAAAAAAACTATATTTACTCACCCATGCATTTAACACTGCCAGATATTTTTGCCCGGAACTGAGAGAAGTTGACATCAAGAACAGGCTTGCTTGTCACTGTGACTACCTTTTCTGCTGGTGTCAAGGTCAAACCTGCCTTTATCTCATCCTCACTCATGTACACCTGAAAACAGACAGAACAAAGTCACGGGTGAAATTAAGTCAGCAAAATGTGATGTTTTGTTCTTAAACCAGGTTATGAGTTTTTTCTACTTATTGAAAAGCCATAACTGATTTTTGTAGACTTTATAATTTATACGTACACATATTTGTAAATTGCTATTTCAAATTGATTCAGGAAGAGAGAGATATTTCTTGGGAAAATTCTTGGAAGTGCTCTCCAGTTTTTAAAAAATATATATATCTTTTAAAGTTGTTAAATTTCTACTTTAGCCCTATGATATTGCCTTAACCTAAATATACAAACTAAAAAAAAAATCAAATCTGAAACTGAACTGGATAATACATAAGAAAGTGTAAAGTCTTTGGGATTAAATCTATTCAGTACACCAGGTGTTTTTAACTTTAAATTGTTAATTTCAAACAAAATTTTGTCTTCTTATAAAACTGTAGAGCCTTTAGAAATCATGCTAACCCCCTACGCTCTAAATAAAATTTAAAATAGTCTTTTAATCAGCCTAGGAGCATGTTAAACATCAAATAACACTGTCACCAGCAGCAGTCACCTCCACTTACTTTAATAATATATTTCCCAGACTTAACCATCTCACAGAAGGCACCACTTGAGTCTGTGATTACAGATTTGGCATCAGAACCTTTGCCCTCTGGATAGTAAATTATCCTCCGTTGACTGGAGAGTTTCCCTAAGCTTTCAGGGACTCTGTCAATGCTCACTTTACCACACATATTGAAGCTGATTGAAAATTGGTTTAAAAATGTGTATCGTTTTAAATATATTTGAAACTTAGAATAAATGAAACAGAATTTGACAAAGATGTATTTAATACTGGAAAGAGTTGGAGAAGATATCTAAGAGACCCGGGAGGCTTGAAAAGAAATTGTTAATTGCCTTTAGGAGTTAAAAAGGCAAAGAAGAAGAAGAATAAGATAGGTGGTCTCCCAACTTTTTGGGACACCATTATTTAGTGTTAATATTTAGCAACCCAAAATGAAGATTTAATTTTAGCCTTTATTTGGACTTTTTGATTTAATAAAATGACTAACTTCTTATGGTCATTTCAAACAATTAAGTTATATAAATGCAAATTTATGTGAAAACAAAAAAGTGACCCAATTAATATTTAAACTGTATTCTAAAATTAATAAATGTTTCCTTTTTACCCTGAGGCCACCAAACTTGGGAGCTGGGGAGTTTTGGGTGTTATCTCCACAAGCATCTCCTCAAACAGAATGTTGTCTACTCTGGCATTCAAGCTGTAAGTTCCTGTCTTCATGTTCTCCAGACTGAAGGAGCCATCAGCACCACTGACAGTTTGGTCTTTACCATTGATGATGATGGCAGCTTTAGCGATGCCGACACCCTGTTACAGAATCTTGATTTTGAGACTTGGAATTTTTAAGGAATCAAGATATCTATCTAATTAATTAAAATAACAAGCATATGCCAGGTGTGAATCATTGGGACAAAAAAGCAAAGACTACACAGAATGCAATTAGCACCGTTATAAAGATATATTAACAGATACGAAGAACAGATGATAAAAAGTTTTTTGTTATTGAATTTAGAAGATAACAATATTACACTAATAAAAAGTATCTCTTTTTGTGTCTTAATGTTAATTTCATATGAATATTTTTTACAACTCTTTTTTTATTTTACAGGTGATCATCTGAGTTATAATACAATAAAGCAGCTAAAATATCCCAGAGCTTACATTTTCTTTATCCAGTACTCTACCACTAACTGAGAATCCAGCCACTTCAAATTTTTCCTGTGAAAGTAAGTTAAAGAACTTAAAATAGTTTACATAACTGCCCAGGACACACAATCATCACACACAAAACTTAGAGCATAAGAAAAACTAATACTGATCTTATGATGAAAAAAAATGTATATCTTATAATGGCAAATTCATGTCAGAGATTCAAATGAAATGTTTATTACCAACTATGTGCAGCCCAAATGGAAGTAGTAAACATAGCACATGTTAAAACATATTTAGCATATTGAAATCCAAACCAAAAAAAAAAAATGTCACCTTCAATAAAACTGAGCCGTGTCCAACTTGAAAGTCTAATTTTCCTGGCTCTACATCAAATGTAATATGCTCTCCTTTGTAAAATGGAATCTGAAGGAATAAAAAAAGAAATAATGTTGAAATGCTCACAAATTTTAAGCTATACTGCAAATTAGACTTTAGTGATTGAGAAAGCAAATGAGTCTATCTTTAAACGTCAGAAATTGCAAACTTACAAATAATGAATTAAATGTGTAAAACTTTCAGTTTGAAAAATGTTACCAGAAAATATGATCCTGTTGGCACCACTGGAAAAATAAAAGATCCATCATCCTTGGATGTCACAAAGCAGATGGGACTCAGCTTTGTTTCTTTGGTATGGAAGCCTTTAGGGGATCCCTTTTCACATTGAGAAACAATCTGACAAATAGGGAGTCAATTATTTCACATTATATTGCAAAATGATTAGACTACACATGAAAGTCAAGCTATTTTACAGCATTTAATCCTTAATTTTTTTTTTTTAAATGTCATTAGTCTTGATAAGATGTTACACAAATCTGAATATACATTTTTATTTTGAAGTTAGATTCTTTTAAAATTTCAATAACATTCAATGAAGTAAATAATATTATTAAAAATAACAACTGAAAGCTACTTATGCAAATCAAATCAATATTTTAAATAATATTGACTCACTGGGGGCTGCTCTCCTTGAGAAAACAAGACAAAGTTCACGGATTTCATGGGTTGCCCATCACCTGTCACCTCACCCTGAAGACACGACATATAATAACAAAAATATTCATGTTTCTTAAACATGTAATCATGAAATATGAGTGTAATCATTCAGTATCAACAGTGAGGACTATTTGTAAGCCTTTCAATTTAAAATGATCTTCATATGACATATGATAATTACTGCAATCAAAATTGATAAATTACTATTTACAAAAAAATGTCACTCGTGCGGAGATACTGATCTTCCATCGAGCGCCTCCCCAGGTGGCGGATAGGGGAAAGCCCACCAGATATGGAGGGTACCAGGGAAATAAAATACCTGGGGCGGACCAAAATCAGAACCTACTGCCTTGTAGGAAGTGGAGGGATCCACAAAGGCTAGGGAACCTTATCCAAAAACTAAGGCAGCTATCCAGAGAGCTCTAAGGGGCAACCCCCCAGACAGTTGTGCGCAGGGTTAACTTCCCCGCCACGTAAAAAAACCAATGTTACGAAAGCCAAGCAACTGAACAAAATCCGGACTGATACCAATGGAAATCGACCTATGCATGGATATGGAAATAATTTTTGGATTGCGACTTTGAATGTGCAAAGCCTGTTTAGAGCAGGAGCCTTAGCCAACCTTGTAAATCAGCTTGTCACATATAAAATATCTATTGCTGCATTGCAAGAAATTCTATGGAAAAATTCAGACATCCTCAAGACAAAAGAATACACCATATTTTATAGTGGTAGCAACCACCAGATGGAATCAACCACAATCAAATCGATCACGTTTTAATAGATCGAAGACATGGATCAGATATATTAGATGTGAGAAGCCTTAGAGGAGCAGATGCGGACTCGGACCATCTACTTGTAAGGGTGAAATATAGGCAGAGGATAAGCTTAGTTCACAATGGTCGTAATCAAAATGAGAAACAATACGATTACCAAAGACCCAGAAGATCAGTATCTCCGCAAAAGCTTACCAGAATGAAGTAGAAGCACAATAAATGATCAGTGGGATAGGATAAAAAATGCCATTAAAAGATCAGCAGAAAAAGTAGTGGGATTTCAGCAAGCCAACAATAGAGTAGGCTGGTACGACAATGAATGCAGAGAGACTGTGGAAGAAAGAAACAAAGCACAAATGATCATGTTAAAAAGGGAAACCAGAAAGACAACACAAGCATACAAGGAAGCCAGAAGGAAAGCAACAAAAATGTGTAGGAAGAAAAAGAGGGAATGGGAAAAGGATAAACTAAAGGAAATAGAAGATTTATCAAGAGAGGGAAATATAATAGGAATGTACATGAAGATAAAAGATGAAAACAATGGATAACCAAGCCAGACTCAAATGTGTGAGAGCCACAATGGAGAATTAATCACGGAAAATAGTAACGTATTGGAGAGGTGAGCTGAATATTTTGAGGACATACTGAATGCAGACAATAGACAAGAAGAAGATTATCAACTCCCACAGGGAGGACCAGACCTGTTTATACAATGCCCAACCCTAGAAGAAACCAAAGAGGTAATTAATTACATGAAAAATCATAAAGCCCCCAGACAAGACCTTATCACAGCAGAACTGATTAAATATGGAGGAAAAGAACTACACAATCAGATACATAAACTAAAATTTGGCAAGAGGAGAAAATCCTGACAGAATGGGAAACAGCATTAATAACCCAATACAGGAGGAAAGGCTCCAAACTTCAGTGCACTAACTACAGAGGAATCTCCCTATTAAATGTTACATACAAAATACTGACAAAACTTATTGCCAAAAGACTACAACCTTACACTGAAGAAATACTAGGTGATTACCAATGCGGATTCAGGCCTAACAGATCAACGACTGATCAGATTTTCACCATCAGATGCCTGTTAGAGAAATGCTATGAATTTAATATACCAGTACATCAACTCTATGTCGACTATAAAATGGCCTATGACAGCATCAAAAGAAACTATTTATATGAGACTCTGCAGGAGTTTGGGATACCCAACAAACTGACAAGGCTAATACATGTAACACTAAACAACTCAAAAAGCAAAATCAAGATTCAAGGAGAATATTCAAGGGAATTTCATATTAGACGAGGCTTAAGACAGGGAGACTCACAGTCTTGTATGCTCTTTAACCTAACATTGGAGAGAGTTATTAGAAACATACACATTGACACTCGAGGAATGATAACAGGATACTTTCTGAGGGAAACTCAAGACCCAATACCAACGGGCACACTCTACAAGCAACCACTTCAGTATCTTGCATATGCTGATGACATAGACACTTCAGACTGATGACATAGTATATGTTGTTCGTCCGTCAAGGATCGACGATGACCATCGAGTCGTCTGGATGACTTGCGCGGGTGACTTTGTTTAAAGTGAAGAAGAGTTGCGCGGCGTCAACCTCACTCTCTCGTCCGAGACCACCATATCCAGTGGCAAGACTCTACGTCAAGACGACCAGGGATGGGTACGGTTGCAGGAATTGACATTGTATGCACCTTACGGGACTCCAACTCCGGGTTTGAATTCAGAGTTTCCTTCTCTTAGATGAGTTGCCGACCAAGGTTAACGAGTCTCATCCACCCGGGGTGATGTTTTTGCTTGACCGGCCTTTGGCTGAAATTATCTCTTAGATGAGTTGCCGACCAAGGTTAACGAGTCTCATCCACCCGGGGTGATGTTTTTGCTTGACCGGCCTTTGGCTGAAATTGAGGTTTGCTCAGTTTAGACCATTCGGCCACCCAGTCACCCATGCAGTGAATGACCATGGCGTTCTACGTGTCTGGTCATGTTCTCAGCGATTCACACCACTGTGCTGTCTCCGCCTTTTGTCCGTTGACCAAGTAGTGGTTCTTCCGCACAATTTGCCGGATTCAGTCTTTACATGCTATGGGGGACAACCCCTTTTTTTCCGAAAGTTCTATGCCCTTCGGCTACCCTCAACCTGGAATCGTTGTCTGGGTTGTAGTCGCTGTGCATGTTACAGCTTCTTGGAACCACAGGTGAGAGCTGAGTACAGAGACTTCCGGCTGTTTCCGAACAAGATGGCTTCTTCCTATTCAGCTCAACAGTAGATCTATATTGTAGTTGTAATTTAAAGGAGAAATACGTTGATAACAGCATAAATTCTGATCCTGAATGGAACCGCAAAACAATAAAAATTAATGAAAAGTTCGAATTTTCTTGCGTCGAAGCCAATTTCCAATAATCATCTTTAACTATCCCCCTTGCTTTACTGAAGCGCCTACACACTGAGATTCCTTCCTATTGTGTATTACTATACCGCCATCTTGTTGTAGCCGGAAGTATAAAAGACATATCAAAATCTTTACAAGCAGGGCTGGAAGTTAACAACCAAAAAACAAAATACATGACCATGATAAGAGAGGAACAAACAGATGAAACAATTAAAATTAGAAACCAAACTTTTGAAAAAGTAAATCAATTCAAATACCTAGGATCTTTGTTAAATGAAAGAAACGAATTACTAACAGAAATAAAAGAAAGAATATCAGCCGGAAACAGGGCATACTTCAGTAGTCAGAAAATACTCAAAAGTAAAAACATTACAAGAGCAACAAAGAAAACTATTTATAAAACTGTGATCAGACCAGTTGTAACATATGCAAGTGAAACTTGGACCTTAACAAAAACAGCAGAAAACCTATTAAACACATGGGAGAGGAAAGTTCTCAGGAAAATATATGGGCCAACAAAGGATGAATATGGATGGAGAATACGAACCAACCAGGAATTATACAGTATATATCAGGATCCTACGACAGTGGCAGATATAAAAAGAGGCAGGCTACGCTGGGCAGGACACCTAGAGAGAATGCCAAATGAGAGAGGAACGAAGAGGGTACATCACCAATACAAGAGGAAAAAGGCTCAAAGGCAGACCTAGGCTTAGGTGGATAGATGCTGTAGAAAAAGATCTACAGCAGCTGAAAGTCCAAGCATGGAAAAGAAAGGCATTAGTTAGGTCTGAGTGGAAGGAAGTAGTGAGGCAGGCCAAAGCCCTACATGGGCTGTAGCGCCACAGGGATGGATGGAAAAAAATGTCTGATAAACGTATGAATGTCAATCTCACCTTGACATCATAACCACCAATGGTAAGTCCAGCACCCACATTAGCATTGTCACTTTTTACTTGAATTGCAATTTCTCCCTGTAAGTAATTTAAAATTGAATGTACACACATTTAATCAATCAAATATAAATATTTAAAATAAAATTTATGATTGAACTTTTTATTAACAAAACATTTAAAAGAAATAAAAGTGCAGGATATTTGTCTTAAAATAATTAATTTTCAATTCAAACAACGTTTACAACTTCTATTTACCTTGCTAAACTGCCACGTTGGATGTGTAGCTTTGATTTTGTAATCTCCTGGCATGACATTAGAAAAGGTGAAGCTGAAAAATGCAAAGAAATTGTTACATAATCAAGCAATACTTGCTTTACTTTTTTTTAATGTTAATTGTAGTTTAATATATATATCAAGTGAATAACTTTTTAAAATGTTCAAAGCAGCTTTTGAGTGGTCTCAGAACTTCCAAATACAGGATCTGTCATGTGAGAGCACAAGGAGAGGGACTTAATACTTGAAATAAGTCTAAAGATCCACTCACCCAAAGATTTATTCAGCAATTGAGTTTTTTTAGCAGATAAACATTTGTCATTATCTAGCAATGTGCATAATATCCATAACCATATCATTCTAATCGAATGATGTGAAATTCCCAGTTATTTAAAGCCTTAACAACCCATTCTGAATACATTCTAGTTGGGGCACTCCACTACAAGAAGCATATTGACCAACAATTAATGGCACTTTTTTTTGGCTTCTAGCAGTTTCCGCCTTGTTCGCTATAATTACTCATAAATTAGGGGTGTACACTAATTAGAGATTTTCAAGAGGAAAGTATGAACTTTATTGAGAATTTTAAGATAAACTGTCATCCACACATCACACCTTCCTTTATCTGTTGTTTCTATGGATTTAAGAACATCAGGTTTTGATGAGGACAGTAATTCAAGTTGAACTCCAGCTGGCCCAACTGTTTGTCCTAAGCTGGCTACCTAAACAATACATTTGAAATACATATGGTTAAGGAGCTGTAATTTGCCATCTTTTTTAACAGAAAATACAAAAAAAAATTATGGGGGACCTATAAAACTTGACCTATGGATTTATTATTAGATAATAAACTCTTGATAACTATTACAAGCTGCTGCTTTGTTTTTCTTGTAGGTTTATCATAATTCAAATTTTCATAAAAATAAAATGAACTAATCTAAATCTGTTTCTGCTAAACATTGTTTTTACTTTAATAAAATATGATGATGACATATTTCAATATAAAATGAAACTTTAATCTTATGTGATGTGGTATTGAAACTTACCATTCCAGTTACAGAGAAGCCAGTAAATTTGAAATTGATATCCTCTCCTTTGCTGCAAGGATCATTTTCTCCATCTACGTTTAATTCAACACTCACAGGTTCTAAGAAAAAGTAGTAATACAACATAATTGCTGCAGTTTTCAAAATGATAATAGTAGGCCTAACTCTTAATCGGCTAGTTTGTAAAAATAAATTATTCATTTTGAAACACTTCTAATAAACTATCATTTTTAGTGAAAAAACGTACCGAAGCCCCAGCCTTTAGGAGGTTCAGCTTTCAAGACATAATCCCCTTTGTCATAAAGAGGAATAAGATAGTATCCTGTATTGGGTGCACAGTCAGTTTGATATTTAATACTGCCATGAGGGGTGTACAATTTTACCTAGAAAGAAGAAGGAAACAAATCCTCATCATCACAATGCAACTTTGCAATGGTAAGAATTAACAAATAATCTATACACATGTAAGATAATTAAATATATATATATATATATATATATAGAGAGAGAGAGAAAGAGTGAGCGTAAGAGTGAGAGAGATCCCTTATTTAACCCACGAACTGTGGCATAGATCATTCTGTAGTGTGGGAGCTTTTCAGGGCTTTTTAAGTGCCGGGTCGGCTATATTTATATAGTTCATGGGCGTGAAATAAAAAGTGTGCCGTGACGTATCATATGTAGCAAATATTCGGATTCTTAAATGCGCGTAACTTGAGTTCACGTTTTTTTCAAGTAACTTTAGTAGATGGGAGTTCACGCATTGCTGTCGCCAATGTTTGGCGGGCTATATCTAGTTTTAATAACTTTAGGTCATTTATTATGAAAAAAAAAAGAATCTGGAACCACAACTAAAACCAAGAACAACATACAAAATCTCAGCAGTAAAATATTTATTGCTGCTCGTATCCACCCGTCACAATGTGACGATGGTGTGGGCTTCGGAAGTCGAAATCCACAAGGCCTGGGATCAATGTTCCCTCTAAGGTTTGTTGGTTCGTGTGCAAAATCATAAAGTTGTGTGCAAATTTTTACAGCATCAATTTTTTTTTACTGCAAAATTGTACAGCCTACAGACACAAACTTAAGTGGAAATTAGCTGCGCTGCACTCAAAACTGCCGCGCAGCGTCTGTGAGATTGCTGCGCAGCCTCGCAGCTTAAAGGGAAAATTGCCTGGGATTATTCTTCAAGTATTATAAGCTGGTTACCAACAGCAAATTGCCTCTCTCCACGCCGCTGGATAACCCAAGGGAACATCAAGGGATGATACAGCTTGGCACCAGTGACGTCGCAGGAGTTGTCAGAATGTTTCATTGTACCGGTACCAATGTTATCCGCCTTTCGGGACTCCATCTCCGGGTTTGATTTCAGAGTTGCTTTCCAGGATTAACGGGTCCCAAATACCCGGGGTGCTGGTGATATTTTTGCTTGAATAGGCTCTGGCTGGAATTGAACTCCAGACCACCAACTTGAGATTTGCTCAGTTTAGACCACTAGTAAATATTTAAAAAGGAACTGTGGAACTGAGTTAGGTTATTTAACTTTAAAATTTATTAGTTCTGATCCATAATCTGTAGCTTCTGTGACTAAAATTCAGTCAGTCCTTGCCCAAACTCCGGGCCTGGCTCAAAGTCTAACAGTGGGCCTACTTCAGTATGACCGAGACTAGCATCAGATTCACTCGAAGAAATTCCGAACTGAGATCGTCATGGGGAATGTTAAAATCATCATCAGTATCACTTAAATCCTCTGCTAAAAAGCTTTCAAAAATATGTATATTAGTTCTCGACCTGAAGGCCCAGCTATAGCTTCAGCCAATTAAGCTTTAAAAAAAAACAGTGATAAAAAATTTTGATTAAAAAGTACTTATTGTTAAGGTATCAAGAAACAACTTGACTCGGAAGTTGATTTAATTATTAATAAAAGGAAATGGCTATGATTTCGGTTAAATATTGGATTGGAAGTTGCTATCTGCCGATTTTTCTGCCGCCACAGTACAGGATGAGAATATCGGCCAACCACAGTTCATGGGTTAAAAGCTTGCTAAATGAATAATGCATGACGCTTTACCAGAGAAAACATGGATTCTCTATGTGTACCAAAGTCCAGGGATTAGATTGTACTCGAACACTAAAAAATATTTTTTTTGTAGAATATATATACTGCATTTGTATCATAAATAATTCTGCCTTGAACATAGTTTCCTAAACTGTGCACCATGGCTCCTTGGGAGGGGTGATGCGCAGTAAAGAAAAATCCTTAAAAATTTACTTTTTTTGCAGAGCACTTGTTAGAATTTGACATAGGGTGCCTTGGAAAAACCTGGATGGAGCAAGGGTGCCTTGACTTGAAAAAGTTCTGTAGCCTAGTAACAATACTACTAATGAAATTTTATCCAGTGAGAGCCTAAGATAGAGTGTGTGTCACTGTGTGAGAACCTGGGGTATAGAACTGGGTAAACTACTTAAGTCTTAAGGTAAAATAGCACTTCAGACTTCAGCGTATTTAATTTATTGATACATAGGCCTAATGTGTGAAAAGAATATAAAGCTTAAGTTTATGAACAGTTCTACCCCAAGGTAACAAAGTTCTTGAAAAATATGATCACCACAAAAAAGTTTGCTGAACATGAACTTGTGCAAAATTGAGATAAGAAATGAAAAGAGTGCAGCTAGTGCCAAACAGCCAAACTATCTCTTCACTTGATTTTTTAGTGATTTGCACAGATCTATGTATTTTCAAAATTCTGTGTATCAATACCAGCGTCATTTGGATTAACAAAGTATTGTTGATGGACTTCTGGGCCATAGCTTACGCTGAAGTCACTCTGAAGTGGTATTGTACCAAACATAAGACTAAGTTAGTCACTAAGACTAAGAGACCTAAAATTTGGAGTGAAAACTAAAAGTAAAAGTGGAGTTCTGACTGAAATGAGATAGTGTTGAGTACAAGGTACTGGCTAAAGATACTGATAATAAGTGTTTTTGGTGATACTTGGCTTAGACTAAGAGTAACTCAATTAGATTGAGTTCAGTTTTAAGTTGGTTTTGAGTTCTAAGTGCGAGTGAGAGTGAGTTATTTTTTAACACGAAGCCGAAAATCAATTTGTAATTAAATGAATACCTCGACTAATGAGTAATTTATATCCACATCTGATTTAACAAATCCACCACAACCAAATACTCCATCTCCAGAAGTATATTTTATTAACAAAGATAAAATAGAAACATATATAAACGAAATTAAAACTGCCATAGTATCTAGGCCTTAACTATTGTCAGTAAAATCTGTCAGATGGAAACCATGACAGGAAATGAAGTGCCGCCGGAAGAAAAAAGTGTTTTCTTTTTTTCGTATATTTTCTCCTTTTATCAATTATATAAATGTATTTAATGCTAATGAATCTTTTCCCTGGACATATTTTTTCAGAATAACGGCATATTGCAATATTGTACTATTATATAAAAAAAACTTGTTTAAAAGATCTCTAGAGCCTAAATTTATGGATAAAGTTAGTTTTCTGATAAAGTGATAATAATCTCATTCTCAAAATGCTGCTAATTTTATTTATAATTATAGATTTCCACAATTTCACACACGAATTCCAATGTCTTAATACTTACTGCATAATTCACACTATCAAATTTTGCGTTAAATTTCTTTTTGAACGCATTATTTTGTTTTACTATGCACTACTATACAGTGCGTTCAAAAAGAAATTTAACTATCGAACTTTTAAATGTGAGCATTTTGAACTCAGCATTGGCAAAAGTAAGCAGCCTTTTATTTACAACAAAAACCGAAGAAAAAAAACTTTGTTTCGATCAAATTTCTGTTCGACCAAACTTCCGTTCGATCAAAATTCCGTTCGACTAAACTTCCGTTCGATCGAATTTCCGTTCGACCAAACTTCCGTTCGATCAAAATTCCGTTCGGCAAAAAATTCCGTTCGGTCTGAATTTCGTTCAACTAAACTTCCGTTCAACCAAACTTCCATTCGGCAAAAAATTCCGTTCGGTCAGATTTCCGTTTAACCAAACTTCCGTTCAACCAAACTTCCGTTCGATCAAATTTCCGTTCGATTAAACTTCCGTTCGTCCAAACTTCCGTTCGATAAAATTTCAGTTCAACTAAACTTCCGTTCGGCCAAACTTCCGTTCGATCAAATTTCCGTTCGATTAAACTTCCGTTCGACCAAACTTCCGTTCGATAAAATTTCCGTTCAACTAAACTTCCGTTCGGCCAAACTTCCGTTCGATCAAATTTCCGTTCGACCAAACTTCCGTTCGATCAAATTTTCGTTCGTTCAAACTTCCGTCGAATCAATTTACAGTCGACGAAATTTCTTTCGACGAAATTTCCGGTAACCGTTATAATTAGTTTAAAATTTATGCCCCAACTTTCCAAACTTCCACTCAATCAAATTTTCGTTCGGTCCAACTTCCGTTCGACCAAATTTCCGTTCGATTAAACTTCCGTTCGACCAAATTTCCGCCTGACCAAACTTCCGTTCGATAAAACTTCCGTTCGACCAAATTTCCGCCTGACCAAACTTCCGCTCGAACAAACTTCCGTTCGATCAAAATTTCCGTTAGGTCAAACTTCCTGTTGATCAAATTTCCGTTCGGTCAAACTACCGGTCGATCAAAATTCCGTACGGCCAAACTTCCGGTCCATCAAATTTCCGTCGACGAAATTTCTTTCGACGAAATTTCCGGTAACTGTTATAGTTAAACAAATTTGCCGCCACTCCCCCCCCCCCCCCAAAAAAAGCCTTCTTTACAAAAAAAAAAAAAAGTGCTTGATATTTTCTTTAAACTTGCACGAGTAAACACCATGAAATGAACAGGTTACCCTTTGTCTAGACACTGCACCAGGGCTACCACAGATCTTGGGAATTCACGACCCCCCTTGGGATCTGGGGAATAATTTTGAAAATCAGGCAAAACCTTGAGAAATCTTAACTGTGGTGAAGATTTTATTATATTTTTCAAAAAACGCAAACAATATACGTGATTTTTAAAAAAAAAGTGAAAATAAAGCAAACTAATTTTTATGGTAACAAGGGAAAAAAATATATATTTTTTTTAAATTTACTTTTCTGGTTTTAATTGTTAAAACCATTTATAAATAAATAAGTACTCTTCTGAAATTAAAGTTAATATTTTAAATCAACAACAAATTAATAATTAAAGAAAAATTTAATTTTCTCTTTTTTTTTAAGTTGAAGATTTGCAAATTACACCCAGGTGTTAAATGTTTATTAAACAGGGGGGGGAGGTGGTAGACTCGGAAACTTTAGCATGCGTATAATAAGACATTAGCAACCATACAAAAAACAGTACAAATCAAAGAGTGAATGATAGTGTTCTATCAAGAACCCATAGTAAAATTGGATTATTTCAATTACTTATACAATGTGTTCAAAATATTATGCATCCTTAAAAAGTCTAGCCTAATTTTCATCAATTGGAAAAAGTATTTGTGGATTGACACACAGGTAACTAAGATATTAAAATTATACATTGTAGGAAATAAATGAAAAATTCCTTTAATCAGTATTTCGTTTAAATAAAAACCATTATAATGTAAATTTACAAGAAAAAATAAACATACTTATTGCTTTCATAACTATCAATCCATTTTAACTACAATTATTATCAACAAATTTTGCTTAATAGCTTTGCAAACCCCACTACTAATCAACAGACTTACAATAAGAAAAAACAATTTTTGATGAAGAACCTTTTGCCTTTGTAAAAGGAATTGTGTGTTGTTTAGTCTTGTGAGCTTTGTTTCCAATGGACTTCTATTACACGTGGATTGTAGATGATATTTTTACCAGAGAATTAGGAGGTAACATTTAGTAGCCTAACTCCAGTGGGTGTTGATATTTTGGAAAATAAAATAATATAAATATTTTTTTTTAAAAACAAATTGTTTATTTATTTTATGTGATAAACATTTTTTTTAAGTGTCTTTTTCAATACATTTCAGTGAATTATTGTACCATGTGTTTCAGAGGCATTAATTCAATCTATTATTACATTAAGGACATAGGAAACCCCCCTCTCTCCCCCCACCCACCCCACCCCCCACATTTAAAAAAAACACTAAACTCTTTTATGATCTTGGGAGATCTTGGGAAATTTCATGACCATATCTTGGGAAATTTAAAAAAAGTGAGTGGCAGCCCTGCACTGCACCGGAAATCATTTCTCTCTGATAAACAACATGGCTGAATATCTCGCTTCGATTTTTGGAACAGAAAAGGACAAGTAAGACTTATTAAACATTTTAAAGAATGATATTTACCAAGTTTCTATACCATTTAACCAAGTTGAGTACCAATTTGCTTTAGTGAGCCTTGCTATCAATTTGTAATCCTATATACCTTGCAAACGATTCGAAAAAGGCATACCTCACACCACATCCGCTGTAGTTAATTTTTCGTATTTTACTAAAAATAACCATGCCATAACCACGATATATCAAAATATCATGGTAAATTTTGAGGACGATGCCCGGGGTTTCCCATCAAGGCCGCCATCTTTGTTGACATGATCCGTGAGAAGGTCACGGACCATATCAACCAAGATGATGGCCAAGTAAAAAAAAAAAGAAGTGTAAAGACATGTGTTGTGAAAAAGGGAACAGTTGGGAATTATTTTTTGCCATTTTTTCTTTTTTTTTTTTACCCTTTTTCTTAGTTTTCGTGGGCAGATGATGGACGTTGTGGAGATGATGGCCAAGTAAAAAAAAAAAAGAAGTGTAAAGACATGTGTTGTGAAAAAGGGAACAGTTGGGAATTATTTTTTGCCATTTTTTCTTTTTTTTTTTTACCCATTTTCATAGTTTTCGTGGGCAGATGATGGACGTTGTGGGGTAAATTTACGCAGATGATGGACGTTAAATTTACCGCCCGTTTTTTGAATCGTCTGGAAAGTCAGGGCGAAAAGAGTGTGATGGATTGGTTAATGAATGATGGTCTAGGCATTTCGATAAACGCTTGCGCATTCAGTTTGCTCATATGGAAAAAAGACGCAAAAACTGAAGTAGCCATCTTACAGTCGCATCTACGGTGACCTCGGATTTATGCGTTTTACGTCACAGTTTCCTATTTGTATATTTATTTTGTCATCAATTACGATAAAAAATTTTCTTCCGGTGACGCACATATCTTTAGACCAACTTGCTTTATCTCTGTTCTTTTTTTGTGTCACTTTGACGGTTCGGTAAGCTATAAAAATGTATAAATACTCCTTTTTAGCAATAAAATGACATTAAAACCTTTAAAAAGGAGTTAAGCATTCAAATGGGGTGGGGAATAACTTTGAAATAGTCCATATTCTATTTTCTAGGTTAATATAAACCTTTCTTATTTTCATCACGGTCTCATCACCGGAGGGAAAAAATAAATTTCTCCGTATTTTGTATCTTCACCGGAAACGAAATTCGCTCTCAGTATCAGTCAAAAGAGAGTTTTAATATTCCATAATCTTTTAATATCTGAATAAATCTAAGTAAATTTTCATTTTAGAATACAGAAATCGAAAATATAAATAAAATCTAATATAAGTTTGCTTCCACCAACTATTTCTAGGCCTACAACTACAATTAAACTATAATTTATAAGTCTATTCTTCTAAGCTTAGCCACTAAGCCTAAGTTTAGTAAGTTGTACCGGTACTATTTACTAATCTCTACTATAATTATAACTATTAATATTAAGCCCCAAAGTTTAATAAACTAATACAAATTTTCTAATACTACATAAGGCCTAATTTACATATTCAAATTGTTATCATATTGATAATTTCCAAATTTGGTAAAGTAAAGAGAAATTAAAATAGTTTTAATAATAATAATTAAATATTAATAGTATATGAAAGATTTATTAAAATACATCAAATTAATAAACAATACTCAAACAAAATCATCATAGTAATTATATTTTTATTAGGACATAGCAAAGCAGTACACAGACAATTATTTGATATATCAAATTAAATAACATTTTTGAACTTAGTTTCATCATCATGGACATTGACGATTTCATTTGAGTAATAATTTTTATTTATAATTACATGCGTTCAATTTTAAATATAAAAAAGACTTACTTACCTTTTAATAAATAGAATAATTGATTTAAGATTTAACACAAGCAAAATAAAATTAGTTAAAATTCAATAAACATGTTATTTTTTCGTTTTTTCCTGTATAAATAATGATTTTCCCAATTTTTCTGTTCACTTTTTTCTGAACATACCCTTAAATAAATTTTAAAAAAAATAAAAGTCTTGATGTTATACAAAAGTTTTGTTGTTTATTGTGTTGTATATTGCATTGAGAATGTCTCCTGAAAATTTGGTAGCATTATCTTTTAAAATCAAAAAGTTTTGGGCAAAATAAGGCAGAAATTTGTAAAGTGAGTCACACATTTTTTCAGTTAAATACTAAGATAAAGAAGGGGTTTTTAAAAAATCACCAAAAAAATCATAACTCCACTTCTATAAAAGATAGAAAGCTGAAATTGATGTTGTTGTAAAGCTTATAGCTAGCCCTTTAAAATGATATATAATTCATGGCAATCAGACAATATTTAAATTTTGTGTCAAAGTACCTAAATGGTCTCATTTCAGACCGGTACGAATGTCCCAATTGTAAAAAGGGCATGAAACTGTGCAAAATCGGGTTTTCAGATGGGTTTGCATGGAGGTGTCGCGACTAAAGCCATGGCAGTATTATTCGTAGTATAAGGAAGGGATCGTGGTTTAGTGACAGTAAATTGACATTTAGTGACATTCTATTATTGACACACTTTTGGGTGAAAAAACTGCCTTTGGGAAATATTGCGACAGAAGTGGGGGTTAATCCAACTACAATAACCGACTGGGTCAGCTTTTGTATGTGCTGAAGCGTGGTGTGTTTTGGTGAGTGAGAGCACTAAAGCCGCATGCTTGGGCGGAATGGGTAAAACCACCTCTACCACTAAAGCTGCATATAAGAATTAACCCACTGTATTGAAAATGGGAGAAAAAAAACAAGAACAAAAAATAATTATTAAATAAAGAATTGATAAAAACCCAACTTACAATTTCATGAATTACACTTTTTACACACTTTATTTCAAGTTCCACGGAATATAATATCCAGTAATATCAAAAGTCGTTGCAACAACAAGATGACAAGTGACGTAGCATTTAATCACACCGTTTAATCATATCCGCATAATTTTAAAGTACCCTATAAGAAATTAATTTCTCTATTTTACATCAGTATTTGTAACATTCTAAAAATTCCACACTCTTAATATGAATTTTAAAAACATAAAATTAAACTTTTAAAAACATAAAATTTAACTTTTCTTATAAAATTCGTTAATTATTCACATGAAATCTTGTTCCAACCAGTTGTTAAAATATTCCTTCACCGCCGCACAAATATTTAATAAACATGCAAATGACTTATAATGACATCATGGGCATGCCGACACTTCATCCCATGAAAATAAACAAATAAACAAAGGGGAAAAACTCCTGCACACTATTGAGTAAACACGGAAAAGCCGCCATGGGCACTGTTCTCAGGAAAAGCCAATATCATTCTTATTAATGATGATGCACTTGACTTACACAATTAGCAGACTTAACTTCACTATAATACTATGCACACTGCTCACAGTAATAATAATTATTTGACCTGAACACAGGTCACAGCACTGACTGCAGAAAAGTACTGAACACTCATAAAGTCATAACACTGAATTTGAATATTAAAAATATTTTTTTTTATTAGTAAAACAAGTCAACTCCTAAATCAAACATTTGTATGACCCAGCTGTAAAACTATATGAACTATATAATTGTCTCCTAGGCCTAGGCTAATTCAGATTGATCAGCCCGTAATGTCATTTGCGTGTTTATTAAAGTTGCAGTGAATTAGGGTTAAGGTTAGGTTTAAGGATACACTTAGGGTTCAGGTTAGGTTTAGGGATAGATTTTAGGGTTCAGGTTAGGTTTAGGGAAACATTTAGGGTTCAGGTTAGGAATAGTAAAGTTTAGAGATACATTTAGTACATAAGTTCGTGGGTTGTGATAAACAAGATGGCGGCCGCGGGCTGACCTCTCCGAATTTACTGTCTCCTATACTATATATACTTTCATACTAACCCTGAATGATAGGTCTATATAATAATAATATATATGTCCAGCAATGTTCCCTTTAAGCTGCACGGCCGCGCAGCTATCTCGCAGACGCCGCGCAGCGCAGCAAATTCCATGTAAGTGTGTGTGAGTGTGTGGGCTGTAAAAGTTTGCACACAAAAAAATTGATGCTGTAAAACTTTACACACAACTGTATGATTTTGCACACGAACCAGCAAAGCTTAGAGCAGGGGTCGGGAACATGGCTCTATTGATGGCTGCATCAAACACCTTTGATTAGCAACAACATAAAAATGATATTAAAAAGAATTCATAGACATAATTAATAATGCATTTTTAGTGTTTAAATTACACAAAACTCATACAATCATTTGAATTTTTAGTTTTAAACATAATGTATGGCTCTCACAGAGTTACTTTTCAAAATATGTGGTGTCCATGGCTCTCTCAGACAAAAAGGTTCCCGACCCCTGCCTTAGAAGGAACATTGATGTCCAGTATACCAAAAAAAAAGGCTGAAAATAGCCTTCACCAATTTCAAGGCCTTCATTCATTTCACCACATTTGGTGTGAATGTAGCTTCAGTGGTTTTGGCAAAAAGCCTAGAATTTAGATTTCTGTATCTGTACCGCTGGTGATGTCTTCCAAGGTATAGTATAAGTGTAAGCATATGTTATGGAGGTTCCCCTGGCCAACTACAACTACAAGCCATTGTTCTGTATTGTATTGGAATGATTTCAACTTTTTAGCTCTGTATTTATTTGTTCCCCTCCCCAGATTAAATTATTTTGTTTGTTATTTTATATTTGTCTTTAAGGTTGGAGAGGGGTCTCTTTTGGAGAAGGATGAGACCACTCTTGTGAAAAAAGATAATGTAAACCAAATATTTACCCCAAAAAGTTATTTGTAAATGATCAATTAAAAAACTATTTTAGTAGGTTTTTTTTTAGCTATGAATTTAAAAACATCAACTTGTGAAATATGAAAATATCATTTCCTTTTTTTAATGGTCTTTCTATAAATATCAACCTAATTTCTTTTTATAAAAGATTTTGACCTTGTAGTTTGACATATAATTATAAGCAAAATTGTAAAATATAAGTGTAAAATAGACCTTATTAACTTTATTGTATGTGTCAGATATGTAGCAAGACCAGATGATGACTTCACATATTCTCATTTTCTTAAATCATATCATATACATATATATATATATATAAAAGTGAAAGTTTGTGGGTCTGTCTGTTCCACAAAGGCTTTTACATGGATTGATGGATCTTGACCAAACTTGGCACATATATCCATAATTATCCAGAAGGAACTCTTAAGGGGTTATGAACTTTTTATAACATTCCCCGAATTTATTTTTTTCCTTATATGCGCTATATAAATAAAATTAACAACAATCACTCCTACATGAATGGATGTATCTTGACCATACTTAGTACACATACACTTTATTAACCATCTTCATATACAGACGTAATATCCATTCATTTCATTTTTTCTTATATAAGCTATATAAATATCAATAGGCTTAGACAACACTATAGTTTCTATGTGAATTGATGGATATAGACCTAGCGTTGAAGCAATACCCTTCATTGTCTGTATTGAAATATCGGTGGATTTAAAACTAATAATATCCATTCTACAATTTTCCAGAAAGTTCGATTATTTTAAAAAGCTATATCTATGGCATTTTTAAGTAGATTTTAATGGGGCCAATTTTAAATTTTAACTCTATTTTTATCAGTCTGATATTTGTAGGGCCCCTTATCTCAGGCATAACTAAATCATTGCAGTTATGGAATGGGCCCCCTGGGGCACCTTGAATAACTTAAAAGAAAAAGGATTATAAATATAGCATTTGTTGAAGATTTTATCATATTTAAAAAAATAATTAGAAAAGTAGTTTTTACACATGTTTTGAGCAGGTTATTAAATTTAATCAAAAATATTTCAAAAAAGTCTAAATTGTTACAAGGAGATATATAGTGGGATATAAGGGATAATTGAAATGTTAGTTAGTTCTATTCATTTCTATACTGCCCTGGAGTTTACTGTTCTCTCAGTACCACTGAAGAATTTTTTTATACGGGATCCCAAATGGGTCGGGATCCCATCATAATCTATATCCCAACAGGATCAGGATTCCACCAGAAAATGGGATCCCATTGGGATCCAAACCTTGAATGGATCCACCGGGATCAGAATCACACCGGGAAACGGGACTGCGCCAAGATCTGTGTCAGAATGTGGTCCTAATGTAATCCTGTGCAACGCGGGGTATATAGGCTAGTATATAATAACCGCGGACCACAATTATAGCCATTTATTGGATATTTCATAGATAACATTGTAATTTGATGTCAATGGCATGTTGATAGCACATATTGCATTTACCTAATTTGATACAATCCTATAAAAAACACCCAAAATTCTATTAAAAGCAAAGAGACCAGGGTTTCTTTACCTTATTAGTTCTTTAATTCCCTTTGCTTTTCAGATACCTTCTTAAAATAAAGTCTTTAAATACATATGATTTTTTTTTCCCCCCCTTTGAAACCTTAGGTTAAAAACTTTGACCTAGAGTTAAGTTTATATCGATAATTCATTTTCCATAAGCCGATGCATTAAAAAAGTTAATTACTAATTATCTGCCCATTTATTCGTGCTAGCCTTTATAGACTGTTGGAGCTCTGAGCAGAGCTGGAGCTAGCAAAACACGTTATCATAGAGCAAAGAAAAGATTCTGCTCCAACATTCCAATCCTAGGCTTAATATTAGGCATTATGGTCATTACTTAAACTATTTTCATTAATTTTTCCATTCCCAAGGACTGGGCAAACAGATATATCCTTTTTTGTAAACAATTAACAAATGGGGAAAAGACCATTTGCAGACATGAACTTAATGCAAAAATACATATATAAACATTCATAAAAAATTTAACCAGAGCTTAACCTTTACGCTCTAGTTAGGCTTCTGAGAAATGATGATGGCAGGCGGTGAAGAGGAAGAAAGGAATTATTGTTTAGAATGGTCCCGTAGTCACCTTCCTTTAATACATCAGGTAAATTCCTTGATGCTGATCAATTATTTATTTGTCCCTTTGAAAACAATTTCCTAGCTCTTGAAAAATTTGTTGAGGATTGACCTTTGTCAAATGTATTTCATTAATATAAATGATAGCAAATTTTAAGGTTTCCCTATATTAGGTTTTTTGGAATCGTAATCTATACATTATTTCATTCTTTCTCCTTTGTCTAATCAGCTTGTATTTATTTATTTTAAAAATATAAAAATTAAATAATTCATTATATATTTAAACAGTAAACTAAATTTTGTTACATTTGTCACCTCTTCACTATTTCAAAACATTTAAATTTAAAGGAAATTTGATAAATATGCTTTAGTAGTTAGCACTTACTTTTACACACTAACTTGACTTTTCCTTTGTCACTCAGTCTTCACAATGGTGCTTAGCAGTATGCCTAGTACCTATTTTAAAATTAAGTATTTATATCTCTACAGTCTACACTAATGTAATGTCCCTGAACATGGATCACAGCCATAATCATTGACTTTGGCCCTGGCCAGGAATTCTAGTTTTCAATCATAACCTGAGATCAAGAGTCGTAGTTGTCATAGTCATTGACATAAGGCCCTGGGTCATAGTAATTATAATTGCTTGGGTCATAGTCACTGATGAGGCCCTAGCCATGGGTTAAGTTGTCATATTCATGAACTCGAGGCCCTGGTCATAGTTATCATAGTCATTGCCTTGAGAGCCAAATAAGTATTTATAATAAGTATTTGCATTCCATGCTCAAGAGAATCTTGTCCCACCATCATCATTCTTAGGCCTGAGACTATTAGTATTACCATTATGGTGAGCTTAAGAGTTATTGGTTAAAATTTCAGATATCTCAATTATTTAAATTTGATTTTTTCAGTTAATGTGGTCTGTACACTAATATTTGCACTCTACCATACTATAGGAGTACATACTTCTAGCATACTTCCGTTTTGATTTAAAATTATTTCAACTATTTTTAATTATTGCCTGTAATATTTCAGAGTAAATTGTTCATTTTACTTCAAAATTGGAGCATGTCGTCATGGTGACCGCTGTTCACGTCTTCACAACAGACCAACTTTTAGTCAAGTATGTATCATTTTCATATTCTGTCCTAATTCTATTTAAATCTTATTGAAATTTTTACATTTGCAATGTCCTGTTCAATTTATTTGAAAGCTTTTTATAATAATTTTCAACACTGTTATTTTATACATGTTGAATGTCATATTTCCCCATTATAATATCATAAATATGACAATTATTAGCATTCATGGAAAGCACACAAACCAGTTAAAGAAAATGTTGGTTGTAACATAGCCATTATGTTACATTAAATTAGTTTTTGAAGGAAATGTTAAATTCTTAAATAAAAAAAAAATAGTATATAGAAAGAGAGAATTTAAAACATCACATTTTGCTTTACAGACTATTTTGCTGCAAAATCTTTACTTGAATCCACAAAATGCAGCTCTCACGGCTGATGGCTCACACAGTGAGTATAGTAAAGCATGCTCATACCATCATTATCCACCTTAGTTTCTTGTATTTCTTTCAGAAATTATTCTATCTTTAAATAATTTAATTGGTCTTTAACTCATGTTAATTACAAACTTTAATATTAATAATCAAGAGCTATTATCAATGGAAAATATCAACCATATGCTTCTTTCTTAAATTCTTGACTGTCTAAAAAGCATAATGAGAACAACAAATTTTGTTATCCAGTTATGTTAGATGATGTCCAGGCCCAACAAGAGTATGATGAGTTCTTCGAAGAAATTTTTGTGGAGTTAGAAGACAAGGTATTGATTTCACAGTGTTTCTACTTTGTATTTTTTCAAATTGCCAATGGCTGATTTTGGTCAAAATAAATGCTTAAAATAACAAAAATTGGGGGGGGGGTCCTTTTTCAGAGAAATTACAATGATTCATGATTTGTTCCACATCAATAAGATATATTGTCCTCTTTTTTTTAAATCCTTTATATTAACTTCACTTTTGCTCGTGGCTGGGTGTTGGACTAGCAAAATCTTAAGACAGCTAATTGACTCACTTCCTGTCACCCTATCAAGCTGAAACTTGGCACATAGACTAGTTGCAGATGAAAAAACATTCTATCAAATTTTCAGCCTTAGACCCTTACCCAATTTTTTAAGTGGAACATGAAGGAAAATTCTTGATAATTGCACTAAATGAGATTTTTTTTTTTTAATATCGCAATAGCATTTTTTTTGCATAATATTTTCTTTTGTTAAGGATTTATACAGAAAACATGCTTAGGGGTTGTTTAATTTTCTTCGAGTTGATACTTAACTATTTCTGCAATCCCATACTTTTACTATTTTTTTATTTGCCTTTGTTTTTCTTTTTTTTCTTTATAACTTATATATTATATTTGTAATAAAACTGCTGAATTTTTATTTTTTAGTATGGAGAAATTGAAGAAATGAATGTCTGTGACAACCTTGGTGATCACTTGGTGGGCAATGTCTATGTCAGGGTATGTACACTGTAGCATCACATGAACCCTTTATGTCATGATTAAATGCTATCTACTCCATTTATCTTTCATTTTAATTTGTATGGTTAAATTTTATTTGATTTCAAGAGACGATGATGCTGTAGTGATGTTTTCTATTTTATTAAATAACCGTTTTATTGATTATCATATGGGAAAGCGTGCCATGGATGTAATGTGACATGGATGTAGACTATTTGTTAACATGCATCAGGGTATATATTGTATTTTGATTTTTAAAATCTTGAATAAATCTTATATTAGCTATATTAAAATAAAATTGTATCTTACTATTATATATTGTCCATTTGATTATTTAATTAAAAGTGGTTTTCAAGCTAAAAGATATCTGTAAGGTAGCACATTAAAGCAGTTAGTATACTATTATTTTATTCCTGTTTAATTGTAAGCATTGTGATATTTATAAATATTCCTGTTCATTTGTTTAAAATAAGTGAGTGACAAATGAAATTGTAATATAAAAAAATAGTTTGAAATGTTAGACAGGCATCTTGTCCAACAGTAAAAGATTTGAGTCTACATTTTTAAAAGTTTTTTTTTTTTTTAGATATCAATCTTTTTTTTAAACAAAAAAAAAAATTGAAATTAATTGTAAATTTTTTTTTTTTTTGGGAAAAAAATTTTCTTGCTTCATTTGTAATGGTTTTGCACATTTTTATTAAAGATTTGAGTCTATATTTTTAAAAGTTTTTTTTTTTTTTTAGATATCAATCTTTTTTTTAAACAAAAAAAAAAATTGAAATTAATTGTAAATTTTTTTTTAGTTTGGGAAAAAAATTTGCTTGCTTCATTTGTAATGGTTTTGCACATTTTTATTCTCAAGTTCCATAAAGAGGAAGATGCAGAGAAGGCTGTTGGAGAGTTGAACAATCGTTGGTTTAACCAAAGGCCAATACACTGTGAACTTTCACCTGTAACAGACTTCAGGGAGGCCTGCTGTAGGCAGTATGAGATGGGGTGAGTTAAAATTGCAATCAGTGCTCTAATCATTTTAATTTTTCATCATCATCATCAGTGTTGCTACAGCCCATATAGGGCCCTGGCCTGCTCTACCACATCCTTTCATTCGGATCAACCCATGACTTTCCGCCTCCATGCCTGAACCCCCAACTGGTGTAAAACTTCTCTACATCTTAGAGCCGTCTGCCCCTAGGCTTCTACCTGTATATCACTTTTGCTGCACTACAATCCGGCATCCTTTCAATATGTCCTGCCCATTGCAGTTTGCCCTTTTTTATTGTTGCAACTATCGGTGGATCTTCGTACAATTGGTATCGCTCTTGGTTTGTACGGATTCTCCTGACATCATTGTCTATCACCGGGCGATATATTTTCTGAGGATTTCTCTCTCCCGCTTATTGAGCAGGCTCTCTGCTTTTCTGGTAAGGGAACAAGTCTCACTATCGTAAGTTACTACTGGTCTTATGATAGTCATGTATATTGTCTTCTTTGTTCCCCTTAAGAGGTTTTTGCTTCCCAGTAGCTTTTGTTGGCTGAAATAGGAACGGTTGCCTGCTTTTATCCTTTCTTTCACCTCAAACATCTTTTCATTGTGCTCGATTATAGTCACCCCCTAGATATTTGAAAGTAGCCACTCTCAAATTTGTGGTTGTTTATATTGATGATGTCATCAGCGTAGGTGTTTCTTGACATCATATATGTTGTCTTTGTTTCATTTACATCAAGACCAGTTTTGACTGAGGCATTTTTAAGTTCTCTGAATGTTTTAATTATGTAATTTATGTATGGTTTCACTGAATGCTTCCAATAACTTTTTCTAGCGTGATGTTAAACAGGATACATGATAGTAAATCTCATTGTCTGAGGCCCTGAATAACTGGGAACTCCCTTGAGTATTCTCTCTATATCTTGATTCTACTTTTGGAATTAGCCATCGTCATATGTATGAGCCGAGTAAGCTTGTTAGGGACTCCAAGTTCTTGAAGAACATTGTATAGGTACTTCCTGTCTACGCTATCATATGCTGTTTTGTAATCCATATATAGTTGGTGTATGTCGATGTTATATTCGTAGCATTTCTCCAGGAGACATCTGGTATAAAAATATGATCTGCAGTTGACCTATTCTGCTGGAATCTGCATTGGTAGTCCCCTAGGATCTGTTCAGTATACCTTTCCAGTTTTCGTACTACACTTTTTTTGAGGACTTTGTACATTACTTTTAGGAGGGAGATTCCTCTATAGTTTGAGCATACCAACTTTGATCCTTTTTTGTGTATTGGGATTATGAGTGCAGTGTCGCATTCTAATGGCATTTCTTCCTCCTGCCAGATTCTGGATATGAGGTTGTTTAATTTTTAGTCATGTTTTTTATAATAATTAATGGTTCATTTTTAAATGAGAATTCTTAATATAAAAGTACAGTTTAAATGAACTTTCCTTAACAGAGAGTGCACCCGTGGAGGCTTTTGCAACTTCATGCACCTGAAGCCCATTTCTCGTGAACTCAGAAGGGAACTTTATGGTCGAAGTGGACGCAAGAAGGGCAGAAAGTAAGGATATTAATTTATTTTTTAAACATCTCCTTTTTAAGAAGTTATTAGTTCCCAAAATGTATCAAGGGAACTAAATTTGTTACAACTTTATCATAGAAGCTTTATTGTGGATTAGATTTGATTTCACATTTATTTTTGTTGAAGTTCATTGTTTGTGAAAGGCCAATTGTTTATGTTCTTAGATCAAGATCAAGATCTCCACCAACAAGCAACAGTGGCAGAAGAGAATCCAAGGGCAGCAGAGACAGGGAGGAGCGCAATAATAGTTCCCGTGAAAATGGCAGACCTGAGCGGGAGCGTGGTGGCAGAGGAGGCGGGGGAGGCGGAGCAGAGCGTGGTGATCGGGGTGGTGACAGACGGGATCGCAGAAGGTCAAGATCCAGAGATCGCCATGGCAGATATTGAGCTTTTAGTGTTTTGGGAGAGGGGTAAATGGTCAGGGTCGAATGTTATTGTGAAGACTTTTACATTCATATTTTTGCTTTCAGTATTGCAGAAAATGGAGAAGGATTATTCCTGTTGGGGCATAGAATTGAAAATTATCTTGTCAATTAGTATTGTTTTGTAACATTTAAGAGATTTTAAGTTTTGCACTGCATTTTAATGGTTTTATTACACTTTGAATACAAGTGAAAAAACTTAATTAAACTATGATAGAGAGAATGTTTTTTTAATTTACATACATTTTCAGCAGAACGGGGCGGTATTTGAAGGATTTTATTGGTGAACTTACAGAAAAGCTTGCAAGTGCCACACATAAGCATTGTCCTTCATTTCAAATCTTTTCAATACTTAGGCACTTAATATGTTTCTACTGACCATAAGAGTTCATCTAATCATCCAGTGAGGCTGTTATTAGTAGCTTAACATAATCATTTTCATTTATGTTTTATCTGAAAAAGTTATTTTTTTTAGTTTTTAATCAGTGGCCCTCAAACTTGCCATAAAGTTTATCTGATCACAGTGACTATTGAACCTTGACATCAACATTTGTTTATATTAACAAAAAAAAAAAAAGCATCAAATAATTAATAATAAATTTAGATTAAATCTCTTTCCATATTCCCAAATAGATCCTTTTCAATGATCGAACAGTTTAAGTTTAAGACACTTTGCTTTAGAAGATGTAGAAATCCTCTACTTACTATTCATAACGTGACATCTGATGTTCACCAGTATTTAATTCCTCCAATTGAAACATTTATTTTATTTGGAGAAATATTGTTGTTTTTGCATAGAGCATATAGATTAACTAATAAATAATTTTAAATGGTAACTACCCCTGTGGAGTTAATGTAAATTAATTTGACAACATTGTTTCTTATTTTTACTGGATAAGCTAAGAGTCAATCAAAAAGTTCAATTTTTTAGTTGCTTTGAAATTGTTACCTTTTTTTTTTATTTGGTAAAAATGGCTGTCAAATAATACATAGACTTAACAATCATCTTTTTTTGTCTCTTCATCAAACCAAATAAATACTTCTCAAAATTATTCCTTTCCATTCACCATTTAATATAATAAATATGATTTTGTTTATCTTATATTTGAGTGTTCTACGGAGCATTATTATTTTTTGAACTATTGATAGTTATCTCACCTGACATTACCTTCATTCTCTATTTTTTTATGTTGTCAAAAGTTTTCCGTTACAATAAAATAAAAATTGTGGCAATGCAATTTCAGGTTATGTTGTTGTTTTTTTACTATGGTGTGCCATAGATGAAATTTAAATGAGATGAATGTGTCATTTTAATGAGGATGGTGGCATTCTATAAACCGGTCGATCAAATTTCCGTTCGATCAAACTTCCATCTATCAATTTACCGTCGACGAAATTTCCGGATACGAATTATAACAATACCTTCATAGAGGTATAGATTCTGTAGGCTTTCCAGGCCCAGTAGGCACTAACGTTGGAAGGATGGTTGGCATTTTTGAGCAACATAATTGCATAATTTTTAAAATAAAAAAGGGTTGGGTAAAATATTGTCCCGCCCCAGGTGCCACTAAACTTAGCTACGCCACTACACGTAGGGCTGTTAGTCAACACTGTCTATTTGGCACTCACGACTGGATCCATTAAAAATTTTGTGATCCGGAATATATAAAAATTCTTTTGTTTCCCAATCTGTACGAATTGACCAGCGTGCTCCCTCTGAAGTCACAAATCTGAATGAGGACTAAAAGTCCCTGAATTCATGGACTGACTGTTTTTTTCACTAGTGAAATAATTGTGTTCAAATTGTGTTCAAATTGTTTTATTTATGTGCTGAAAATGTACTATGCAATCAAAAACATTTCCATTTGTTTGGATCAATAATATAATCTTATCTTATCTTATTAGTTCAATCTAAAAAAAAAAAAAAAACATCGCTCAGACTCAATATACCAACGCTTTTATGCATTGTGGTAGTAAGGAACTGGTAGTAAAATGCACAAATTTGGGAGTTGAATGGGTATGGCTCGTTCGAGGTAGAAAAGACTCGATCGTCTGAGCCTGAAGTAGTCGCTTTTTAGTAGTTATATATAGGACTTAACCTATGTTTTTTTTTCCACTGGGTCCGGGTATTTTGAGAAAATACCCGGCAGTTCCAAGTGTTACTAGGAAAAAAAAGAGTTCACTGCTCATTTCAATAACATGCATCGAAATTTACTGCCCTATACTACGTCACAGTGAGCGTGTACTGCCTTCGTCAACAGTTTGTGCCAAGAAATAACCCACTGATAGGAACAGGCAGTTGCCGGCAGGGTTTCTTTCAGCTAGATCTCGGGGGGGGGGGGGGGGGGGGGCTGCCCCCGGGGAAAGCCAAGTGCCCCCCGGGGCAAAAATAGGTCCAACAAATCAACTGGCACTGGCCCCCCATTTGTGCCAAGAAATAACCCACTGATAGGAACAGGCAGTTGCCGGCAGGGTTTCTTTCAGCTAGATCTCGGGGGGGGGGGGAGGGGGGCTGCCCCCGGGGAAAGCCAAGTGCCCTCCGGAGCAAAAATATGTCCAACAAATCAACTGGCACTGGCCCCCCTCGAATTTCTGAAATAATCACTGGTTGCCGGATCGCTGAATATAGATGACTTTGTACAAAAACCCGTCGACAGAGAAGATAATGTCGTTCATTTTATAACAAAGACTTGCCCAACAACAGTCGCAGTGTAATGAAAATAGCAATACTGATGCAATAGCTTCCTGTACCAGGCTACGGAACAGACTCACAGGTGCGCGCACATGCCCGAAGTGAAAGGACGACGTATGCCCAAGTTCTGTGGGATGTGCAGTTCCAGCAACAATACAAAAAATATGCTGAAAAAATCCTTTCTTAAGAAAAAAAATCAACCGGAGTTCAGACGTCACGCATGAAGCTCGCTGCATGACAGCCTTTTCTTCACTATTTATTGTAAATATAAAAGATGTGGTGTTGGGAAGGGGGTGTCGGGTGTGGTTTTTGAAGAGGAAGCAGGACGTACCAGGACGTAATAAAATCTTAGTTTAGTTATGCAAATTTTATGTAAGTTTTTATTTTTTTTAGGGGTAACGTGACGCTGAAATTAAGGTAGGGGAGGAAAGACTGTCGGCCGCTTCAAATACCTAGGAGCAATAGTCTCAGAAGAAGGCTCCAAGCCCGATCTGATGTCCAGGATTGCGCAGACTACAACAGCACTAAAAAAACTCAAGAAAATATGGAATGACAAAAATATAGCCGCCCCCCCCCCCCCACACACACCGAAATCAGGCTGATGCGCTAATTAGTCCTCTCAATTTTCCTGTATGCCTGCTAATCCTGGACATTAACAGCCAATCTTGAAAGGAAAATAAAGGTGATGGAGATGAGATGCTTCAGAAGCATTTTTGGCATCTTCTATAGGGACCATATCTCCAATGATACAGTGCAAGAAAGGGTTCGTCAGGCTATTGGGGAGTACGATGACCTACTGGTGACTGTGAAAAAACACAAATTACAATGGTACGGCCACGTAACAAGGAAACAAGGGCTTGCCAAAGAAATATTGCAGGGCACCACAACAGGAGGGAGAAGAAGAGGAAGACAAAGAAAAAGGTGGGAGGATAACATCAAAGAGTGGACAGGACTAACACTGGGCGATGCAGTGTGTAGTGCTGAAGATAGAGAGGAATGGAGAAGGATGGTTCACATATCATCTGTGGCGCCCCAACGGTTCAAGAACTAAGGGACATGTGGATGAACGTGACGCTTGGTTGGGGGGGGGGGTAAAGAATTTGTGACAGGAGGTCTAAAAAGGCCCTTTTTATTAGCGAGACGTAATTTGCGAACGCCCCCTTATAATAGCGGGATTTCACCGCCTATTCTTAGATTTCCAACTGGGTCAAATTCTTACTTTGCCTTTTAAAGTAAGAAGTAAATGATAATTGTATGGTGGTAAAGCGTCTTTAGTTACATTACATGTATGTTGTTTTTCACTCTAAATGAAGTATTACATATTAAATGCCTATTTGATATTTGAAAGTATGCAAGCGTATAGCATTAACTTTTTATTGTTGTTTTGTTAGTAATTATGATAAATATATTAAAAATTAGAGATGAAGACTCCCTGGGCATGGCGTCTTAGACTATAATATACTTTAAATTAAACTATAACTAAGTTTAAATTTAAACACTGAAATATAAAAATTCAAAACACTGAAATCAGTGTCATTGTCAGTCATGATCATATCATAATCATTCTGATGAAAGTCATACTACTCATACTGTGATGTAGTCTAATTTGACTAAGAGTCTTAATTAAACTTTGAACACTTAACCTTGTAGTTTGGTGCTTCGCCGCTGTTGACATTCACAATTACCTGGGCCTGGGCATTGAAATTAAATTAATACTTATCTTACCACACGCTATTTGAAAAGAATTAACAAAATTTAGTAAAAAGGATGTTAAGCTAATTGTATACATTTTTAACATATTGAAGTGCTCTGAAAAGTACTTGCAAATGTTCTTACCCAGTAAAATTGAATTAATTTTTAAAGAGCCAAACACTTAATTTCAAATAGCCTACCCTGAAACAAGATAAAAGAGACATACAAAACTTTTGAAATGAGAGTTTTCTAACCGCCTAACTACTTAAATAAAACTTAATTTTATAACAGAATTGTTATGGCGACCAGGACAAAAAGTGTTGATAAAACAGGAGATCATAAAGCAAGTGAAGCACTCCTGAAACAACGAGTTAAAGAGGTAGTACAATTAATTAGTTTTCTGTTGTGTTCCCTTAGAGAGCTGTTTTAAAAATTATTATTTATACTTAATTTACCATTTGCGAAACAAGCAAAAAATATTTTAGAAGTTGGATACCCTGGATGGCAATTTATGTATTGTTTTGGCCCCACTATATTTATATGCCGCTGTAGGGTAATAGGATGTAAATGAAGTCTTGAAAATTGAGTATTTCTGCATTTATATCTTAGTTTTTAAAGAATGTGTTGCTTGAATTTCACAATGTACAGTGGTTCACATTTATCATAAAATAATATGTGAATGAATTCATATTGTGATGAATAGTTGTCTGAGTCTGAGATATTCTAAACAAATGGATTTTTACCTTTTTTTTAATAAATAAAAAGAATAACTCAATTTTTAAGTGATGACAATTTTAAAATTGCTACAGAAAAAAAACATGCACATTAACATATTAAACTTAATTAGTCCACAATTTAGAAGTGTCTAGTTCATATTTGATTGGTAGATTTGGAATTGTTTTTAAAAAAAAATGTTTTTCAGTGTTTTGAATTACATTTTGTTTTTTGAATCACAAAAGGTTTGAAACAAAAATAGAGAGGAATGGGAACAAGACAAATTTTGTTTAAGATCCTTGAATGTTACATTTTAATGTAAATTCCTGTTATTTTTGTCATAACTATATACTATATATTACCAAAGTAAGCTACTTATTAGATATGTTCTTAGCCTATATAAAAATTATTTCTAGCTAGAGGATGAAGTCGCATCTCTTAAACGCAGATTGGATGAATTGCGCAAAGCCAAAAATACGAAAGTTGTGAAAAGAGAAAGGGAAATATTAGAAGTAGGGGTGCCGTTTGGTCGAAGGTAAGAAAAATAGTTGTCCTTTATTGTTAAAACACACGCAAAAATGGAAAAAGCTGTATATAATATAATGTATATTTTACCTGGCATCTATCGGTAACTGTGGTATTGTGTACATATCTATGAAGCTAATTTCATTTTCTTCTTTTATGACCTTACAATTTTTTGTTCAATTAAATTTTCTTTTATTTATGATTGATTTTTTTTGGGTACTTTTCCAATGTTTTTTTTATTCAAATTTTCCTTCAGGTGGAATTATTTTTCATTGAGATGAGCTGTTTCCACAAAAATCTTAAGGAACAAATTAAACCCCATAATATAAACCAAGATAATGGTCTTATTAATTTATACAGTTTATAAAGACTCTGTAATACGTTAAAAAAAGAATATGTTTCTCTATTAATTTTCTTCTTCTTCTTCTTTATTTTAAGGGCCCATGATCAATGAATTGATCATTCTGGCTCTTATATTATGCATAGGTCAATTGGGTTTATAATATCCTGTAGCTTTATCTGGCATTGTAATGACTAGCAAAATAAACATAATTGCTGATAATGCTTTTCAAATTGAGTATAAAAACAATAGTATAGATGAAAATGGGCTGTTATAGCCATACTAAATCTTTGTGCAAGTTTAACATAACTGATCATTTTATGTGTCTTTGGTAAAAAAATCAATGTACTGAGTTTTTTTTAAAGCATTTTTTTTCCAAAATTGTGATGTATTAACCACAGCCATTTAAACAAAATCTCATTACATTAATCTGTTAGTTCATACACAACCTCTATGTAAATGTAGTTCATATTAGATACAAAAAAAAACAATGAGACAAATATCTGTACAAGGCTTGACTCCACGGAAAATTGTAAGAAATAAAGCAGTTGTACTCTCCTAATCATCTTTAAGGAAGAACATGCAATCATGCTGTTGACCTCAAAATGAATAACACAAAATCAAAAGAATCTTCAGAAATAAGTAGGGACGGTGAATAAATTCATATTTAATTAGTGCTAGCCAGCAGCTGACTGACAGAAACCCCTATAGTAACTATTACCCCAGCGACTATTCACAGCAATTATCAGCTGTTTTCTATGGTGACGATTTTCTTATCCTCTTCCGTGTCTTGAGAGTTCTTGTCTTTTGCTTTACTTGGGATTGGATCCAACTCAAAGTTCTCAAGCTCTTTCATAATCTCATCCATAAAGTCTGTGGAATTATGCTTGTAGGCCAATGCTGCTCTGATAGAATCTTTAAATAACCTGACAACATTAGTCCCATCAGCAGCTGACACATAGTAGAATGGCATATTATGTTTCTTGGCAAAGGCAAAGGATTTTTTGGTTGTATTCAAGTCCTCATCAATCTTATTTGCAGCACACAAACATGGTATCTCTGGCCTATAGGTTTTTAAGTCTTTCAGCCATTCTGATAAGTTTTTGTAAGTGATTTTTCTTGTGCAGTCGAAAACTAGAATACATGCATTTGCTTGATGGTAATATGATGGATGCTTGCTGTTGAAACGCTCTTGACCAGCAGTGTCCCAGAAATCAACTGAGACTGTTTTGCCATCAATCTGTGATTTGTAGTTGAATAATGTTAGTGCGAATGTTGACAACTGTTGTGGTTTATATCCATCCATGAGAAACCTTTCAACAAGCTTTGATTTTCCTACAGCGCTGTCACCGAGACATATAATTTTTACGCGTTCTTCTCCTTCATCTCCCGGCTTGTCATAGTCTGGTTGAACGTTGGTCGCCAATTTTGTCTAACAACTCTGGATAATTTTTTTATTCATTACAGGGAGTCAAAAGACTTAGATGATAAAGAAATAGAGAAGCGATTACAAGACAAAGATAAAGAATGGCACAAAGAAATGGATGAATTAAGACAAAAATTTGCAGCAGAAGTTGAAATTTTGAAAAAGAGTCACCCTGAGGTTTGCTGCTAATAAAACTAACTTTAAAAATTATTTCTTTTTCTTTTTTTTTTAACTTCAATTTAAAACTTGAATTAATATGTTGTATTTTTAAAACAATTAATCACTTAATTAATTTTTGTGATTTTTGTGGTTAGCAATTTTAAGTGTTTTTGTATGCACTGTGTTGGTATTAAAAAAATTATGAACAGGAGTCATCATGTAGCCATGAAACAGAGCTCGAGTTCCTTCGGCAAAGAAATGAGGTGTTAGAAAATGATCATGCAGCAATAACATTGCAAAATAGGGAGCTGAGAGACAGAGTTTTTGTTCTTACGTCAGATTTAAGTGCCAAGGAAGCCAGCTGGTGCGAGATGGAAGAAAAATTCAAATCTGAAGTAAGCATTTGCACTCATGAGCGCCCGCAGAAAACTTTCTAGGGGGGGGGGGGGGCCAAAAATCCGATTACTTTCCCGGGGGGGGGGGAAAAAAANTAGCGTATTTGTATAGTGAACGAACGGACAGGACATCAGCTTAGTTACTTTCTCTTTAATTTCTCTTTACTTTAATAAATTTTGTGTAAAAATTTTTTATCCAATCAATCCAGGGGGGGGGGGCAAGCGCCCCACCTTGCCCCTACCTGTGGGCGCCCATGTTTGCACTGTACAATATTTTAAAGTTATTAAAGTAGAGATAGGAATTTCTGATAAATATCAATTTCATGCAGTTTAATTAAAAAAAAAATAAATCTTTCCCATATTACCATTTGAAGCAAAATATGACTTTTTGACATTGTGTTATTTGAATAATGTTAAGAACTCTTTTACATTAAATAACAATGATTTTATGCATTTAAAAAATAAAAAATTCTGTTGATTATATTTGCACTCATAAAATAATTTTAGCTACAAAGGTCATGGGGAGAGAAGTACAAACAATGGATGGACCAGACAGAAGCCAAAATCAGCGACCTGCAGAGAACAAATGCCCTGTTGTAAGTTGTAATGGTAACATTTTTCACATTTTATTTTTGTGCTCAATAAAAAAAAAAATCTCTGGGGATATCAAAGATGTAGAGTTTCCAAAACACTGGGCACTTGTGGGGTCTGAAATAAAACAATATTTTCCATCATAATACAACTGTTTCTTGTCAACAGCTGATGATCAACCAGAATATTCAGTGGTATTTGATTGCATTATCAAATTTTTCATAAAATCCAAAATTTGTTCTACTTTGAACTATGGTAATCTTGCAACTCATATTTCCTCACACAGACGAACATATCTGAAAAATCACAAACCGAATGGTGCTGACCCAACAGGACAAGATCCCAATTTTGACAATCTCTAAAAATATCAGCGTGTGAATTGATCTGTCTAAATTAACTTTGAAATAAACCAAGTTAAGTTCAAGGACCACTGCTACTGAGACACAACCTAGTTCTAGTTCAACTATTACACTTACTGCTAATACATACACATATAATATATTTGAATAATTTGATACAATGGCCTTATGAACAATATAATGTTTATTATTTTCTCCATATCCATTTGATGTAATTTGTTTAGTTGATTATAGAACAATGCCACTAAAATAAAAAAAAACAACAAAGATGGCAAAGTTTAATTTTCTTTTTATTACCTCAAAGTGGTTGATTTATCATTTACAATGTTCTTTCATAAATAACAAGCAACAACTTGCAGTGCACACAACAATCACAGAACAGAGGGAAATCATTGAATGCTATTGACTTATGAGGAAATAGCAGACCACTATTGTGAAATAATGACTGAACTATCTGAAATATACATAAAGTGCGGGCACTACAATACTGGCAACAAAGTGACACACATAATCATAAACAGCTGATATAACTTCTCAAATCAATGTTAATGTTAAAGATTAAAACTGGTGACCATTTGATAAAATCAAACATTCTTTTAACAGTTACACTTTTTGAATGCTAAAATAATTAACAGTTTTTGAACTTTTCAAATAAGAATGAAAATATTAATGAATTAAGGAATATAAAAAAAAACCCAACTAACAAATATTATTGCACTTACCTGTGGATTTTGATAGTGATAAAAAATTATAATGAAAATGACTGTACATTTATTGGAAAAGCCAACAGAAATATAAATAATCACAATTCAAAAGGATAAATAAATACTTGCAATCAGCCTTCACAAGTTTTGACACATGGTCTAGGCTTGAGGAGGTGGTTAAAAAACTAGACAAGTATAGTTATGCTACATCCTTTAGTGATGGTAAAATTTGATTGAAAAATGCAGGAACATCTGTAGTATGTGAGACACTTGTTGTTTCATTCATCCAAGTGTTAATAATGGTTTTTATAAAATCTTTACTGATTGTATTAAGAGTCGACAACTGTATAATGAAGCTATACAAGCACAGAATAAAAGCATATGCGCTTAAATTATAGGTCATTTCATTTTTTCAGAACATTAATAGTTCTATCTTAAGTATATAAAATTAGGAAATATTTCACAGATCAAAAACTTTTACTGAAATCCAATATTTCAAACTGAATATGAAATGGTGCTTGGAGACCTACTTGTACAGTTCAAGTCCAATTTCAATCTTTTGGCTAGAAACTTTTTCCAATAATAAGTTATATAATGGGATATGTTATAAATGAAATTAATAGGATGTGTTATTGCTCAAGTCATAATTGAGACGTGAAGTCAATAATTTAAGTCAAAGGTAATGTTGTCACGGCACCCCCTCCCCCACCCCCAAAGCGGACAGAAGAAAAAAAAATTATGTTGTCGGCCTCTCCACCAAGAAGTAGTTCTAATTCCTCCCAGGCTATGTGTAAAACAGTCCCCTGAGCTAAGTAAGGAACCTATTCTTGGGAACAAGTTGAAATCTATCTAAAAAATAAAAATCACCAAATGAAGTCTGAGGAAAGCAGCCAACATTGTGTGAGGGATTAACAATATGCTGTTTACACAAAAATAGCCGAACTTGTGTTTGTGATTCAAGCTGCCAGTGTGTAAAACAAGACATTTATAAAAAAACAAAACGACTGTCCTTAATTTACCAGCTTGCTGAGTTTTATTTCTTCAAAATAGCTTTATAAAAACTGCTATAAAATGAAATTGTTCAAATTATCTTCTATTGGTTGTACAACCCAGATTATGACAGGGCATGTATCAGACAGTCAACTTCTTTAAAATATACCTTAATAACAAATTTAATATGGTATTCATGTCATTAGTGATCTTGAACACATTACAGAGCACCTCTATTTTTCTTGAGTTTTCCAAATTCATGTAAAGACAGCATTGATCCACTTTGCACATGAACCACACAAAATTCAAGCTGGGAATAAATTACTCTCCAAGTAAACAAAAAAAATGAAGAGACAATGACTACAGCTACAGATAGTTAGATGGACATAAAGGCACTTGAAGGAAATCATTTAAGAAATAAACTTACATCACAATTGCATCAGTTATAAATTGTTCATATTCACAGGCTAAGAAATATTCTCTTTTTATAAAAATGTTGAAGATTTTAAAGGTTTACTCAGTGTTCAAATGTTAATAATGCAGATTTGACAACACAGCTTTTAAAGTAGTTCTGGATTAAAGCTTGGCAAACAAAAAAATCCTTTTGGCAAAAGGGCATTCTCTCCCACCCTATTAACAGGACGACTTCATACATATTATCAACACAAAATAAACAATAAAAGTAAGACATTTTAAGATGCTTGTGTTGTTTTTTAGACCTTAAGAATTTTTCTCTTCATTTACACATGCTGTAAACTAAGACAACCTCATTTAAGTCTATCTAAATGAGCTGCTAAAGCAACCATTGGCCAGAGCCCTAGTTATAAGCTGGCTGTTGTTTAAATTAATTGTTTGAGAACCACTGGGCGCTAATACTGTAACAGCTTGGGTTGGACTAGTGGGTTGTTGGGGTTGGGCTAAAACTGTGGCCACACCTCCATTCTGAGATGTAAATGAATGAATGGCTTGAAGGTTCAGTTGGTTGATGTCGATGGTTGTTGGCTGAAACTGATTATTGGACTGTATGTGGACCTGCAAGTTGAAACAGTTTGATGTACTCCAAAAGCAAATTCAAAGTGTAAAGTAGGTCATCACGTAATTAAGTGGTAGAAAATCTTGTAAACACTTAAGAATGAAGCCAGCTCAAATAAACCAGATGCTAAGCAAAAAGTTACAAAGTTCCTAGTTCCTGATGTAAAGCTAGTTTGCATCTTCTGATATGCCAGGTATAATTATAGTTTTAGGGGATCAAAGTCTTAAGAATAAAATGGAAATTATCAAATTAAAGTTGACCATGGTGGAGGGAAATTATCATGGCCTACCAAGGTGGTGAATAATGTGGTAGGTTGACAATGCCCTAGCTTATCATTACCATGTTGGGTGAAAAGGCATGGCTTACCATGGTGGGTGGACAGGTCATTGAAAGCCGTGAGTTGCTCATGAACTCATTGGCGTAATTGTGGAGTTCACTCATGGCCTGGGTCAAAAGATCGGCGTCACCAGTGGAGTCACCCTGTGTTACCACTGCTATGGGAACTGCTTCATACCTTTCAATACCTTGAGCAGGATCTATATAAAATAAGGCAAAAAATAGATTAACCCTTTAAACCATTGGCTTTCATGGCCTTAAATTCCCCAGCCCCATAGATAAGGAATTACTCTGCTTGTTGTTCAACACAAAAATGTGCGTCCCGTATTATCCCTGCATTTTTAACAGCAAAAATTGAAAATAGGAATGGAAATTAAGGATAATTAGTAAGTGAATATTTGATTGATGTGATACGGTGCCTAAAATCTGAATTAATTTCGCGTTTCCAGTTCTGAAAATTGAGCTTAATTGACTTTATTGAGATCTTAGCAAACATCAGTTTATTTTTAATTTAAATTTAAGTTTATTGCATTTTATTGTCTGCTGAAGAAGGCATCCAGCCAAAACACCCACTTAAACGTTTTGTCTTTTATTTTCAAGCCTAAACATATATTGTTCCGATATTTTTTTATATTTTTCTATATACCACAGCAAAGACTTTTAACTTCTTAACATTTCCATCAGAGACAATCATAATTGCTCAGATCCAAAATATGCCTTGCATTAAAGACAGACTAACAACCCCATAAGCAATTACATCTGGAACAATAGCAAATGCTTCACTGTGCCTCGGTGTAACACAGTGCAATATCAGACCTGTTTACTCTTACGATTTTGGCGTACAGTGTATGATTTTGAGGTGTATAAATTATATATACTGCACGTTTTTTTTTCTATAAAGAGGATGTATTGAATGATTATGCGATGATTTTGTACGATTTTAAGAGTTCGAGGGTAAATAGGTCTGCAATATAAACAATCATTCTTCCCACGCACAATAATCGCTTGGAACCACCTGGACAATGCAGTCGTGGACTCGACATCAATCGAGAGCTTCAAGGCTGCCCTGGCATCTGCTAGGAGCCGTTAGGATAGCATCATCACTTTCCCAACCCTTGCACATTTGCCAGTACATGGATTCAGCAATGTACCCTACAAGAACCAGAACCAGAGGAAGTTTGACCAACCTGTAACAGTGATATGTAAATAGTCTTGTTGTGCCTTCTTTGCTTTCTTTTTCTCATGGACTGGCTCAACAAGCTCTGGGTGGTTTTTCCTCTGATGCTGTTAAAAGGATACAAGTTGAACAAAGTTATAGACGCAAAGAGTGCTAAATAATCTAACTTACATATTTATCACTTGTAATTGTAGTAGTTAAGCTTACATATTTATCACTAGTACTATTTAAGATTACATATATATAATTTGTACTAGTTAAACTTTACATCTTTTATATGATTTTAAAGATCTAATCAGACAGAGAGAAGACATTTTCTGTCTGAGGGGATACAAATCAATATTGTCTATAAAATATATTTGTTTGATCTGAGGCTTATAAGGCAACCTACCTGCAGTAGTTTGGCCTTGCTTGCATACTGTTTGTGACAAAACTTGCATCCATGTGGCATCATGGTGACACTGCTGACTGTGTGTGAAAAGCTTGAAGCTTCTTGCTGCGGGAGTTTCTTCCTGGAGGAGGGGGGAACAGCACAGCCGGGGTGGATCTTTTGGATGTGGGACTTTCGTTTGGATGAGGACTTGTATATCTGAAGTTTGTAAGAAAAGGAAATATCAAGATGAAATGTACGAGCCACTGTAGTGAGGGAAATCATATCACACAACAGTAATTTAATTTTTGGATGGCAACTCATTTAAAAGAATGATAACTCTGAATTCAAACCCGGAGATGGAGTCCCGTAGGTGGATAACATCGACACAATGAAACTTCCGGCACCTCCTTCAATGCTACTGGTGCCAAGCTGCATCAACCACATTTGACTTTCCTGTTGAGTGGAGAGAGGCAATTTGCCGTCTAGGGAACCAACTTATCATCCAAAATAAAAATCCCAGGCCTTGTGATTTAACCCTGTGAAGTCTACACCATCGTCACATTTGGCAGACAGATGAAGAAATTTTTTTTAGTCAAGTATTTTGAAAGTGTTAACATTTTTTATTGTTGCCTAAAGTAGCATCTTCCAATAGAAAATATGATCTCTTTGGTTTATACTTTGTAAGTTATGATGAAGACTGGGTATACTGTAATGGCGGACTTTACTTACAGTTTTAACTTTTCTCCATACAACTTAACCAGCCTAAGTGTTCATTAAAGCATTGGAACTTCTTTCAGGACACACTTTGATAAGATGGCAATATTTATGTTTGCACTGTGCAATCATTGAGGACATTTTTAGCTGTTGTCACTTCAGGTGTTATTCAGCTTCCCTATTCATCAATGTTGTGTACAGTGCAGCAGTTACAGGCCAAATGGAGGTCAACAAGACTGCTGTGGTACATTTGTCTCACTTGCTCAGGTAAAAATTTGATTTGATTGCTAGTGAAGCCAGCTTGGTGTTCATTGAAAGTACCTGTTGTATCTAGCCATCACTACAGGAAATGGTTGATCATTCTCTCTGCAAGTACCTATTGTATCTAGCCATCGCCACAGGAAATGGTTGATCCTCCTCTCTGCAAGTACCCGTTGTATCTAGCCATCACCACAGGAAATGGTTGATCCTCCTCTCTGCAAGTTTTCCAATGCATTAAATCATGGATATTGGCTGTTAGCTCTTTATATCTTCTGCAGGCTTTCCCTGGTATTTATTAGTATTACTGTGGCATTGCTCCATGTTTCAAAGATCTTGTTTCCGGTGCTGTGTATAAGATGTGTGACATGTCCCACCAGTGGGGCCTAGTTGATTCTCATCTCGATATTGACTTTGTCTCCAATTAGTCATTTTCAAGTTTTATGTCTTTTACATAGCGCAATTGAAAGCAGTCTGTGAAACATTGTCTTCCAGAAGTGCAATGCTCACGTTCTGTAGGCTTGCTAAAATAAGACAATGTTTTAAGGCAAAGATCTGTTGTTTTTACCCAAATGGTTTGATGAGAGATAAAACACAAGAAACAGGTAAAAAATAATAATAAAAAAACAATAGTATAAGGTCTTGAAAAAAATTTCAGCCCAAGCAAGTGTTAACATTTGTTTCACTCCACATTAATAATGTTCACAAGGCAAGTTAGCAGGTTTCATTTATTATTTTCTTTAACATTACCTTTTTACAATATTGACAGTAGAAATCTTTTTGAGTTTTCAGAATTGGCAAATTTAATTCTGGCACTTGCTCTGGTTTAATGTCTGGGTGGCGCTTGGCCAGGTGGTTGACCAGCATGCCTCTACGTTTAAAGCCTAACAGGCACGTATGACATTTATAGATAAATCTGTGCCATTCTGATGGTAGCACCTATGCATAGAAATAGAAGTGAATTCTTTATCAGTGCAAAAATAATAATAAAAGCGGGAAGAAAAAACAAAATAAATTTGAAAAATATATTAAAATTTTGAATAGTGAGTCAGCGATAATGCATCATAAATGGTAAAAAATCAGTACTGGGTATGATGGATAGCTTTCTAAATTTGAGGAGACAGTGAAAATAAATTAATCAATTTTTGGATCTGATGGAAAATAGTTCAGATGAATATTGGTCTCTCATTTCAGTAGAGCTTACCATTATTTTTGTGGAGTCAGTGGGTTTTCACTTCAGCAGTTTACTTTATTTTTGTGGAGACATTAAATGGAAATGCACTATCTTTATCACCCAGAATTTTTTTCCCTTGTGTCTATTGTCTTGGGGAATCTTAAATTCCAGTAAGTGAATCCAATAAAGTTCCTAACATTGAAGCTTATTGGGAAATATATTTTTGCAGAAAAAACATAGGAAATGAAATGTTCCTATACCTTAGGAGTGAATTTGCTGATATGTTTGCTGTTCTGTTGCTGCATGGCGTAGAGCTGCTGTTCCATCCTTTCCTTTGAGTGCACCCGTTTCCTGTGCTCATTTAACTTGTCTTTGCGCTTGAACTGCCTACCACAAGTCTCACACATGAACTCCCGATGGCTGGTGTGTCGCAGCATGTGAAGGCGAAGCTTATCCAATCTTGGAAATGGCTGAGATGATGATGAAAAATAAGATAAGATAAGATTCTTTTATTGATTCAAACAAATGGAAATGTTTTATGATTGCATTGTACATTTTCAGCACAAAAATTAAAACAATTTGAACACAAGACATTTGTAATAAATTATTTCACTAGAAAAAAATAAAAATGCCATTCAGTGAGTTATCTTAGCCATATCAGGGACTTATTAAGATTTGTGACTTCAGGGGGAGCACGCTGGTAAATTCGTACAGATTGGAGAACAAAAGAATTTTTATAGCTTTCAATCCTCGCCCTGACGGAAAGAATTCATCCCGAACGGGCCGATCCTAAGTATCTGTGATGAAGATGGTGGGATGTAATCATCCAAAATGTGTTTAGTTTTACAATAACATCTTTCTTCAAATAGTCCTTTAAGTGAAGGATGTTTAGTTTGTGTTATGTTCCTAGCTTTCTTGATCAGTCTGTTTATGCGGTGTTTAATATCAGACTTGAATTCCCACAACAGCAGATAATACTGAAATTAAGTAGGCTTCCAATTGTTGCACTGTAGAATAAGTTAACGACTTGTTTGTTTATGCCAAAATTGTACAGTTTTTTTTCAGGTGGAGCAGACTTTGGTTGAATTTCTTATAAAGCATTTGGCCGTGCTCATGCCATCTTAGCTTATTATTAAATGGTGACACCTAAGTACTTATATGCCTCTACTTATCTCTACACTTTTTTTAATGTTGAGATCTGTAATCTGGTGTTTCCCCCCCCTGAAATCAACAACCATTTCCTTTGTTTTTGAGACATTCAACTGGAGAAAATTTTCATCGCACCCATTGATAAAGCTTGTAACTAAATTGTGGTATAAGCCTTCTCCTTCAGAATTGAAACTGTATTGCACTGGGTAAAGCTGCACTGTGTAATGTTAAGGTTATGAACTGGTTTTGGGAGCATGGTTGGATTGTGTAAGGAACATGATGAATTAAGGGTGAGTTGTTTACTTGTGGTTAGCTATGTGATTGGAAGAAGCTTAAAAGGTCAATAAAAATGTGAGTTGTTTAAATGGTGCTCCCGGATGGGCGCCCAAATGTTACTAACTCCCCGGTATTCAGACAGGTAGTTCGTTGGCTCAAATTACTCAACATAACTGCTCAACAGAACTTAACATGTGAACACTCTAAAGACCACTCAACATACTGACGATATCTCAAATAATGCCATGAACGGACTGCCATTCTGTGGTTTGTTTTTTAAAGACATTTTTAATCTCACAAAGGTAGACAGATCCTCAAATGACATGTTTGTTGAAATTAAAAATTTTATTAAAAAAAATATTTACATCATTGGAATGGAATTGTTCAAGTTTGTAAAGTTAGAATAATGCTGATGTTCAAAGAAAAGATGGGGACCAAAAAACAATGTTTTATATTTACTAGTTATCCAGAAAGGTGTCGTTAAGAGCGGCAGAGTTGTTTTTATATTGCACTCACCTTCTCACACTCTGGACACACAAATATCCTGTCAGGATGAAGTGACTTGATGTGTTTCTTCAGCACTGAAAAATCCTCAAATATCTTTGTGCATGAGTTGCAGGGGTAGAGCCCTTGATTGTCCATGTGTCGGAGGGCGTGCTCTCTGAGGTCGGCCACCAAGTCAAACTCCTCATTGCACACAGGGCAGTCGTAGTATTTCTTCTCACTGTGGGTTTTCATGTGGCACGCCAAGGCTGCATTGTTCATGACACGTTTAAAGCAAATAGCACACTGAAAAAATGGTTTTCGAAATGAAGTAGATTTTCATTGATCCCCGTTCAAGTCATCATGCCAGCTTAGGCTTTTAGTTTATATCACAAGCCCCTGGTAGACTCTCCCACAAAGAATAACACGGTAGGATGAAGAGCTTTAGAGTAAATTTACAGTTTGTCAAGTAAACTTATCTTGGTCAGAATATTCAACTCATCAAATAAACTTGATGTACACATACCCAAGAATATCTTTTTTTTTCTTTCTTCATGCCCATTAACATTGCATTAGCTAAAAGGCTGCCAGTCAGGGGGTTCACGATCTTAACTCCTACTCGAATAAATCCATGGATGTTAAGCCCTATTACTGAAGTTGTATTAGAAATAACAGAAAGTCCCATTGCCATTTAAGACAAACAACACTATCAGATTTATGTGAGATTTAAGAAAAAACCTTAGGACAAACGTGCACATTAATGTGTCTAGAAGTGTCTCATAAAACCATTTTTTAATTTTCAAAAACCCACCACAATCAATAAATGACAACAGCATTCCAGTTACCTGGAGGGGCTTTTCAGATTCATCTCCATGCACCATCTGATGCTTTGCAAGATTTTCTTGAGTTGAAAAACTTTTGCTGCAATTCCTACAGTCAAAGGGTCTCTTTTCACTGGAAGGCTGGTGGAGAGAGTAGAAATATAACAGAAATAAGAGAGCTGCCTTGAAAACTCATAGGGTGAAATAATTTTAATGAGTATGGGTTCAATGGCACCTATAGGGCACATTCTAAAAATAATAACAGCTTAGTCCAGCTCTTAACAATTATTTTTAAAAAAATTTTTTTTTAGAAAGACTGAACAACGGGAAAAGTAGAAAGCCTTTTAAGGCCATTTAACTAACCTGTGCATGCATAGACACATGGTTCATGAGACTCTTGTGGTCATCAAACGCCATGCTGCACTTGGGACACACCACAATGGGACTACTCAGGTTCATTAGGCTTGCCAGAGTTGAGGAGTTCTCATCTCCAGTGGCACTTTCAGACTGAGCCATCTAGAGGAGGAGACACAACACTTAACAGGATTGCTATCAAAATGTACATCTAGTTTTAGAGGAGAAAATACAACATTTAACAAGATTGGTATTATAATTGAGATCTAATGTCAGAGAAGGAGAAAATACAACATTCAATTTCTTCTTCTATATATATTAAGGGCCCATGATCAATGTATTGATCGTTCTGGCTCCTATGTATGTAGAGGGGATTTGCTATGTTTTTGTGCCTGGTATTGAAGAGGATATTTCACTGGTTGCATGGGCTACACAGTGAGGATATCAGGAACTGGGGGTTGGAAGGCCTGAGGTAATAGACGCAAATGTGTCAAGGCTATTCAAATCTAAATCTATTGTAATTGACATTTCTTCAGTTTCAAGTATGATATGAACAAGTTTTTTTTAAAATTGAAAATCAGAGAAAAATTTATTAAACATCAAAGTTAATTCAATAATTTAACATAGCAACAAAAAAATTCTTTTAAAAAACCAAAACATTTAAGCTAGAAAAAGGAAACAATTATCTTTTTAAATCATGGTTTACATTGTGTTTTCCTATTTTTGGCATTATAATAAGTGTGTGATAATTTATAGGAACACAGAACATCAAATAAGAAGAAAGCCCAATTAAAAATATTAAAATTTGAACAGCTAATAATTACACTCAGATTCAGAGTTGGTTCATCCCCAAACTTACACCCCAAAGTTCTGCCAAACAACACAACACTCCTACCCCTGCTCTCTGCTTACACTCATGCGTGTACCAAACAACACAACCACTCTCTGCTTACACTCATGCATTACCAAACAATACAACTGCTCTCTGCTTACACTCATGGACTACTGCAATGCTCTTATGGTGGGTCTTTCAGCTACGCTCCTGGATAAAATGCAAAAAGCACAGAATAATGCAGCTCACATTGTACTACATAAACGCAAATTCGACCATGCTAAAACACTTCTGAGAGAGCTGCGTGCTCGCATAGAGTACAAAATAGCAACTCTGTGCTACCGCTGCTTTCATGACCTGGCGCTGTCCTATCTCAAAGTGCTCATGACACCTTATGTACCCACTAGACAACTCCGCTCATCTGATAGTGGCAAACTCTCGATACCCATGTTCGCCTTGAGACTTACGGAAGATGCACTTTCGCATTTGCTGGCCCAACAATTTCGAACACACTTCCTGTCGCTCTCAGAAACAGCCAGACATTGGAATCCTTCAAAACCGATTTGAAAACACAAATGACATCTATTTCGCAAACATCTGCTGGGGTGATGTTGTCTACCATCTTTTCCAGCTAGCTATTATCTCCTAGATGTTTATTGGCTTGTGTTGTTTATAGTTGGAAGGGATGAAAGACTTTGAATGGGTATGCTCGTTTGTAGTTTTTGTAGTGTTGCGTTTTGTGATTTAATGTGGATAGATTGTTTCATTTCTCTTTTAAATATGGTTGACTTTGTACAGCGCATCAAGCCTTTGGGGATGAAGCGTGATTTTAACAAAATAAACTTTATTTTTATTATTATGTGTGTGCCTTACAGCAAGACAATCTTACTCCTACCACTGCTCTCTGCTTACACCCAAGTGTGTGCCAAACAAGACAAGAACCTTACCCCTGCTCCCTGGTCTCCCGTCAATTTCTTGATCTCGTCCATCCCCAAATCCTCCGCAGCATGAGTCAGTGTGTGCAGGTTGAGCAGCGAGGCATTGTCAAAGGTCAGGTCACAGTGCGTACACATCCACTCACTGCCACCCGAGACTTTACCCTGCCTCTTGTACATGCTCTTCATGCCGAGCAACGTCTTATCTGACCACTGGCGCTTCTTGTATTTCTTTAAAGTTTTACTAAAAAAATAGTGAAAGCTTTTGTTACCTCCAGTTAGATTTAAGAAATTGATAAGGACTCTGTTTAGTTAAACAGTGAGCTAATTGCAATGGTTGCACGTGACAGTTGACATACGAAAAAAGGTTTTAAAAAACAACCTCTGTGCTATGCCCTTCTTTCCATCTTTGTCAAGTGTAAACTGCAGATCTCTCTAACCAATAAAGTCCAACCGTCATAACATTAATGAAATAGGTTCACAGGGAAATGATGCAAACAAAATTAACTAGGCATTTCACCTAAGGTACAAGTTTGTTGATTTCTTCTTCCACTGATAATTGCCTGCTTCTATTCCACCCTGCAAAAGGACAAATAAAAGGAATAGATATAATAAAAAAGCACAAATATAATTACATTGACGAATAGCTGTGACATCTTGGTTAGATTTAAATCATTTAACATTGGCATAAAAAGACCTTTGTAATAGAAAAAAGATGTAATTTTTTTTTTTTTAATTCTCTAACATTTAAGATCAAATAAAATGTCATTATGAAAATGGACATATCATCAGTTGATTAAGTATAGCTGTAAAATAACAATTCATGAACAAGATTAACTAAAAATAAAAAAAAAAAAAAGGTTCAATATGTAAGTGGCATTGAATATTTAAGTCTCCACTACAGGATCAAAGATAAACCAACTTCCGAGCTCACATTTTTCATTTTCCCTTGCAGTAACCTTTTCCTGACAGCCGCTGCCGCTCTCTGTTTGCCTTTAACCATGCCTTCTTCTAGGTTAGCTAAGAAATCTGTATCTTGGTCACCATCATGATCAAAATCTTTCATATCCTCAGCATCATGAGTTGACAAATGTTGCTGTAGAGCCGCAGAGGACTTAAACTTACGGCTGCATTCAAAACATCCAAATCTGGCATCTTCCTCATCCAGGGCTGGAAATAGGATGTACAAAATGTTAGGAAAAAGTTTCACTTTCAAATCTACAACTTTTCTATCTAACATACAATGAGCACTTCTATGTCCATAAAATATCATATTCATATACATGAAAATGACAAAAAGCATTAAAATAGCTTCAAGCCATGCAACCAAATGAAAATAAAATCATGCATTTAACTAATCTCCAATAGCAAGATATGCTATACAGCACTACCAAGCTCAAATTAGATATACCCATATTTAAATGCTACACTGAAAACACAATTTATAGGTCTCTGAAATAGTTTATCCCAATTAAGTAAAAGAAACTAGCTATAGACTGCCAAACAATGAAGGCGGCAATGTGTTAAATTTCAATTTACTAAAGTTACTAAAAAAAAAAAAATAAAAAAGAAAGATGCATTTAAGTAATGCACTTTAAAAGATTCCAATTAAAGCTTACCCCCCCCCCCCCCCCACCTTATTATTCTGTCCAATTTAACACTGCTGATTCTCAACTGCCTAAGTTTTTCATGCCCCTGAACTATATTAATATTCTTATATTCCACCCCTTTTTATACTGCAGACTTATAACACCATAATTAAATTGAGACTATTTACATAAAACAAAAGAAAATATTATGCACCAAATGTACTCGCAGTATTTTAAAGAATCTCATTCGGGAATTTTAATTATTGAAATCAGAGGGCCATCTGGTAGCATTAGTGACATAGAGAATTGATGTTAAGAATGGTAAAAGTTGGAAAAATATTTGACAGTGGAAATTTGTTTGGCTGCCTCCTACTCTCGAAGCACGCAGCTAACTCTCCCACAAGATGGTATAAAACAAATTCCATTGTTGAACAGGTGTTGGAGAAAACTGATGATCCCAATACTTTTACTTTTTTTTCTCATTTTTGTAATGGTTGTCAACTGGCTTAAAAATAGTTGGTGTTGTGTTGTTCCTTTTGAAATCATGGAAAATTTATTTTTTTTACTTTCTCCCAGAACTCTTACAAGAACTTTGCGGCATCAAAATGTTTCGTAGAAAAGTTCTGGATACAAAAGTAATTTAAATACCTATCTATTTAGAAAATTAAAAATACAATAACAAAGCTCTTTTTGATATTAAGTTTTAAGTTAATCATAAGAATGGCACACCTTGCAGGTCATCAACTGTCAGCTCTAAAGTTTTGGCCCCCATTCTCTCAGCGAAAGGTGCAGAATACCACACCTGTTGATTTATGATATAATCACACATAATAGAACTATTGACACAGACTCACAGAGTTTGTAACAATTACTTTGGTGTTTTATAAACCAACAGACGAGCTTCAACATTAAAAAACATTAATTCTTCAGTCTATGTTTTCTATAAAGAACAAATGTTAAATTTAAAATCAAACTAAATTTTTTTCTAACATTTTTTTGAGGAATAGCTTGAATTATCCACACAACATTTCCATTAAAAAAAAAAAAAAAATCACATTTCTGCACTTCAAGTTTTTAAATTATGCTCAAAACTTATTTGTCATTGTCATAAGCAATTCAAATTCATTTAGTGTTATAAGACATCCACAATTAAACTTTGTTTTGTTTTTAATGTGATCACCTTCAGCTCTTGCTTGCTCTCAATAAGCCGGGTTACACTGAAATAAATGCTGTCCTTGTGCTGGTAGGCCACCAGATTCTGTTCAGCAAAAGACTTAGCTGGCCTGACAAACATCAACCAGTTGCACTTGTTTTCATCACCGGTTTCATAGTATTTACAGCTGCCATCTGGATATTCAAGCTACAACAAACAAATCAATTTCCAATTGCTTAAGTAAATTCCTTTCATTTCTGAATGCGTAATGTGACAGTTACTAGAACTAAATTTAATGTCTTTCCACAAGTTAAAGAATTCTAATGAAATTAACATTTTAACTCATGCACGCCAAGTTAAGTACCTGATACATTTTTTCTTAAGGTGTTAGTATGATTAAATAAAAAATAATTATGCTTTAATTTCGTTTAGGAAAAAAAAGGTAACTTTCTCTACACCTTTACAAAAGTTAATTATTCAACCCTAAAATAATTAAAAACATTTATTTGGTTGATTTCAATAAATAAAAATTATTATCTCTCTAATGCAATGTGTAGCTTTTTTTATATATTGAAATTCTTTGTTCTATTGTGACTAGTAAAACTCCAGTAATGAAGTAATTTATTAACTTAATGCATTGAGTGCCATGTGTGTATCTTACCACAAGGGGGAAAAACTTCCTTGTCACTTGATCCATAGAGTCAACCAACTGACCAACAAAGGGGCCAAACTGTGTAAACTTGGGTATCTGACGTTTGGCCTGAACACCGTGATCTGTGCAGAGGATAATTATTAAACTTTTATACAGTAGCTGAAAGGGTCAAAACATTTCAATTGTATATTTATGTTACTCTTAAAATTAATACAAATCATTTAATTATAATACAAGCCCATGTTATTAAGTTTCAACAAAAAGCTTCGAAAATCTATAAATGTCTAAATGAGTACAGTGGGCATAAGAAAACAATATGCAAATGATGGGGGACTAATAATTCTCATTGTGCCTAGCACAACATGGAAGTATTATTGGAGAACACGCTTGAATTTTTAATAAATTTGAATTATTATAACCAGATTACTAGCTACCAAACTGTGTGTATATGTGTGTCTAAATATTAATTGAAAGGAGGGAATAAAGAAATAATAATAATAATTAGTGGTCTTTTATAACGCGGTACCCCAGCCTAGGGCTGGGCTCACCGCACTGTACATAAAAATATTATCAAAAGAGACATATGTTTTAGTGTGTGTCTTGGGAATGGACAGAAAACGCTTGTCTGTGGAAGAGCGAAGCTGTCGAACGGGTGAATAGACAGAAAGAAGTTGAGAGATGATATGAACATACAATTCTAAGGACAAAGAACTGCTTCAGTCTTTACTTATTCAATGTGCTACTAAATTAATAATTTTGTTTAACTTATAAATTGGTCTGACATACGTTTTACTGGTTACACCAAATTAAACAAGAATAGATAGGACATTTTTGGAGAACTTAAACTTTCAGACTCAACATTTTATCAGCATAAAAATAGTTGTAATTAAACACCTTATCATTATAATGTATTATAAGTTCATTATCTGTGTGCCACATGGAAATCAGATGTGTGTGGCACATGGAAGTATGCCACAAAGTGAATACAAACTGTAGGCTCAATCTCAATTACAAGAAAAAGCTTTTCAAGACTAAACAAATTCCAACATTTTCTACAATCCTGACCTGAATCACCAGGTTCAATTTGAGCTTCTGGTATGCGAAATATACGCAGTTGGTTGGGCAAACTGGCATATGCTCTTGTCATGACAATTTTATCTTGAACAAGCACCATCTTGTGGATGGGACACATAACCTCATAGCTCTGCATACAGTCTTCACACCCTGGGGGGAAAAAAATAAAGGCAATGAAAAGTAGAGGGTTTTCACAGGAAGTTGAAGTAAAATATAATTAAAAGAAAAGATCTCTAGAATATGTTATCACAAGATTAGGTTAAAAACAAATTATATTAATTACAACTGAACAACTTACATAACATATTAAGATCATACGGCTCTGATTTGTAATCCATTTTCCTCTGACTAGCTCTAGGCTCTAGCCTCACTTGCTCCAGTCTTTTGCTTCTGCGAACAGACTGTTACAGAAATACAAGATGATAAATTAGGCATCAACTTTAGACCAGGAATTTGAAATACTTTGACAGAAATATTGAAACTAAAACAGAATACATCAGCTTTGAGGGGCTATTATTTTTCAAAAAAGATTTAGAAAAGTTTACACTTCACAACAAGCACAGTATTGGGGTGATAAAACTCAAAACAATACATTTTTCCATTCTGAACATGTTGTATTTCAGATTATTAAACACCATTCAAAAGAGACAGATACTGTTCAATACAAACATTAATTAATCTGTACTCATTCACGTAAAAATTCATTTTAAGAAATACTTCCCTGTATCTTCTGTTAAAAGATAGGGTGTGTGTGTACAGGTCATATGTCAAGATTATAATCACTCAAGGGATAGGCATTCTTAACTTACTGCTATTATACTACTTGGTGTTGATACTTTTATAGTGGTTTCAGGCTTTAGTCTAGAATTGGAATATGACACAAGTCCACTGGGTCCAGCAATCTCTTCTGTGATGTAAAAACAATAAGTAAGCAGTGCTACAAATAACAAATATAGCTGCACAGATACTAAAAAAAAAAAGGATCATTAAAATTTTTACCAATCAGTTCCATAGATAATAAGCACTTAAGGTAAATTTTATTCACAGAAACCACTCATAGCAGTGAGCAGCTGAAACATATCTGTTGGGAAATATATATATTTTTTTCAACAAGTTCAACCTCAATTAAATCATCTATTTATTATTAGTACAGTTCTTGCACTCCAATATCTTTCAAAATGTTGAATTTAAAATTTCATAGATTAATGTATTGTTAACATACGAGACATGTCAAGGGAAACAGGATGCAGAGCAGTGAGGTCACTGCTGTCCAGGGTAGAATCCATGATGACGTCCTCAGAGCTGGTGCCTGCATTGACCTGTATGGTGGAGTGTAGGGTAGTTGAATCTAGGGACGGCTCATCATCAATGTTGCTGGAGTTGTCCAAGTATGTGGGACTTCCTGGTGGAATATATAAGAAAGTCAACAATTGATAAAATACAAATAAAATGTTGAACTTAACATGCAAAAAACAAAAACACACAAAACCACCACCTGGACCACAAGACAAAAAAAGACCCAAAAAATGTTATAAATAATCATATTAATCATTTTATTTTAATATCTAAATCTTTTGATGCCTTAATAAAGACTTAAAAGGATTGAAAATATTTTTAAAAATTAAATATGCTTATGTAGCATACGGAATGCATTGATGAGAAATACATTTAGAATTCTTAGAAATATTTAGATCAATCACAAATTAAAATGTATTATACCGTAACATATGCAAACTATAATACAATTAAATAGATGAACTGACCTTGAATACTTACATTATATAAAAGAACAGATCACTTACTATGAAACTCAATGTCTTCTTGTGTGGTGTCACATTCTGTCACCCCATCCATGTCTGATTTGGTCTGTGGGACAAGTTAGCAGTAGAGTAGAAACATATGAAATAAAGGAGATCATAAAAGATTTTATTTGATTTAAGCAAGAAAGCAGTATGAAATCATTCAAATTAAAATATTAATTTATACTCAAACCCTGAAATAAACTTGTATAAATTTTGTCAAATACATCTTTAAAAAAAAATATTTTATAAATGTACAAACGTGTCTAGAAAATGGGATGAATCCAAAGTAAGAATTGAACATTTCTAGGATGAAGAAGGAACGTAATCAAATCCAACTGGTGCTTGTGGTTCTAATGTCTAATGCAGCTACCCACTTATCATGAGCTCACTCAATTTTAGACCCCCAATCACATTGTTGATGGAAGCTGATGAAGACAGCTGATTGTCAACTCCTACTGTCTTCTTGGATTGATTACATTCGTCAGTTCTTTCATACGTTGAAGCGTGGTACTATTCTAACTATCAATTAACAAACTCAACTCCTTTTCATAATAACTATAACTTTAATATCTAAGTAAATATAATAAACATCCTATCACTCCAAGGTTCCACTCAAGACTGCCGCACGACTACAACATACGTCACAACACTGCATAGACAATACGTCACGACTCAGCATAAAAATACGTCATAAAGACAATGGCGGGAAGAGCGTTCACTAACTATAATAGTCAAGCGCGGGAAAAGCGTTCAACAACTAATGAACATAATATTGAGTCACAACAATTCCTAATGAACGCTCATACTCGACATATCCCCCCTCTTTCATTTCAGATTTTACTCAGGGAGTGAAATCGTTACCAGACATACAAAATTTACATCAATTACATCAAGAAGAACCCTTCAGCCATATGAATGGTCCTTATCAAAAAACATTATTTAGGTATCACTGAAAATCAAACAGATTTATGATATACTGCAATAAAATAAACAATCCTTCGTACATAATTTTAAATGCAATTCAAGAGTTAAAAATTCATGTACGACAATAAAAATCAGACCATTGAAATTGAATGTCAACATTAATTTTCATTTTTCATACCAATAAAAATAATTATATTTTTATCTCAAAAATCAGGGCAAATACATCAACATCCTTACTGAATTTGAAACTATAACTAAGTTAATCCAAATCATATCATCAAAAAGGTGTATTTTTAAATAAAACCAATGGTCATCACTATAGAAACACAAAACTATCTAACATTATTACAGGTGAGAGATGTCTCACCACAATTTGAGCAGCCTTTATTTGCTCTTAAATAACACAGCTACAGATGGCGGGACATATCTTTTGTCCGTGGATTTCACAACTTTATGCTTCAACATGTTTATTATAATTAAAATTATCTCTCCTTGTTCTTTTGACCCGTGGTCATAACTCATGTGAAATCTCAGTTTTACAATACATATTTTTAAATTGTTATAAAATGAAAAACGATTCTCATAAAAAAGAAATTCAAACAAATCAGGAACTTCAAAGAAATCATGGCAACAGTTCATTTTAACAGATTCATTTTGTTTAACAATACAATTAAAAGCCTCACCTCCCAACTCATGGACCTGACATCTCACCTCCTCTTGAAAATCATAAACAAGTGCACCTTTAGAGCTGGCAGCGCTCTCTTTAACACTTTCAACATTGGTTTCCAACTTAATGTTAGAGCACTCCTGGCTCTCAAAATCTGGACAACCTTCATTCACATTACTTGGGAATTTATTTTCATTACAACTATCTGTAACAATTTGTACATTTGAGCAGCCCTGGCTCACATTTACAGGTGATTCATCATCATTACAGCTATCCGTAACAATATGAAAATCTGAGCAGCCCTGGCTCACATTTGCAGGTGATTTATTATCATTACAGCTATCCGTAACAATATGAAAATCTGAGCAGCCCTGGCTCACACTACCTATTGATTCATCATCAATACAGCTCTCTGCAATACTAAAAAATTTTGAGCAACCCTTGCTCATAACAACTTGTGATACATTTTCATTGCAGATCTCTGCAGTAACATCAAAACCTGAGCACACCTGGCTCACATTACACAGTGACTCATTTACATCACAATAATTATCAACAACAATTTTCTCTCCTTCCCCCACCTCAGGGATTACACTCACCTCATCAACCTCACAGAAAAAATCATGCCCTTCAACTTCAGGACTTACATTATCTGATGGCTCACCATGAGATACAACAAAAATCATGTCCTCAGACATTAGAACAGGGTTCTCTTTGATTTCAATGCCGCCCGTTTCCATAACAACCAATTCATTACATACTGTGACGCTGGGACAATCCCCTACATACGTCCACCTAAGGTCATTTCCAATGACTTCTACCTTATTAAATTGTCGTCCCCTTTCTTCTTTACATTGGACTTCCTGGGATACACCAACTACTTCAACCTCGTTTTGACATGAATCTAAAGCTATATCTGTACCCTTTGCCACTGGGGGTATGTCAACACGGTCAGCGTTGTCCCTTTTAACGTTAGCCGACGGATCAATTAACAAATCATTGTCATTTCTATTTAAAAAAATTGAATCATCAGCAGAGGCAATAATATCATTTTGTTCCTCAGTATTTTTAGCCATGAACCGTGGTTGCGAGGCCGGCTCTTGCCTGGGGTCAGGATCATGAGTATGTCCACCGTTATCCACATAGTGGTTTTCACTCACATTAATGGAAACTCTATTAACATTTTTATAGGGATTCTCACAGTGAATGCTGGCAATGCCATAATATATTTCTTCCTCTTGGCTCTCGTCATCGTCACTGTCGCTATAATAATATGCCTGTCTCTTTAAAATAATTTCCCGTCGTTCTGCCTTTAATTTTGCCAGTCTAGTTTCTCTATCAAGTTTATCTAGTTCAAATTGTCTCTGACTCTGTTTATCTCTATCTATACGTTCTTTCTGTCTCTGTCTATATATACGTTCATTCTCTCTCTGTCTACATATACGTTCTTCCTCTCTCTTTCTATCTATACGTTCTTCCTCTCTGGCTCTAAGTTCCTCCTCTCTCTCTTCCCGTACGTGTTCTTCGAACTTAACTCTTATATACTCCTCTAGGTTCTCTCCCGTATAAAGAAGTAACACACCCACATGCCTAATTTCTTCTAAACTCCATTTCCTACTGACATATCCAGCCATAGCAATGCAAATTAAGGGTGATCATACAGTAAACAATAATTAAGTTTTAAGGACCAATCGCTGTCTGTTAACTCTAGCAAAAATCTAAATTCTACCCAGGTAAAAAAAATGTTAATACATCAGTCATAAGAAAATTAATGCCAAAAATGTTTTAAACAATAAAAATCCAACTTGCCTGGTTCGTGGAAAGTCCTATAGAATTTAAATATTATTCAAAACACACACTGAGCTTAATTAAGTGTCAATGGTTCTTTACTGTCAATAGTTCTCTCACAAACTTCAATTGTCCTATATGGCGATCTTGGGACACAGTCATTGAGGTGTGGGTGACCGGGACGGGTCACGGGACATCGGCAGCTCACTGGACAGAATGTAGGCGAATCGCCGACACTGGACAGTTCGTGGGTAACTCACCAATACAGGATCGGGCATGTGCAGCTTGATGCAGGACGGGACGTTGGTGGCTCGTTGAAGCAGGACAGGGCGCTGTTCAACTGGGTGACCGGACAGGGCCACAGGACATCACAGCTCACTGGACACGAAGTTGGTAGCTCACCCCCGACAGGACGTAGATAACTCGATACAGGGAAATGCGTAGTTAATTCACTGGAACTCAACTGGACGTTGGCGACTTGACGAAGGTCAGGGCTGGGTATTTCACTGGAACTGAACACGAAGTTGGTAGCTCACCGCTGAAAGAACGTAGATAACTCGATACGTGGAGGGCGTAGTTAATTCACTGCAGCTGAACACGAGGTTGGTAACTTGATAACGGGCAAGGCGTAGTTATTTCACTGGAACTGGACAGGACGTTGGCAACTTGATAACGGGCAGGGCGTAGTTATTTCACTGGAACTGGACACGAGGTTAGTAACTTGATAACGGGCAGGACGTAGTTATTTCACTGGAACTGGACAGGACGTTGGCAGCTTGATAACGGGCAGCGGGGCTCGGACATTGAAATACGGGAACATGCGACGATTGTTGTAACTTCACCAAAGTTGAATAGTAAGGAAGTTCTTGTACTTTACCTCAAATATGAAAATAACGAGGTTCACCAATCCCGGACGAGCCCCCATGTCAACTCCTACTGTCTTCTTGGATTGATTACATTCGTCAGTTCTTTCATACGTTGAAGCGTGGTACTATTCTAACTATCAATTAACAAACTCAACTCCTTTTCATAATAACTATAACTTTAATATCTAAGTAAATATAATAAACATCCTATCACTCCAAGGTTCCACTCAAGACTGCCGCACGACTACAACATACGTCACAACACTGCATAGACAATACGTCACGACTCAGCATAAAAATACGTCATAAAGACAATGGCGGGAAGAGCGTTCACTAACTATAATAGTCAAGCGCGGGAAAAGCGTTCAACAACTAATGAACATAATATTGAGTCACAACAATTCCTAATGAACGCTCATACTCGACACTGATCTTCAACAGAGATGACACCCATATGATCAGATCTATTTGGAATAGCCAACAAGACTGAAACAGATAATGTACTGACCTCACCAGTACTGCTCCCTGGTCCGAATGGGTTGGGCATGGTACTAACTTGGACCATGGTGTACGATTGACCTGGCTGAGAAGTCTGAATCATAAAAAAAGGATGGGCGTAACTAGCAGAGGTTGCCTTAATGTTTGTAGTGTGGTTTAAATGTTGGCCAATGATTGAAAAACTTACTACTGAATGTTTAAAAATAACAACTAAGTGAAGCAAAATATTTAGCAAATAAAACAATTTGAAAGATTTTTTTTTATCAACCCTGACAGCTTCTATTGCTGGGTCATGTATTTGGGGTGTCAGGTAGTTAGGGTTCTATTTTTCTTCACATCACAACAGAAATAATTTGTTCAACCAGAATTTAACATTTATGAGTATTACACCAACACCAATATCTAGAGCTTCAACTAAAATAATAACAGCAAATTAATTTGTGTTATTTTAGTATAAACCAAACAAGAAATTTGTGTGGTTTTCATTTAGTCAAGACTTCATAAGTCAATTACAAAGTATTTATTCCACAATAAAAGCATGCTGAAAAATCAGAATTAACAAATAATACCAGATGGAAAGGAAATTGATATAAAGATGAATTTCATCTATATACAGAAATTTGGTTGCAGTAAAAATTGTAGTAGCTGTATACTATAAAATATAGATTAAAATGTTTTAAATTTTCCTGTATCAATATAAAGGAAATATTTGTGTTGTTAATAACAATGAAAATCTCACCATCGGCAAAAGACTGGCTTGTGCTTCAGAACTATCAAAACTAAGTGTTGACTGGCTAACAGTACAATCAGAAGGGGACATCACTCTTTGTACCGTCATCAATCTATTGCCAGCATCAAATACAAGTTGGTAGCACTGTTTTAAAATTGGGAAATACATTGTTTATTGAATATGGAAAAACTTCTTAAACTGTAACTATTTATAAAGCTTTGTAAATGTTTTTTTGTGTTCATTTGTATAAAATTGTTTTTTTATTTTATTTAACAAACACTTATGTAAAAGCTAGTACTTTTTATTAAGTTTAGCTGGGGGTCATATTTGTCTTTATCAGAAATGTTAAGAAAGCCAAATTATAAATTCAGTTCAATGTGTTTTGTTTTCTACAAGTTTATTAAACTACACAAAATTGAGATGTTGTCTACATCCAGAATCTAATAGAAAAAAATGAAGTGGCTATTCGTCCCAGGTACCAGAAGTGAGAGGTTGGGATTAAAAAACTTTTTAAAATTTTGTTGGGTATGAGGTAGCAAATGAAAGATAATTGAATGGACTATATTTTTCTAAACTTAATTCTTCAGCTTAACTAAAATAAACAACCACAAATGACATCCGACTTCTCACTTCTGGTACCCGAGGACGAATAGTCACAGTCTAGAAACATATATGCCATTCATGGTTCTAATCAAGAGATGTCCCGAGTTAATAAGAAAAATTGCAAACCTGTTGAAGACTGCTACTGTCAACAGCGGAAGTCTCAATTAGTTGAGATGCTACATTTACAGCTGCTTGACTCTCCACTGACATCTGTTGAGAATTTGAAAATGATGGTGTAGCCTCGCTGTCATCTCCCATGTCTTTATAATCTTGCACTGGAGTTGACCGCCCGTATGTGGAGTGAGCAGCTGACTGATATGTTTCATTTCTATTTCCATGTTGAACTTGAAACACACCTTCACAATAAAAACAAAAAAAAGTGTAGAAGGCCTTAACACAACCCACTTAAAATAGCTTGCATATATCATGTATAAACATTTGTACACAACAAGCTTTTCACTTAAACAATGGCATCTGAATTTATAACCCATTTCCAGATTGCAAATGTGGCTTAGGGGGATGCGAAACAAACATAAATACTGAGCCATACAAAGTTTACATTTAAAATGAAGTCAACAGGTCCACAAGTCCTCAACACACAAAAATAAGACAAGATTACCTAGGAATTTTAACAGGTCTAGGTCACACAAAAAGAGTAAAAATGCACTGATGTCATTTCCTAAAAATATAGCTGCTCTCTTTCCTCTGATTATTTCAAGAATCATCTGCCATACTTAAAGAAAATCATTTGGTCATGAGAAAATACCTGGAAACTGAGCCCTCAGATCTTGGTAATGGTTTCCATCTATGTGCGAATGCTGCAACTCATGAACTTGCACGGACGATCTGTCCTGAGAACTGGTCGGGCCCTGGAGAGTTATTGCCCCCTGAAGTGCCAGACCCTGTGAAGCGAGACTTACGGCTGCCGGCAGGAAACCACTTTGATCTGGCTGCACCCACATTTGCTGTTGGTGCTGCTGGCCCAGGGACACTGTAACAGAGCTGAAAATACATGGCATACATTGGCTTTGCAAAAGTTAACAGAGAAAGAAATTGAAATGCTTTGAAATGTGTGATAAAGCAGTACTACCTAACCTGATTTGATGCCAAAATCGTTGCTTAAAAGTGGTTTGAAAGCTTATTCACTATCAACAAATAAATTCTTTCACAATATGATCTTGTCTAAGGCACCAAAAATTAATTAGTTAATTAAAGTTAGTGATATTGATATAGTTTAGTTTATTTAAAATATGAGGTATATGAAATTATTTTTTATTATCTTGTTATTTTGATTTGTTATAATAGGATGTTAATAAAATCAATGTAAAGTGATTATTAAAATTCTTTTTTTTTTACTCATGTAAATTATAATCTGATTTAGTATATCTTGCAATTTCTTATTAAAATAAACTGTATAAGACAAATTATTTTCCCACTAAAAACTTTACTTAACAGCAAAATGTAGTATTTTTTTGGTTAAAATGTAAAATCCAGTACCTGTTTCCTAACCCAGAAGAGGTCGTCACAGTGCTGCCACCAACGTCACTTCTGGCCATGCTGATACCACCATGATGTAGGTTTACACTAGGCATTGAGCTGATTGTGTTGTCCAAATGATTAAGGGCAAGCTGCTGGTGATTCTGCTGCTGTTGGTTGAGCAGTAGCTGTGCACTAGCACCATTCATGATACTGGTAGGAACTGTGTTGAAGGTCATAATTTCGCTGCCACTCACAATCCCATTTTGATTAATAGAAAGTGGTAGGTTCATGGCAGAAGATAAAAGGTTGGAAAAATGTCCATTAGCTACAGCCCTGCTCACTGCAGCACCAAGAGCTTGGATGAGACCACTGGCTGAGTTGCTTCCATCACTGACAGCCATTCCATCAGAACCACCCATACTGATCAAGTGTCCATTGCCTAAGTTTTGAGAATCAATTATTCCATTGGAACTAATTTCATTTGAATGTAGAACTGTCCTACCATTGGATCGAATAGCATTTTGCTGCTGGAGTTGCAGAAGCTGTTGATGATGTTGGTGCTCAGCTAGACTGACTGCTTCTAATATAACACCACCATTGCTGACATTGCCATCAAGGGGATTGTTGAGAATAACATTACCATTGCTGAAGCTGAGGTTAAAGTTTCCACTCCCACTTACAATATTACCATTGCTGTTTATGCCAGAGTTGTGACCAAGGTTTGAATTTGTGAACTGAATGCCATTAGCCCGAACATTGTCAAGGTTTTCAGCACTAAGACTGAGAGGAATCCTTACAGCACCTTCTCCCTGATTGGCAGATGATAATGCTGTACTCGATGTAGGAGTTAAGGCCTCACTGATCCTGTGGGTGTTGCTGGGATTTATGTTAAGACTGGTATTGTGCCCAGTGTGGTTGGCTTTGCCACGATGGTGATTTTCTGCCATTTTCAAAGTAGTTCTGGCATTCACAAGATAGAAGATCTCTAGAAAGAGGGAAAAAATAATTCCAATAATATTATGTTTGTTATTGTAATTTCTAAATACATTATTATCTTTAAACTAGAACTATACACACAATTAAGGTTATCTTCTTCTGTTCACTTCTACCAGGGAGACATCATGGGAAGGTACTGTTGGCTATCAGCCGTAATGTGTGAGGAATGCTAAAGATTCATGATGTGGACTAATTTTTATAGGGTGTCATTAACAATTTCAGTTTCCTTAAAATTTTCTAACTCTACAGCTGTATAGATTTTGAAATTCTCTTTTCTTGATATTTTAATTTAAATTTTAAAATGCCAGAAAAGTCTCCACATTTAATAGCATGCTAAAAGTCATGCTAAAATCTAATACCTAATGGAACTGGAAGGCAAGTCTGATAAAAAGAACATTTGTGCACAGAAAGGCAGAATGTGGGATGTGCTTTTGCTGCAAGTCTTTCATGTTTTTTAAATTTGTATAATGAATGTTTGAAGGAAATTTAGCTGATCTTTTAATAGTCAAAGCCCCATCCCCCCCCCCCCCCCCCCCCCCACCAACAAATGAATTTCTCCATGTAGCAAAGTTAAAATGGGAAAGAACAATGGAAAATTAGGAATAATTTAAAAAAATTATATTTTTATTTGGGTTGGGGGTGTGTTGTTAGGTGAAAAAAATTGTCTATTTTATTTGACATGCTTAGTGCTTAGGCTGCAAATTGAATGCCAATCCTCTAGCATGGAATGACATGCGACTGATATTTTAACAGTCACTTGAATGTCTTGAACAAAGTCTTAATGTCAAGAATTAAAACCAAATTAAAATTATAGGCTTATTAAAATACATTTTCACAGGATTCAATTTGCTGAAAATTGTGAGGAATTATTGAGCTAATAGTATTTTTTAACTGTAAATTTTTGTATTACTAATATTCATAGTAAACTCAAGGAAGCAATCACCAATACCTTGATTGATTGGCATGACCCACATAAAGTTATTTACCAAGACCAACCAAGGTCTAAGGAGGGGGAGGGGGCTTGCTTCCACATCAAGGGGGATAGACGCCCCTGGCACCCCTATTCAGGTGATTGGTCCAAGTTTGCACACAGAGTATGTAAAATTATTATTCCTACAGCCTACACTACACTTATTTATTAGAATTAGAAAGAACACTAATTTAAATGGATTGATATATTTTTTATTTAACAGTCAACAGTGACTGTGTGAAGTGTCCACTACTACTTTACTTATAATTTAATTATAATTTAATTATAATATGATACAATTAACAATTAGTTACTTTAATATTATTTAGTTTAGTATTAGTATTAAAATTAACCCAAATTGATTAGTATTATATTTTAGGGGATTTAGTTTTAGTACTAACACTAACTAATAAGTCTGAAAGTTGGTAGCCTCCTGCAGAAATACTTATGTTATGGCACAACTACCACTAGACTAGTACTTACTAATAGTAATAGTGCTGACTTATTTCTCAGTTTCAGTTAATGAAATAAGCCTGTTAATTTTAAAATCAAGAGGTCCCCCCCCCCCCCTTTTACAGCCCCTTTAAATTTAACATTTTAAATGAATTTTATTTAAAGTTTAAGTCTCTAATTTTAACTTTCAAAAGAATAATAAGTAGGCTAGCCACTGTTAATTTTAAAATCAAGAGGTCCCCCCCCCCCCCCTTTTACAGTCCCTTTAAATTTAACATTTTAAATGAATTTTAATTAAAGTTTAAGTCTCTAAATTTAACTTTCAAAAGAATAATAAGTAGGCTAGCCTATGATGAAGAGTATGAGGCGATGCCTTAACTTTAATAATATAATTTTTACTATAAATTATTACTAATATTGTAATATTAATTATGTTCTAAAGCTAGTAGTAATTGTCTCAATAGACTATAAAAGGCATACTCAATATCTAAGATTAAAGTAAAGCCCATAAAACTGGACGGAACCATTATTTGTTACTGCTCACTGTTTCAGAGACGACTGCGGGAAGCTACCATCTTAAGATTTAGATTAAAAAGTAGGGGAGTTTCGACAAAATGATGAAAAAAAATCAATTACATGCAAGTAATAAAATCAAATTATGTAGATACTTATAGCATACCCAAACATACCAAAAGCAAAATTAGAAAAAGTAGAGAATATAAGAAAATGGCCGAATCCTTACACATTCACTGATTCAGCGGTCGAGTGCATAATTTGACCTTATAAATTTGCATATTTTTCAACCGTAACCTTTTATGAAGCGTTCCTAATATGCCGGTTAAGACAAAATAAGTGTAATATTTTTTTCAAGCTTAGTGATAAAAAGCATTTTTAGTATAGTATAAATAAATAGCTCGTCGATCGCCAATGACTCTTTGTTTTATGCTAAGTACTATAACTATGAAAACTTTAAATAATTTTTAAAATATGTTTTATTTTATTTATACTCAACATAACCAATACTACACGCCTGTCTAATGATTTTAAAATGCAGGGAAAGTATTAATATTTTTGATGAAATCTACATTAAAAAGAAATAATAAGTTAAAGCATGGGCTTTATTACTTTAGTTTATATCAGTGAAACTAAGTTAAGTGACTTTGCTCTTACCCTTACTAGACTATACACAAATATTCCAACAGTATAATTAGACATTCATACAAAAATGTCATTGTAGGTGTGGGCTTTTCAATATCGCCCGCTTCCTGCGTTTTAAACGCACCGAAAAGTATTTAAAAGTTATTAAAATGCATTGCCTATTGAAATACTGTGCAAATGAGCACTATATGTAGGGCCAAAAAGATTCAAATTGAATGTAGACAAGACTTAATTATGTTGCAATTTTATTCATTTTTTGAAAATATTTTCTGCACATATTTTTTTTTGCGTAATGAATTTTAAGAAATTTAAAAAAAAAAAAAATGCTTTTAGTTATAGCTCGCCAAACATTGGCGACAGCCATGTGTGAACTTCCCATCTACTCGAGTGACAAAACATAAACTCAAGTAATGCACATTTAAGAATCCGAATATTTGCTACACCCTTTCCCCCATGATACGTCACTGCACACTTTTTATTTTATGCCCATGAACTATATTAATATTGTGATGTCCCAACTACTTTTAAACATAATATTTATTACACCATATTCAAATTGAGACAATTTCATTTCCAAAAAGAAAAAAAAAAACAATATTACGCAACAAATGCAGTTGCGTTTGTTTAAGAAACATCATTTAGCGTAGTTATTGGCAAAAATATTTTGCGCGCTATCCGGAAATGGAAGCAGTCATACCATACATATGTGTGTGTATATATATATATAACCTTATTTTTTTTAATTGCCTTTTAAACAAAAATATCTATTGTTACCTTCTAAAGTTTAGTATTAAAATCGTAATATTTAAATTATCAACAAAAGTACAATTATTTAATTTTTTAAACAACGAATACTTAAAGGTCAAAGTGTCCTAAATCACTACCTAGGTATACAACTAAAAATTAGATTTTAACGGGTGCGGATTTTGTCCCCCTGGTCGCAAGTAGTCCATTGTTCCGTGGACCATATATTCCAGTCAAGAGCAGAAAGTCAACAGCTTCCACAAAAGATGTTGTGGCCCATTGGCGAATTCAATGATAGGACAAAGTGTTATGTGAAACAACTTTTATGATACAAATTATCTAATCATCGAAATATGAGTTCTCACATCTGCAATGTTGTAAGCTCCCAACGATCGTGATCTTGAAATCACTTTCCGTCCTTGAGTCCTGATATATCTGCAGAGTTACTCAAGGGTCAATGGACGTCACTGGTGACCTACTGTTCATGAAGGGTTATTTTGTCATCGTGGGGGGGGGGGGGGGGGCGTGGGTAAGTTTACAAAGTTTAAGCTCAATTGGAGCGTATCCGGAAATTTGATCGAAAGAAATTTCGTTGACGGTAAATTGATCGGACGGAAATTTGATTGAATCTTTTTTCAATTTTTACGTTAAAATTTTGCTTCAATTTTCTATTTGAACGCAGCATTTTGTTTTACAATATTGAGTTCAAAAAGAAATTTGACGAAAATTTTAACGTGTGAACTGAAAAAAAAAAAGAAAAAAAAGATTCGACCAAATTTCCGTTCGATCAAATTACCGTTGATCAATTTACCTTCGACGAAATTTCTTTCGATCAAATTTCCGGTAACCTAATAGGAGATCAGGAAGTGGCCCAAAATTGGGTTAATAGATTAAACCTAGACAAACAGACGAAATCGCAAGCTAAATAAAATAAAAATCTGTAAAAAAATGTGTATTGCGTACACGCCTTTACATGTTTCACCGATCGCTCGGAAGTCTGCAGCTATCACATGGAACCCGCCAATAAACTGTGGAAAGTGTAAAGGACCCAGGAATAGTGGTTAAGATATTCCATGGCTAAAGAAATGGCGACGGTAATAAATGAATAGGCCTGAGGCAACAGTTTAAAATTATTATTTGCTACGTATTATAATAAGAAGAATTATTTTTTGATTTACAACTGATAGTAATTTTTCACGCGTGTGTAAAAAAAAAAAAAAGAACTGATTGACCTTTTACCTTTTAAATCTTACAGTGTTCTTTGACAAAATAAAAGAAACTTGCGAAAACTGGTTTTTAAAAACTGAGATTTAGGATAAATTTAGACTAAGAGCTCGTTTCTATCTGATATTTATTTTTAAAAACCACAAAAGCAACAGATCATCTTTTGATATAGAAAGCTTTATTATTATTATCAATATTATTATTACCGTATTATCATAAGTATATCGTATTTAATAAAATAAAAGGATTTTTTCTGTTTCGGCTAAAATGATGATTAATAAAAAAAAAAAACAATTCAAAAAATATACCAGATTAATTCATTTGCAACATATGAGTCATGCATTATATGTACATAAGCCATATATATATATTATATAAACAATTTGTTCAATTGTTTTTTTTCCCTCTTTTCTGACTAAATTCTACTCGGGGGGAGTATACATCTATAATATAATGTTGATAATAACACTAACAGAAGTGATACATGGGAAGATCTCCTTACACAGACACCCCCCCCCCCCCTTTTCCGCCTTTATGTTACGACACTGGGGATACCCAACCCATTTTCTGACTAAATTCTACTCGGGGGGAGTATACATCTATAATATAATGTTGATAATAACACTAACAGAAGTGATACATGGGAAGATCTCCTTACACAGACCCCCCCCCCCCCCCTTTTCCGCCTTTATGTTACGACACTGGGGATACCCAGACCCGGTTTAACCATTAGGCAAACTAGGCAGGAAATAGTTGGCGCTCATACATATACAAGTTTCAATACAAGTTCTTTGAAATTAAGTGACACTCTGGACACATATCAGAATAGAAAAGATCAGCACATGGAAATATAAATAATATATTTGCATTCTATTTATGAATGATTATTTTAAAAAATAGATCTAAAAAACTGTTTTTTTTAAACGTCTAATAAAGCAATGAGGCAATAAAATATTCAATTTCCTCTTAATATAATGTAGCAGCAAACAGCAATAACAACACAACTTTATCCTACGGTACTTAAAGAGTTTAAAATGCAATATTGTGCGATGGTTTGGGTAATGAGTATGCATACATTTAAATTATATTGTTAAGATGATTTGATTGTATAGAAAGTGGATATTTTCCAACCGTATCTATAAACGTTTCTCTAGATATTCAAGGATAGAAGCATAAAGTAAAGGAATACACTTGTAAAGATGAAAACTTGAAAACTATATATATATATATGTATGTATATATATATATATATATATATATATATATATATATATATATATATATATATATGTATGTATGTATGTATGTATATGTAAATATATGTATATATATATAATCTATGTGATTATATACATTTTTAATTGAATCTTGAATTTTTCCTAGCTGTGGTCTTTAAATTTATTTTTTTTAATATATAAACATTTCTCTATATATAAAAAGAAAGAAAAATAAAGTAAAAAAATACACATATAAAAATAAAAAATTGAAAAATATATATATATATATATATGTATATATATATATATATATATATATATATATATATATATATATATATATGTATGTATGTATGTATGTATATGTAAATATATGTAAATATATATAATCTATGTGATTATAGACATTTTTAATTGAATCTTGAATTTTTCCCAGCTGTGGTCTTTAAATTTAATTGTTTTCTTGCTTGCATTGACACTTGCACCGAAAGCAATCGCATATCTGAAGTTACATTCTGATTGACAGGGAATTTGGGCTCAGGCTTGTTTCTGTTATTAGGTTTTGTCCTTTCATCCACGTTCTGTAGAAGGAAAACAATAATTAGGATACGCTTAAGCTTATGAAATAAACCAACGTGTTGTCTTTCTGGCTTAAAAAGTAGACAGTAAGATATCATATTTAAAAAAAAAAAAATTATTATTTGAGCTAAATCTTTTCTGACATTAAGTCAGACGACCTCCTAGGATTTTCTTAAAATCAAAGCCAGTCGTCGATTCTTAGAAATGAAACATGCTTTGAAAACGCGAAAAAAAACCACACAAAAAAAACAATAGCAGAGGACAATGTATTTTGACGATAGGTAACATCAACAAATCAAAGCCACAATCTCTCCAAACCAAAATGGATGTTAAAAAAATAAAAAATTTAAAAAACAAAACAAACAACTGAAACCAAAGTTTTTCGTTTAAATCCTTTATAGGCATTTTTGTTTGCCTTTCTATCATTGTACATGATTTAACATTTATTGAGAAGTGGTTATGTCAATGGGTAAACTTGAGTCGGAAACACGTTTCACATCTCCTTCATTTTTACTTTCAAAAATACATTAAAAAAAACAACAACTGCATATCCAAATGCGTCAAAAATACAAAGCAAAAGCTGCCCATTTTATCACAACAAAAACAAGCACGTATTTAACAAATCATATTTCATTCATCTTCCCTTGAAAAACAGATTTTTGGGGATTGGGGTGGGGCTGAAAATTTGATCGAATGTGTTTTCATTTGCAACGAGTCTATGTGCCAACTTTCAGTGGGTCAATTAGAATCTCCTCAAAAAAATAGGAAAAAAGATTTTTTTTGGGGTGGAAGGTTGGTTGTGGGGAGTGGGATTTAAAATTTGAAAACAAAGTCTGTCGTCTTTGGCAACAAGTCTATTTGTCAAGTTTCAACTTGATAGGATGACGGAAAGTGAGTCACTTAGCCTTCCAAAGATTTTGCCACCAAGAAACACGAACAAAAGCGATTTTGGGAGGGGGGGGGTGTCGAGTATGAGCGTTCATTAGTAATTGTTGCGACTCAATATTATGTTCATTAGTTGTTGAATGCTTTTCCCGCGCTTGACTATTACAGTTAGTGAACGCTCTTCCCGCCATTGTCTTTATGACGTATTTTTATGCTGAGTCGTGACGTATTGTCTATGCAGTGTTGTGACGTATGTTTTAGTCGTACGGCAGTCTTGAGTGGAACCTTGGAGTGATAGGATGTTTATTATATTTACTTAGATATTAAAGTTATAGTTATTATGAAAAGGAGTTGAGTTTGTTAATTGATAGTGAGAATAGTACGACGCTTCAACGTATGAAAGAACTGACGAATGTAATCAATCCAAGAAGACGTTAGGAGTTGACATGGGTGCTTCTCATCCGGGATTGGTGAACCTCGTTATTTTCATACTTGAGGTAAAGTACAAGAACATTCTTATTATTCAACTTTAGTGAAGTTACAACCATCGTCGCATGTTCCCGTATTTCAATGTCGGAGCCCCGCTGCCACCGTGTGTCAAGTTTATATGAGTTGCATACGCCAGTAACTCCATCAACCACCTACGTCCTGTATTAGGCTAGTTATGTCCTAACCTGCAACAGGCTAACTACGCCCTGCCCGTTATCAAGTTGCCAACGTCCTGTCCAGTTCCAGTGAAATAACTACGTCCTGCCCGTTATCAAGTTACTAACCTCGTGTCCAGTTCCAGTGAAATAACTACGTCCTGCCCGTTATCAAGTTACTAACCTCGTGTCCAGTTCCAGTGAAATAACTACGCCCTGCCCGTTATCAAGTTGCCAACGTCCTGTCCAGTTCCAGTGAAATAACTACGCCCTGCCCGTTATCAAGTTGCCAATGTCCAGTTCCAGTGAAATAACTACGCCATGCCCGTTATCAAGTTACCAACCTCTTGTTCAGCTGCAGTGAATTAACTACGCCCCTCCACGTATCGAGTTATCTACGTTCTTTCAGCGGTGAGCTACCAACTTCGTGTTCAGTTCCAGTGAAATACCCAGCCCTGACCTTCGTCAAGTCGACAACGTCCAGTTGAGTTCCAGTGAATTAACTACGCATTTCCCTGTATCGAGTTATCTACGTCCTGTCGGTAGTGAGCTACCAACTTCGTGTCCAGTGAGTTGTGAAGTCCGTGGCCCTGTCCGGTCACCCAGCTGAACAACGCCCTGTCCTGCTTCAACGAGCCACCAACGTCCCGTCCTGCATCAAGCTGCACATGCCCGATCCTGTTTTGGTGAGTTACCCACGAACTGTCCAGTGTCGGCGATTCGCCTACGTTCTGTCCAGTGAGCTGCCGATGTCCCGTGACCCGTCCCGGTCACCCACACCTCAATGACTGTTTCCCAAGATCGCCATATAGGACAATTGAAGTTTGTGAGAGAACTATTGACAGTAAAGAACCATTGACACTTAATTAAGCCCAGTGTGTGTTTTAAATAATATTTAAATTCTATAGGACATTTCACGAACCAGGCAAGTTGGATTTTTATTGTTTTGAAACATTTTTGGCATAAATTTTCTTTTGTATTTACATTTTTTTTTTTTTACCTGGGTAGAATTTAGATTTCTGCTAGAGTTAGTTTAAACAGACTGCGATTGGTCCTTAAACCTAATTATTGTTTATTGTATGATCACCCTTAATTTGCATTGCTATGGCTGGATATGTCGAGTATGGGAAATTGAGCCTAGAAGAAATTGAGCGTGTTGGCATTTTACTTTCTTATAAGGCAGAAAAACTTGTGGAATTTATAATGGGAATGTGGGAAAAACAAAGAGAGGAGGAACGTATAGATAGAAAGAGAGAGGAGAAACGTATAGAAAGGCAGATATGGCAAGAACACATAGATAAATACAGAGAGCTACAACGTGTAGGTAAACAGAGAGAGCGAGAAAGTTTTGCTAAACAGAGATATGTAGAACATACAGACAGACCGAGACAGCACGAACCTAGAGATAGACAGAGGCAGTACGAACCTAGAGATAGACAGAGATATGTAGAACATACAGCTAGACCAAGACAGTACGAACCCCGAGATAGACAGAGTCAGTACGAACCTAGAGATAGACAGAGATATGTACAACATACAGCCAGACCGAGACAGCACGACGAACCCCGAGATAGACAGAGTCAGTACAAACCTAGAGATAGACAGAGATATGTAGAACATACAGCCAGACCGAGACAGTACGAAACCCGAGATAGTCAGAGACAATATAAACCCAATAAACTAGATGAAGAAATTAGACGTGCGAAATTAGAGGCAGAACGACGGGAAATTATTTTAAATAGACAGGCATATTATTATAACGACAGTGACGATGACGAGAGTCACGGGGAAAAAATATATTATGGCATTGCCAGCATTCACTGTGAGAATCCCTATAAAAATTTTAATAGAGTTTCTATTAATGTAAGTGAAAACAAATATGTGGATAACGGTGGACATACTCATGATCCTGACTACAGGCAAGAGTCGGCCTCGCAACCACGGTTCATGGCTAAAGATACTGAGGAACAAAATGATATTATTGCCTCTGCTGACGACTCAATTTTTTTAAATAGAAATGACAGTGATTTGTTAATTGATCCGTCAGCTGACGTTAAAAGGGACAACGTTGACCGTGCTGACATACCCCCAGTGGCAAAGGGTACATATATAGATTTAGATTCATGTCAAAACGAGGTTGTAGTAGTTGGTGTATCCCAGGAAGTCCAATGTAAAGAAGAAAGGGGACGACAATTTAATATGGTAGAAGTCATTGGAAATGACCTTAGGTGGACGTATGCAGGGGATTGTCCCAGCGCCACAGCATGTAATGAATTGGTTGTTATGGGAACGGGCTGCCTTGAAAGCAAAGAGAACCCTGTTCTAATGTCTGAGGACATGATTTTTGTTGTATCTCATGGTGAGCCATCAGATAATGTAAGTCCTGAAGTTAAAGTGTCTGATTTTTTGTGTGAGGTTGATGAGGTGAGTGTAATCCCTGAGGTGGGGGAAGGAGAGAAAATTGTTGTTGATAATTATTGTGATGTAAATGAGTCACTGTGTAATGTGAGCAAAGGTTGCTCAAATGTTGATATTTTTACAGAGATATGTACTGGTAATGAATATGAATTAGTTGATAATGTGAGCCAGGTGTGCTCAGGTTTTGATGTTACTGCAGAGATCTGCAATGAAAATGTATCACAAGTTGTTATGAGCAAGGGTTGCTCAAAATTGTATAGTATTACAGAGAGCTGTATTGATGATGAATCAATAGGTAGTGTGAGCCAGGGCTGCTCAGATTTTCATATTGTTACGGATAGCTGTAATGATAATGAATCACCTGTAAATGTGAGCCAGGGCTGCTCAAATTCGCATATTGTTACAGATAGCTGTAATGAAAATAAATTCCCAAGTAATGTGAGTGAAGGTTGTCCGGATTTTGAGAGCCAGGAGTGCTCTAACAATAAGTTGGAAACTAATGCTGAAAGTGTTAAAAAGAGCGCTGCCAGCTCTAAAGGTGCACTTGTTTATGATTTTCAAAAGGATGTGAGATGTCAGGTCCATGAGTTGGGAGGTGAGGCTTTTGATTGTATTGTTAAAAAAATGAATCTGTTAAAATGAACTATTACCATGATTGCCTTGAAGTTCCTGATTTGTTTGAATTTCTTTTTTATGAGACTCGTTTTTCATTTTGTAACAATTTAAAAATATGTATTGTAAAACTGAGATTTCACATGAGTTCTGACCACGGGTCAAAAGAACAGGGAGAGATAATTCTAATTATAATTAACATGTTGAAGCATAAAGTTGTGAAATCCACGGACAAAAGATATGTCCCACCATCTGTAGCTGTGTTATTTAAGAGCAAATAAAGGCTGCTCAAATTGTGGTGAGACATCTCTCACCTGTAATAATGTTAGATAGTTTTGTGTTTTTATAGTGATGGCCATTGGTTTTGTTTAAAAATACACCTTCTTGATGATATGATTTGGATTAACTTAGTTATAGTTTCAAATTCAGTAAGGATATTGATGTATTTGGCCTGATTTTTTAGATAAAAATATAATTATTTTTATTGGAATGAAAAATGAAAATTAATGTTGACATTCAATTTCAATGGTCTGATTTTTATTTTCGTACATGAATTAACTCTTGAATTGCATTTAAAATTATGTACGAAGGATTGTTTATTTCATTGCAGTATATCATAAATCTGTTTGATTTTCAGTGATACCTAAATAATGTTTTTTGATAAGGACCATTCATATGGCTGAAGGTCTCTTCTTGATGTAATTCATGTAAATTTTGTAAGTCTGGTGACGATTTCACTCCCTGAGTGAAATCTGAAATGAAAGAGGGGGGATATGTCGAGTATGAGCGTTCATTAGTAATTGTTGCGACTCAATATTATGTTCATTAGTTGTTGAATGCTTTTCCCGCGCTTGACTATTATAGTTAGTGAACGCTCTTCCCGCCATTGTCTTTATGGCGTATTTTTATGCTGAGTCGTGACGTATTGTCTATGCAGTGTTGTGACGTATGTTTTAGTAGTGCGGCAGTCTTGAGTGGAACCTTGGAGTGATAGGATGTTTATTATATTTACTTAGATATTAAAGTTATAGTTATTATGAAAAGGAGTTGAGTTTGTTAATTGATAGTGAGAATAGTACGACGCTTCAACGTGTGAAAGAACTGACGAATGTAATCAATCCAAGAAGACGTTATAGGAGTTGACAGGGGGGGGGGGGGGTTGGGCTGAAAATTTGATGGACAATGCTGACAAGTGCAACGAGTCTATGTGCCAACTTTCAGCTTGATAGGATGACGAAAGTGGGCAACTGGCCTTACTAAGATTGTGCCGCCTCAAAGAAAGAAAGAAAGAAACACGAACAAACGCGAAGTTAATATAAAAGATAAAAAAAATGTATTCAAATAATGAAGTGTAAGTTTATATTTTTTAATGACTTAAAATCAAATATATCTTTGTTTCTATTTGTCCCATATTTCCTGTAAGGTTCTCCCACAAAGATCCAGCGTTAATTAAGTTTTTAATGTTTAGCTTGATCACGCTATTTGTGTGATATAGGTGAATGGCTCGAGCAGCCCTACTTGACGGGGTACCATGTTCTGGGAAGAAATTGGATTACCGATTTATCCCGTTTGAATATCTTGCTTCTGTTATACTTCTTCAGCGGTCTATTTTTATGAATTATTACCTTTAAAAATTAAAATCTCGTCTAAAGTTACCATTTTTTAAATGAGAAACTTAGAAATCTTACCTTGATAAGTTTTTGCATTTCTGCCATTTTTGCGTCCATCTCCATCATTTTTGTGTCTACCTTCTCTGTTAAAATATAAATTGATTGACTTTTTAAAGTTTGAACCGGACATCGATATATGCCCTTTTCTCCCCACCCCCCCCTCTCCCCCCCCCCCCCCACATTCTGTCGCTTCTCACTTTCTCACCCTCTCTAATCCTCAATCTCGTTTAACATCTTATTTATACAGCAAAGTACAATCTTCAAAAACATGATGCAAATCATATTATGGGTTTGCCAGGTTCATTGTTAAGCTTCATTGTTGACATAAAAGTTCTAAAAAAAAAAAAAAAGGTTCTGAACCAATGTTCTCAATCGGTGTTCACCGAACCTCTGTCTTTCCACGACGCACACTCCGGTAGTCTGCCCGAGTAACAGCTGATACATCTTCAATTTTAATTTTAATCGAATTATTTTAAATATTGGTGTATGACAAGTTGTCATAATAGGTTATATCTTCACAGACAGTGATATAAAAAGTTATTTTGGTAAAATGTGAATGCCTTGAATTTTTAAACAATCTTTGCCTGACATTGAAATATTATATGTTATGCAAGTGGTCCATAATTTAAAATAAAAGTTGAGAACCATCTGGCTAAACTGCTCAGCCAACATGAGTCACAGCACTATATAAAACGCAGTGCTCTTGAGTCTTGACTACTATTTGTGAGAAATTTATAGTATGAAATAAACTAGTCAGTTACCTTTTTCCCGTTTGTTTGACTTTTTCAAAGCTTCCATTTCGGAGATTAGTCTTACAATTTCACCTGTAGTATTCATTTGGAGAAAAAAAAATAACGTAATGAACTGTTATAGTCAAAACTTTTGTCATCATTTTCATCATATGCATGTAGCTAGCTGATCATCAGTGGATCGTGCCAAAGTTAAGTCCAGGGAGATTTGCCCACACCCCCTCTTTTAAAACGATCTATTGATGTCTCCATCACTTTGGGTTAGAGGCAACTTTTTGTTCAGTATGACGACTAACAAATGAGGAGCCCTCTTGCAAAAGGTACTAAGTCCAACCAAACTTATTTTTCAGGAAAGTGAATTTTGTGTTACAACTTAACTAGCATTTTGAAGGTTGCTGTACAGTTTCTATTTAAAATAAATGCATTTAGAGCCTTCTGAATGTTAAGATGAGAAATTCAAAATGTGTATTTTTAACAATAAATTAAGAAAAGGGCACTAACTAATTTTTTTCAAAAAAAAAAAAGGACTTAGTGCCATTTGCAACTGGGCTCCTCTAAATGAACATTCATAATTATTCACTGGTTTTGTTCGTTTGTATACTGGTACTGGCCAAATTAACGTTAGAGCTTATTCTTTCTCTCTTATTTTGAAAACTTCATTACACTTACTTTAGATTACACAAGTAACTATTTTATAATATTTTTGTGTGCTAATTACTTTAACGTCTTATTTTTAAAAAAATATTTATTAAATAATAATTTAGAAATTCTGGATTTTATCGATTAAAATCCCTAAATTTCCTATAGAATACATATTATCTATACAACAAGCTAACAGTGTTTGTCTCTGTCTTGTAGACTACATTTTCATACAACAAGCTTAGAGTGTTTGTCTCTTTTTTATATGCTACATATCTATACAACAAGCTAAGAGTTTTTGTCTCTTTTTTTATCTACTTTTGCTGCAGAAGGCTATTTAGCTGAAACGTCCACTTTCTGTTATTGTCCTTTTTCAGAGTTTCCTTTAACTTTAACCTTTGTACATTTCTTGTATAGTGTAAGAGTAAGCACCGTAGAAAAGTTAAATTTCCTTATAGGGCTCGTTGCACCTGTGACCAGAGAATTAGTGAGTGCTGTTTGACGTCCATAAACACAGGGTTTTCAGCGTGCCATTTTGTATAACGCTCAATTGCTTTACTTAAGTCGACATCGGAACCAGGTTTCAATTCACATTTTATAAAAAGAAATACAATTTAATGCAAAAATAAAATGACCTTTTTGAAGATTGTATTGTCTTGTAGTCTCTTGTAGTTGCCGCTTTAAACTGTCTATTTCATCGTTCAGCCTTGACCTTTCGACTTGTAGGTCATTTCGAAGTTGTTGTAATTCATTTTCTTTTTCTTCAAGGATTTTCCTAATTTGTTTCATTTCTTCCTCCTTTTCTTTCAATATTTCCTACAGATGGACTCAGTCATTAATAATTTGATTCATTTCAATGACGCTATTTCACAGTTCAAATAATACATATACTAACACAATTTACTGGGTTGTAAGATATGATTCATGTTAATGTTACTCTCTAAATCTAAATCAATAAACGATAGGCTATTAGGTTTTTTTTAGATAATGGAACCCACAAGGCAATATTGTTATTTTGCATTTTTTTGTCGCCACTCATTCCATTGCATAGAAATGATTTAAATAACTCAAACTTACTGACAAAACGTCAGACGCCTGGGCGACTGACTTCATGACAACATGAACTGTTACCTCAATCAAGACACAATTTAAAACATCATGGCTTGGGACGGCTGCTTATATTTATAAATCCAATTTTACAAATCGAACTGAAAAATTTACTGTAGCATGTATATGACAAAAACATTAAAAAATTTGATACTGCAAACCTCATAATTCTCTTTCAGGTAAACATCATTTAATCTGCAGGGAAAAAAGTATAAAATTATAAAGTAAAGTCAAGCTTCAACAGATTATTTATATTATTCTCAAAGTTTCTCTCCATAAATCAAATTGCTTCATAGTCATTGTTATCTTTCTGTATATTTATAAGAGTGAGTCTACAAACTGATCAATTATTTAATGCATACCGGCATGGGTGCCCGCAGGGGGGGGGGGGCAAGGGGGGCACTTGCGCCCCCCCCCTTGGATTGATTGGATACAAAATTGGAAAACAAAAAAAAACAAAAAATTAGAGTCTACAAACTGATCAATTATTTAAGGCATACCGGGATGGGTGCCCGCAGGGGGGGGGGGCAAGGGGGGCACTTGCGCCCCCCCCCTTGGATTGATTGGATACAAAATTGTAAAACAAAAATAAACAAAAAATTGATTAAAGTAAAGAGACAATCAAGAGAAAGTAACTCAGCAGATGTCCTGTCCGTTCGTTCACCATACAAATACGCTACAGTAAATTAAAACTACATTAAAACATTACTAAAACTTTTTGCCCCCCCCCCCTAGAAAGTTAATCGATTTTTTTGCGCCCCCCACCCCCAGAAAGTTTTCTGCGGGCGCCCATGCATACCGGTAATTCTTGGTACAACAGAATTTAATAATAAAGCTTTTGTGTGAAACGGCTGCCTTGGTTCCATTCATTTCTTAACTTTATATAAGTAACATCATTCAGTTCTCCGCACGTGTTATCTTGATAGATAAGTTCCATGCAGGAAGTTTTATAACTGACTTGCCTGTCTTTTAGCTCATCAATATCTGCTTCATGCTGATTGATTTGTTGTCCTTGAGCATCTACAGCAAACTTCAATTCTTGGACTGGAAAGTAAAAAAACAAAACAAAGAAATTAAATTTTATTTATCCATCACATATTTAATAATATATACACAAAGTGAGCTATTAATGTTTTTTTTTAAATTTTTATTTTTAAAAAATAATTTATTTGTAATTAAAATACTCATAATCATTTAAAGTTTTTAATTTTGTGACCTTTATGTTCATCATTCGTTTGGTATTTTTCGACGCGACTAGATTCGATACTGAAATGGCATTAAACCCACCTCCTCCAGCCTCCCAGACGTGGCGAATGGACTAGCCGTCATGTCGCAGACGTGGCTAATGGACAAGCCGTCATGGCCTTACCCCGGGAACACTCCTTACGCAATCATCCCGCCCCATGATCCAAATGCCCTGCTAGACAAATAAGGCGTATCTGCAACTCAAAAGGGATTTGACTGGAACACTAAAGGCATGCACCACACTTTAACTCCAAGGGACAAACTACGGTCACACTATAGAAAGGGTTTTAATTTAGGTCTAAGCTCCCTTTTCGCCTTCATTTTCCCTTTTACAAAAAAAAATAAAAATAATTAAATTAAATAAATAAATTCATTGATGCTTCAAGGGACACGCCTTATAGTGTATAGCGCTTTAAAAAACACAATACCTACTCGGTGAAAGTCAAAATCTTTAGCGGCATCACATTTTGTCAAGGTATCATCTTGGAATTATGGTATCAATAAATACCGGAAAAGGATTTTTCAAAGTGAAAGTAGAAATCTATAATAAAAATAATTGAGAATATCGTCTGAAAATAACTGAACAGGACAACGCTTTTGTATTCCTTTTAATGATATAAATATCTAAAGATCAGTTAAGGAGTAGCTTAACTTCTGGTCGTATTTCAAGGTTTCGACTATCGCTCCGAGATCCATTACAGCCCGCGTACTTCATCGTGGTAAAAATGCGCATAGATCTGTCAATCGAACTGCTACAGTACGACAAACTTCAAGGACTTAATAAATCCAAATTTTTTTAAACAGTGCGACAAACGTCAGTGCCCTCCTGTGACATCATACCCGCACGTCTGAATGATAGACGCTTCAAATGGATGCTATTTAAAGATTAAAACCATCTTACCGTCTAAAAGATATGTTTGCTCAGACTCGCTGCTTTCAATAACCTTAGCAACTTTGCTATAGCCATTGGAAATCAGAGCATCTATGAAGCAACGATAAGCATTAGGGCCTCTGTTTGATATGATGCTGAGCAACTTGCGAATTCGACTTAGTCTTGTTTTTTCACTCTCCACACTCTCCTTATCATCCCCGTCAATGATCTGCAGGGTAAATGTACATGGTTTTAAAATGTACTAAAATAATACGTTTTACATTGCAGTATTTTATGTTGGGCTACACATTCATAATTAAAAAATGAGTAAAACAAAGTAGTGTTAAACCTGAAAAAAGGAACGCAACAAAACAATGAACGTGTCGGCAGGAAGCCTTCGTCAGCGAACAAAACAACATAAAAAACAGTTAAAAAATAGCACTTAACTTAGAGGTAATTTCCATGGACAGCAAATGAATTGTCATTTACATTTACAATTTACATTCACAATTATCTAATTTAGACACCTTAAAATCTCAAAAAATTCTGCTATCTGTTGTTGTAGATAAAGGGTGTGAAGAAGTTTTGGGTGTGCCTATATTATATAGAAGATGCACATATCTCAAAACCTAATGATGTTAGCACGTAGAAATCTTTATTTAGATACTTGTTTAAAAATAAGAAAAATCTGAATGGGTGGTTCCTAAATATAAATTACAAGGGCGTGGACAATTTTGGTTATTGTACGAGGATACATTACACAACATCCCGTTTGTTTAAGGTAAAAATGGAATTTTTTTAAATATTGAGACCTCGCAATAACGGATAGAAAGTAGCGTAATAGGTTTTTCAATATTATCCCAGTAACAGCGCGTCATTTATTTTAGTAAGAATGTGTGTAAATATTTGATTTAAATATACGAGAGTCGTCCGTATCGAGTTTAGAGAGCCAAGGCAAAGGGTGCTACAGTAGTCTAGGACGTCTGCATCATGATGGCGTTAGAGACAAGGCAAAGGGTGCTACAGTAGCCTAAGACGTCTGCATCATGATGGCGTTGGTTCATTGATGGAAGCAACGTTTCTCTACAACATCTAGTCGGTTTTATTAAAAAAAAAATTAAGCGAGTAATTTTGGAAAATGTCAGTGAACAAATTTGATTGAAAATAAAAAAAAAAAGCTTCACAGAGATCTATTTAGGGATTACATTACAAGCATGATGATTCACTGGGCTCTATTTAGTGATTACAAACATAGAAGCACGAAGATTCGATGAGATCTATTTAGTTATTACAAGCATGAAGATTCACTAAGGTCTATATTAGTAATTACAAGCATAAGGATTTACTGAGATCTATTTACTGATTACAAGCATGAAGATTCACTGATATCTATTTAGTGATTACAAGCATAAAATCATGAAGATTCACTGATATCTATTTAGTGATTACAAGCACGAAGATTGACTGAGATCTACTTAGTGATTAAAAGCATGAAGATACACTGAGATCGATTTAGTGATTACAAGCATGAAGATTCACTAAGATCTATTTAGTGATTACAAGTATGAAGATTCACTAAGATCTATTTAGTGATTACAAGCATGAAGATTCACTGAGATCTATTTAGTGATTACAGAAGCACAGAAGCATGAAGATCCACTGAGATCTATTTAATGATTAAAATTAAAAGCATGGTATTCACTGAGATCTATTTAGTGATTAAAAGCATGAAGATTCACTGAGAGCTATTTAGTGATTACAAGCATGGAGATTCACTAAGATCTATTTAGTGATTACAAGCATGAAGATTCACTGAATCTATTTAGTGATTACAAGCATGATTCTCATTCTGATGTACTACGTTGCTGCAACAAAGTACTGGCATATGTGTATTGGTTTGGGAAACGATGCGGCTATCCTATCCGCTCCTAGCGGGTGCCAGGGCAGCCTTGAAACTCTCTATTGACGGTCGAGCCCACTGATAGTCACTGAGGTCTATTTAGTGAATTCTGTTTAATTACGTGTAATCACTTTAATTTACATTTAAAATCACTTTCAATCAATTTTACACAGTTTCAACCCATTCCATTCACTTTCAACCAAATTTAATATCTTTCTAACACTTTCACAAGTTTCAATCAATTTCAGTTACATTCAATCTCTTTCAATCAATTTCAGTCCATATTTAGCGGAGAGCTAAATTGGATGCACCAGAGTTACTTAGCAGTGTGGCGATGTCTATAGTCATTGAATCCATTCTCATGATAAACAAATAGATGGTTAAGAAATTATTTCATATTTAGAATAGTTTTAAACAATTTATGAAAACGTTATCGAGCAGTTGAATCAAATCTTGTTCTACGGCTGAAATACAAACCAAGCATTGATACAAAGAGGACGTGAGATCCCTCCCATCAACACTCTTTTCAATGAACACAATATTGCCTTGTATTCGCATGGCGTCTGCCTTGTTCATTGGCCCTTTGCGGAGCATGTTGACACTCTTCTCCATTGCTTCGCCTCTTCCTTCGCTCTGCGTATTAACAAAATCTGTTGTTTTTTTAAACTCAAAATATAAAAGTTATGGAATGAAATTGCCTTATTAAAATCTGAATATTTTCCCAAATGTTAATTGTTTTTAATGGATAAAGGCAGGCATATTCATCCGCCGCCCATTTTCTGACCCCCTTCTAATGACTTATATGAATTTCCTCTAACGTCTACTATAAGTGTCACAAGTACGGCTGCTGTGTTTATTTGTCAAATACTCCATACCTGACTAAAAAATTATGTACACTCTGATTTTACGAATCCGATTCCTAAGTTCTAAATATTGAAAATCTCCTGCATAGAAGCCAGTCACTTTATTTCAATATGAATGTCCCTTCAGATCAAGTTTCGTTGTGAGAATTCAGGTAAAAATAAAAGTTATGTCAAATCTGATTTAAAAAAGAAAAAAAACAACAAAAAAAACAAATTCACTCACCTATTGTAGGATTTACTTTCAAAATCGTTTAAAAAAATAATAAAAAACTACTACAAAAACGTGACCTGAACAGGCGCTAGCTAGGTGGACTGCACAACGAACAGTTGAACAGTCGTTTCAAAAAATGTTACACGAGGCTTAAGTATATGCCTGTTTAGATCTGTCGTCTGTGTAACATGGGACTTCCTTGTTACCATTTCTCGCGAATCGTCCTCTAATCTTTATGAACAGGAACATGTATTCTTTTGTACAATTTAATAGAATATATAATTCGATTGACGTGATCAAAAAATGAACAAGGTGAAAAAATCAATAACAAGTATTGATTGAATCATAGGACTAAGTCAGGGCTCTCAAACTCAAATCATCAGGGGGTCGCAGGAGGTAGAGTTTGTGGGAGACTGTCGCAGCATGTATTTCACCAAAAAGCGATTACATCATTAGCTTATCATATACCGGTATATGTAGCCGTGTGTTGACGTTGTCGAGTATGAGCGTTCATTAGGAATTGTTGCGACTCAATATTATGTTCATTAGTTGTTGAACGCTTTTCCCGCGCTTGACTATTATAGTTAGTGAACGCTCTTCCCGCCATTGTCTTTATGGCGTATTTTTATGCTGAGTCGTGACGTATGGTCTATGCAGTGTTGTGACGTATGTTTTAGTCGTACGGCAGTCTTGAGTGGAACCTTGGAGTGATAGGATGTTTATTATATTTACTTAGATATTAAAGTTATAGTTATTATGAAAAGGAGTTGAGTTTGTTAATTGATAGTGAGAATAGTACGACGCTTCAACGTGTGAAAGAACTGACGAATGTAATCAATCCAAGAAGACGTTATAGGAGTTGACATGGGGGCTTCTCATCCGGGATTGGTGAACCTCGTTATTTTCATACTTGAGGTAAAGTACAAGAACATTCTTAGTATTCAACTTTAGTGAAGTTACAACCATCGTCGCATGTTCCCGTATTTCAATGTCGGAGCCCCG